CCGGGAGTGATAGGGGTGGGGGTGGGGGTGGGGGGACTGCCTGACTGGCGGCTCCTGTATATAACTAAGCATCTTTGCTGCTCAAGCGTTCAATTCAATTGGAACCTCACAACCCGGAGGCCTGCGAATCGTGGTGTGCTCTCTGCAAATCGCTCAATAAGAACGTAAGAGAACAAAGGTGATATTCTGTGTCAAGTTGCAGCAAACTGCGGCAAGATGTTGTCATGGCCGGAACCCAGGCCCTACCCTCCTCCCGCGGGAAGGAAAACGGCAATTGTGAGCGTCTCGTTGGTATTAGCAGATGCCAGTATTAATCCCATTCTATCTCACGCCAGGTCACTGGTGGTTCTCAAGGCATCGGAAAAGCCACAGCGCTCGCACTCGCATTAAGCGGCTGGAATGTCGTCATCTCCGGCCGGCGGCTTGAGCAGCTCGAAAACACGGCCAACGAAATAAACTCCAAGACGATGGAGCTCCCTAACAAGAGAGGAAAGACAATGGTTTTTCAGGGCGATATGACAGTCGAAAGCGCCGTGAAAGGCATGTTCGAGCTCGCGCTTGACGCATTCGAACGGGTCGACCTCGTCTTTGTCAACGCCGGCGCCAGCTCGGATGACGTGCCGATCCAGGATGTATCGATTGAGGTTTGGCAAAGTATTGTGAATGTCAACTTGACCGGGTCATGGCTTTGCGCCCGCGAAGCATTCCGATGCATGGATGGGTCGAGAGGCTATCTGGGAGGGAGGATTATCCTGAATGGCAGTATAAGCTCCAAAACACCTAGACTATACTCGACCCCGTACACAGCGACCAAACACGCTATCACAGGTCTCACCAAGTCTCTTGCATTAGAGGGCCGCCAACATAGTACGTATGATCTAACTACGTCGTTTTGAGCGGCATTGAAGTTCAGCTGAAGATGCATCTGCTTCCCAGACATCGCCGTGTCCCAGATCGACATCGGGAATGCACGGACGGACATGACAGCTAGCATGCGCGCAGGCCCTGGCGCCATGCAAGCTAATGGGACTAGGCTTCAAGAGCCAGTCTTTGACTGCAACTACGCAGCAAAAGAGGTCGTGCATATCGCAGAGATGCCGCTGGGCGTCAATGTTCAGGAGGTCACAATCATGGCCACCGCTATGCCATCGTATGTTGGTAGAGGTTGATGAATCTTTGGATTGCACATCAATTTCGTACATTCAATGTAACGCGCATGTGCTCCTTGGGGCTCGTGCTCAAGAAATAAAACAGCGACATAGTGAAAAGAGTTATACATGGCAGCCGGCGCCTTTTTCCTTCTTTTGCCCATGCCCTTCTTGAAGTCTGATGCTAAGGTGGCAGTCATTTCTTCACAGGCTGGCTTTCGGTGTTCGATGTAGCCTTCAGCGACTTAGAGCTCACGGGTAACACTGTCATGTTGTCACATGCACGTGAGCGGAGGTTCGTGCTCGAAGCTTGTACACCTGATGAGGCAACGGTTTGTCGCCAGAGCTTTGCCACGTTCTTCCTTGGGCTTGAGCAGGCTTCGTCAATACAGAAAAATCAGAAAGACTCTCATGTACTTTCACCTTGAATAGAGAAATCGTTCCACTGTAAGGCAGCGTCGGCGTTCACGGCGAGGACATCTACAATGTTCAATGTGAATTAGAGACGAGTGTTGGTACAATTTTGATGGTGGCCGCGCGGATCGAACTTTGAGACGAAGAGTTCTGGTGCTTCACCATGAGTTGTGGGCTCACCGTTTCTTCCTCCCGAAATGCGGACGCCGCAGGCGGGGACTGAAGATTCACAAATGACGTGGACGTGTTGTTCCAATCGTCCAGGTGGTTGCTTGACGACATCGTGCCGCCATTGCTGCGCGTCAATGAGGCTGCGCTGTTCTTTCTGCACAAGGACCCGTTGAAAAAGAACCGCACCTTGGGCAAAAGGTTGGAAGAAGAGCTTCCTGCCCAAGGTTCTCTGTTCCCACGCACTCACACTTCTGCTACAGGTAAGAGGTCGACTCTAGTCGCACAATAAAATTCTACGCAAAAAAACAAGCCAGATGGTCGTCTACATTCGAGATGAAGGAAGCACAACACTCACCGTGCAGGCTTCCAGGCACATGCAGGTCAACAAGACTGACATTTGCCCGTAAAACCGCCGTACGTCTTTGAATGAGGAGATGCACATGAGAGCCATGTCACGCGGGCTCGGTCCGTCATCATGTGCGGCTGACGTCGAGATCAGTGAGTGGAATTCGTTGCTATGGTCTGCAGCAGCGACTTCGCTTGCACCGCCACCGAAAATATCACCTTGGCCATCGCTGTCGTCGTCGTCGCTCCCTTCACGTTCGTCAAGCTGCAACTGCTTTTTCATTCGCTTTTGGCTTTTACTCCTAGATACGCTGCCCAGAGGAAAACGATGGCAGCGGAGTGGATGTACCTTCGCGAGCTGAATGAAGAAACCGAGGGTATCCAACTCCCATGCTTGCTGCTGCTACTGCTGCTAGCTTTCGGAATGGGAGAAGATTGCCTTTTCCGTGAGTCATGCGTGACCACGTGGCGGAATCAAATGGCTCGCCGTGGGCTATGTGACTTTGCTGCTGCTGCTTCTGACGCCGACCTAGAATGGATGGTGTATTCATAACGGCCCCTGCCCCTGCTCTTTTGTGTCGGTCCTTGCTGGAACTGACGACAGGTGCGGCTGTGAGAGGATGTGGCAGCTAGTTCTTTCCCTCGCTCGGTGCTACCAGGGCGGCGCCTGCGGGTGACGCAAAGCTGACACTGCTTCATGCGCTGGGGACTCGCGACTTTGAGGAACCACGGCATGCAAATGATAAATGTCTGGCGTTATGGTCCATCCGATGCACCTGTCACAGCTTGTGATTGTGCAGATGGAAGCGAAGCGAAGTTCTTTGGCGTCAGTGCGTCACACATGCCGAGTGAGTGCGAAGCTCTTTGGCGTCAGTGCGTCACACATGCCGAGTGAGTGCGAAGCTCTTTGACTTCGAGTGCTGAAAATGATACCGCTTGGGAAATCGAGGTTAAGGTCGAAGATGTAGATGACGATGAGATGGAGATTGCACTCAGCTGAAGGGCGCTCTTCCCTAAAGTGTGCGCATTGCCGGCTGAGTGAGTTGCTAAGGCTGACACACAGGTCTTTGTTAGTAGCATATGAAGTTCTGTGGTCGTGGGCATCGGTTCCATTGTAAGAATTCCGCAAGGTTCGATGGCACGATCCGGGTGCAATATCGGAGGGACTGGTGACAAGCATCGATAGGCTCTGCATGGGCTTGTCAACGTCTCGTCCAAGAAATGTGACAACTGTGTCGCAGATGTCGACTCGGCAAGAAAAGCGGACGGTGACACCATGGCAGTTCGGATTTCGTTCACGACTGGGTTTGAAGCGGCATATATAACTGTCCCTCCTCCGCTTGGTCCAGATTTTTTGGCAGCGCTAGGCAGAAAATGAATCCGAACATGGCTCCGATGGTTCCCAAAGTTGAAGCTTTCGTACAGTGATGGCTTCCTTGCGGCTCCGTTCCCGTGCCTTGGTGTATTGGTGGAGACTTTACGGCGTCGATACAAGATTTCCATATCTCGCGCTCACTTTGATCTGAATGTAAATGATGGGCTTCATTCCCGTCTCTCAGCGGAATCAAGATAGAGAAACCCGTCAAATCTCCGCCCAGTACTTATTGCTCCACCTCAGACAGAAACTTACCTGCTTTAACTCTACTCATACGCCTCCGCCTTTGTTAGATTTGTCTGCCCCCTGCGTTATTGCAGCTGTCGATGTCCCCATGCCAGGCATAAGTCTTCTGCGGTGATGGCCAATAAAGCCCACGTTCACGGAGTGGCGGCGTTCGGGCAGCGGATAGTAAAGTTGACATTGAGGCGCTAGGGAAAGTGGCACCCAGATTGATAACGGAAGAGAGAATACCAATGGAGTCAAGTCACAAAAAGATGTTGTTGATCTACCCTTCCAGCTGGACTCGAATGATAGCCGAGTTGTTGTCGTCCACGCCAAAGGGGAAAAAGTAGAAGGGGAGGGCTTAGATGAGGTTGCCGGAGGGCAGACATCCGATAAGGGTGGCATGAGGTCATAGTTTAAAAAAGTCAAAATGTTGGAAAAATTCATTGCTGGTTCGCTGATGAAGACTCAGACTGTTGGAACGAGACCACCCCGATACATGGTGCCACAACCTTGACCGCCCGCGATGGCTGGAGACAGGAGAGTGGTCATGAGCCTCGAATCGTACGCCTTCTACACACTGGTCGTCGCCGCGGAGGTCGACAATGATCGCGAGGTGCAGCAGTGGCAGCGCTGCCGGCAGATCACGATAGAGTTTAAGGAGGCGATGAGGAGGATCGGTAAAGCGGAGCGACCTTTGTGGACTCCAGCATCTGCTCGGTTTTTTCGGATGGGCGGGCGACTCTCCTTTGCACGGATCTGAACGGTGCCCGTAAGTAAGATTGATGAAGTGGAAATGCCAGAGGAAGAGCCGACGTTCTCTATTGGTAATACTGATGTAAAAGTGGACCGAGCAACACTTTGCACTGGATAGAGTACCACCATCGCAGCGCCTCCAACGATCTCGGATTCTCTGAATTTGTGAAGACTTAGGGACATTGATGAATGATCGTAGTCTGATAAACGATAAATAGTGAACTTGGTGACGCCTTCCTGCTAACGTCGACGGTTAAAATTTCGATGATGTTCAACCGCCCAGCGATCCGAGGTGAAGGAGCTAATTGAACGTCTAGCTTTCTGCAATCGTGCTAGATATTTGCTGACCGGCAGCTTCGGAGCAGGGTTTATCGCTGATCGCCTATTATCTGTGAGTGTCAGAAAAGAGACAATTTGATGGAGATGAATGGCAACGGTGCGAAAGTGGGGAAGAGACGATGTTGAACAGTGACCATTTGTGTCTGTTGCTCTCAGTTATCGGATCCTTCATGCGCAACGTCTCTCCCGAACGAATGGTGGTTGATTGGAGGTTGTGTAAGCTTCCATCCAGGCGTAATCACCGTTTCTCCAAGATCTCTCAGTCTCGCCGATTTGAGCCAAGGCAACGAAGCTTTCCAAGCGACAAGATTATCCATTACATGGACCGTTCGCGCGCGGCGGTCAGCGGCCAGCCATGATAAGACCTGGTCAACCCCATCGAGCTTCTGCTGGCTGCGCCATCTTCGGCAAGTGTCATCGCGAGATTAGTGCCCCTGCATTCTCGGGACCGTGCGCCACTTGAAAATTACGACAGGTTAATCCAGCAGACCATGGAGGATAGGGTGATGTGGAACTTCGAAAGTGAAAATACTGTGTTAATGAGAGAGAGGCCGTCATCAATTTTTCTATGTATTTGAAGCTCGAACCTTGCAACTTTCCTCTTTCGAATAAATTTGGGAGCTCCCGAGAATCACGATCATCTCCAGTTCTCACCAATCTCCACTCGCCAGCAATGCCTTTTGCCTTTTCGGTCTTCTGTGACATGCATGGACTGCTGTCCTTTGGACAGCTCGTATCCGGTGCTGTGCCAGAAAGACAAGTCCCTCGTTTTGAATTCTACATTGATTACCTAAGCATCTCTTGGGTTCGACATTGGCTGGTGGCAATACGTAATATAGATTTTGACCAACTGCTTCTTCCATATGATGCCCAGTGGTTCCTAACAAATGTTTCATGCCCACAGCCCATCTCCACCGTATGGATCTGGTCCAAGTCCTGCGTACAGTCAAAGCTCAACTTCAGCGGAAGAAAGATTGACAGACAAGTGCGGTTGTGAGAAGGCGAAGTAAAATGGTCAGGAAGTGGCCCAACATCGTCATCACGGGTACACCCGGGACGGGCAAATCGACGCTTTCGTCCATGCTAGTTGACCCGACATCATCCTCCTCCTCTTCAGCCTCCACTTCGGCATCGATTTCCTCGCACTTGCACCACATCAATGTCTCGTCTATGATTAGGCAGCGCAAAGATCTGCAAGTCAGCTACGACGAAGAGTGGGATGCCTTCGAGGTGGATGAAGACTTGCTGCTTGACGAGCTGGAGAAGCAGACTGGTGGAACCGCACCAGAACCAGTAGACGAAGACGAGCCGCAGACTGGGTCAGCAACAGTGTCTGACGCCAGCGCTGGTGGAGAAGGAGATGGAGAAGGAGGTTTGATCCTCGACTGGCACACGAATGAAATATGGCCTGAGCGATGGGTAGACTTGGTGGTCGTGTTGCGAACGGACCATTCCGTTCTTTGGCAACGGCTAGAAAGCAGGTGCGTTTTGTTTCCAAGGTCACCTGTCCAGTGACCTTTGTGGATCCATGACTACGGCTCAAGCTGTAAACTTTTCGGGCTTGACTGACTTACTCTTATTTGACAGGGGGTACCCCGCGCACAAAATCCAAGAGAACAACCAGGCGGAGATCATGCAGACAGTTCTGGAAGAAGCACGAGGGGCATATCCAAATGAGGCCATCGTCGAGCTCCAGAACAACAACAATGACGAACTGGAGGAGAATGCAGAGCGGCTGCTGCAGTGGATCATACAATGGCGTAAAGATCGCGGCCTCGCGTAGCCTGGCACCTATGCCGCAAACCTGTATCAGCCCAGAACCGAGCGTCACTCGTTCCAAAGTCTTCGACTTGCCTGAAAAGGGAGTTTCCACACCTGTGCGGCATCCAAAGCCCACAAGGCCCTTACACCCCAATGCCAGCACCTTTGCAGCTAGCCATTGTACTCTTCCCAGGGTGATGAGTTCCAGTCCATGTTCCTTGACATGATGCTCTTGGACGTTAGAGAACCTGTTCAGACTACGCTGAGAAAGGCTTGAACGGTTTCCTCGGATCCCTAACCAAGCATGTGGACGAAATGCATTCTAGTCTTCGTTGATCTTGCAGGCACTGGATGAGTGCTTGATAGATACCAATGATGCTTCCTTGTTTCGGTTTAATGTGCATATATATACAGATGAGATGCATTTGATGACCCTGCTCTGATCCACTGGCTTTCAATATGAGATATAAAGAATATTCAGCAGCGGGAACCCCATCTGTTGAAGTCAGCCGCGTATATTCGAAACATTCAGTCAGCAATGTCACAGTCTCACGCATTCATAAGCTCGCGCTCACCATCAAGCCGACCCAGAAAATGAGATTACCAAGCGTCTCATTCTGCTTGATGAACGGAACCTGCAGAATGATTGAAATGCGTAACGATCATCAAGAAACATTCAGCAGTGCGGCTCAGGTGGAAGCGACTACTTCGCGTTCGCGCACTCACTTGGCCCAGCGCGATGAGGGGCAACTGCGCCATCTGCATCAGGAAGAGGTATCCACGGATTTTGCCGGAGACGATGGCCATGACGAGCTCGTGTAATAGAGAGGAGAGGAGGAAAGTGACGAACATGGCAGATGCCTTGGATGCGCCGACGGCGATGCTCGACGCGTAGACATGTCGCAAGAGGAAGTTGTGTACAGGCTATAGTAAAGAGGGTATCAGACAGCGACATGCATGGGTCAGATTCAAGGCTACACTGATGCAGACATGCGACACGCACCTTGTTCCATTTTCGCGAAAACGCATCCATGGATGTCGCGTTCCACCAGTCGCTGTAGAACTCTCGATCCGCAAACCTGAAGCAGGCACGGGACAACGGCAGAGCTGATCATTAGTAACACAGATGTGCGAAAAACTCGATTCAGGCATTTCCGGATGTTGACCCACCTGGTGAGTTCTGCAAAGGCATTGCAAATGCACTCGAACATGATGTAGAAGATCAGTAGATAGTTGATCATCATTGGCACGGCGAGCTGCAAAAAAGTGCCGATGAGCGTCTCGTTCGGTCCCGGCTGAAACGGCATGATCCAATGCTCCGTGATGACGTAGATGACGAAGAACGTGCCAAACGTCGCGGAGACCTTCTCGAGCACATACAGCGGGCGGATCGACTTGGTGCGCGGAAATTCGAGGTCGTAGACGAGAGAAGGGATCAGGAGGTACTCCCAGAAATTGCGATATGTCACGTTCGCCGGCCACGCGACGCGCCCGGGTGCAGAGGACGAGGGCGAGTCGCCGTTGTCGATATGGTGGTGGTCGATGTGCGAGAGTAGCTCTTCGCGCATGATCTCAATGTCCGACGCCAGCTTGGCGATGCTCGCGTCCGGATGAGTGGCAAGTGGATGCGGATCACGGATCATGAAGTTGTCCTTCTTCTCCTTGTATTTGGAACCAATAGCGCCGCTAGAATAGTCGCTATGTCCATTCCCGTACCCGTTTGCGCTGCCGTTCGGAGTGGCAGTACTGGACGTAGCAGGGGAGGTGGACGCAGAGATCCTCGGATCGTCATCCTCTGCCGCAGAAGACTCTTCTGTGGTAGCCTTGCTTGACAAGACCGTTGCACTGGAAATGCCTCGCATCTCCTTTGTGGCTGCACTAGATTGCGATCGGTAGCGCAAAGGCGAGGTGCCTTGCTGCAGCTCTAAGCTGCACCAATGCGTGTCGATGTCCTCGGACCCCAGCGCCTCCTCGCACGCTTTTCTCCATGCGCGCTGCAGTCTCTCATCCTGTGCATTCGCCGATGTCGCATCCTGCTCTTCCGCTTTAACGTCCACCTCGACGCCTTCCACCTCGACGCCTTCCACCTCGAGCACCCTGGTTCGCAGCAACTTCTCCTTGCGCTTCATCTGCCAGAACGTGTCTGCCATATTTCCATTCACGCTAATGTACGAGTGCATCTTCATCATCATGGCGAGCGTATGCAGGACGAAGAAGCCGCTCTGGACCCAAGGCCAACTGCGGAAGTGCGTCCACTTGATCACAGCGGCGAGCATGACTGCTTGCCATAGATGCTGCAGGTAGATGAGTCCGGTCGAATAAGGGATCCAGCCGCGCTGGGTGATGCCAATGAAAGGTACGCATAGGAAAAGATGCCCGACTAAGATCCCATCCGAGATCGCGAGGATCTTGGCGTCGCGCGAGAAGAGTGTGGCGAAGGTCAGTGAGAGGACTTGGCCGGTTTCTTTATATGAGGTATAAAATGTGTTAAGCATGAGGAGGAAGATCCCAATCCAGAAGAGCGTGTAGAACCCTCGGAATCCGTCCTTGGAGGAGTCCATGTTGAAGCGGTCAAACCGCGATTGGCGGGGTTGGAATGTGACCAATGTACGGATCTTCAGGCCCTTGCGCGCCGAAGCGGGCAGCGGACGCAAGTATATACCGCCATCCTTGTCTACCGACGATGATATGGCTGTCGAGACAAAAGAGGCTATTCAGTCGCTCCTTCATTCGCAATTACCCGTGATGTCCATCTACACACCCCTCGCTCCGACGAAACGAACGTTCGTTGTGTCTGATCCTTGCAGTTGTCCATCGTGTTGAGGATCCTCGAACGTGAGCGTCCTGCCTTGTCGGTCCGTGATGCGCGTTGTGACGGAGCTATGTGCGATCACGCCGTCGCTCTCCGAGTCTGGTGGATCGGATCTGGCCCGGGCCATGTCGACGTGGGCCAACCCGCTATGCTGAGTACTGCTGGTGACGTTTCTTCGCGATGCTTTGGACGCCTTTGACGGTAGCGCCGATGAGGAAAGCCCCTCCAAAGGAGAGCTGAGGCAGTCTATGGCCGGTCGCAAACTGTGCGAAGGCTTGATTCCATATATCTATCACAGTCCCTTCGTGGGCTGCGTGCTGTTCTGCTCAAGTCACAGCAAATCACACGCTTGCGTCTGGGCAAGGTGACTGTCTACGACGAGCACCGGCTGAGTCGTGAGCTTGAGGCAGTCGGGCGAGATGTTTCCGGATCGCAGACTCCGATCCTCTGAGAACAGCCTTTTTAGAGGCTCAGGCAGTGGTGGAAAAGTGGGATGTGTCACACGGGTTCGCGGCCCGCAAACAGCAGAGAGCTTGAGGTTGACGTGCAAACCTGGACTGCACACTTGCTTGGGCCGGCTTCCGGCGTCCGTCGTCTTTGCTTTTTTCCAGCAATGCAATCAGGGCGAAATTGAACGAGGCCCGTAGAGCAGGCCTTTGCGGGCAGGAACGTCGCGGACACAACTTGTAGCAAGCGCTGTTTTGGGAAACATTCTTACCACGTAACCTTGGAAAACGACTGTGAGCCACCGGATTTACATTCTACTCGAATGGTATGCAACAGCAAAGGCACCGCACTTCCGTCCACATGCGTGTGACGCGTCGGGTGTTTGGTGCCTGCCGAGGGCTTCAACCGAGACCAGAGCACGCTCACTAAGATTTTGATGATCATAACGAGGATCGATCCACAGCGGGCTGACGGATGAAAACGCTCTTTCCCCTCATGTGTCTCTCTCTCATCACTCGCTCAATGCTCATGGCTCCGTGCGTGATACTCCGACGATGAATCTGTTCATCGCTGACAGCCATTCGTTGTTTTCTGACAATCTCCCTGCAGCCTGTTCCGGAGTTACGGTCAAGACGACGCTGGCCGTTGCTGCGGACAGCCTCATAGGGTGAGCGGCAATCGCAGTACAACGCTGAATCCTTTGGGGAAAATTACACGGTCCAAAGTGCGCACGCAACAAGATGTTCCATAAGGCACCGGCGTCTCTGAGGCGTCGATCGTTTGCGCGGTAGCAAGGCAAGAAATCGCGACCAGTCTGCTGTGGTCCACCAGCGTCGGCTGCGTCACCTCAGCGGATGGCAGAAGTGCCATAATGTGGTCCATCGTCATGGTCTCTCATGGGCCGTCAGGAGCGATCAAGGGAAACGAAAGCTCTCCCAAATGACGACGTTGAGTAACGACATTACACTAGTTGTGAGCCAAGTTTGCCTTCGTCCTGCTCGAGCCAAAGAAAGACCCCTCGTCGACGCTGGCGCAGTCTCTTTCGTCACTTGTGAACACCTCCCCAGAGGCATCGAAGCCGAATTACAATAGCGTAAAGCCATGTCTTGGGAAACCAGCCCTGGCGTTCGTGCTTCTTCGCCTTGAACGTGCCCAGCATTTCGCAGGCAGCCAGGAACGCTTGTCGAGTGGCTCGGACTCGACTCGATGCAGGACGAGCCTGAATGCGCAGGCTCATGGCGAGGCGACGAATAATACGCATTGCATCGTCGATTTCGACGCGACCAATCCTGGTTTTTCCGTTTAGCGCATTGTTATCCTTGCGCCAGCTTGTCGTTGGCACGCGGAGGACATTTTCTGAATCACATTGTGGGTCTTACATGTGGAATTCATGACATATGTCATGTGCAACCACATGATAATAGCGTATTAGAATATAAACATGTCCTTTCGTTCAGGAGGTACACCTGCTTGCTTGTTCAGCCCCGTTCTGACTGACAAATGTCGAGTCGTCGGTTACCCGGTACGGCGTGCTGAATACAAGGAGCTACGCGCTCAGAAAGATCATCCTAATGCTCGTGGTGCGTTCGTGAGGACCAAGAATGCTGGACATGATGCTATCGCCATTGACAACAGCACCATGCGTGAGAGATCGATTGGGAGGCCGGACAAGAATTGATTGTCGAGCGTAATCACCTCTGGGGGGGGAGAGGTGATCATGCGTGAAGACTTGGCTAGTTCGCTGCGACGGATGTCAGCAATCGGCTCGACGTGATGCACTGTACATGAGACAGGAGAGTGGAAGAAATGGTGATTACCTGGAGGTGGCAGCTGCATCCTATAAAGATGGTTCTTCGTTTAACTCGAGAGAGAAAAACAGAGTTCTTCTAGTATACCGTACAGGCCATATATGCCGAAAACTCGCCTCACCTAATCTCTCACAACACCTTGCCTTGATGTATTTCCACAGTCAGCTAAAATCGAACCGTAGGTCACTCAGCCACAGCGCACATTGAACGACTGACATGGTTGAGTGCGCGCTCTGACTAGTGCGGAGGTGCCTGGTACCGATGTGCAGGTCCTTCCGCCAGTTCGTGCTGAAAGCGAGTTTACTACCTTTGGAGATGCTGACAAAATAATTGCCTCCTAGCATGCCTGCTCCCCAACGGTCGTGCGATATGCTCCGCGGCTGGCTGTCTTCGCTCAGCAGATGACCAGGCTTGGCGACCAGTCGCTCCTGTGGCGTGGTGGGCTTTGGGCGGGACTTCACGAAGGTTTGGCACCAGAAAGCTTGCTCCAACACGGGGGCGGAATATCTTGACGTGATCAAGATTCCATATGCGGGGAGTGAAGCTGCGGTCGCCAGGCGTCAAGAAAAGGCAAGCCGTTATGTCCCATCAGCGTAGAGCGTGTCGCCTGCGTTCACTTCATCGCGCAGCGATCACAGCGCATACGCCGTGAACCCATAACTGAACAGTACAGTGTCGTCCATCTGATGCAGGTGGCCCCCCGGATTCAGCCAGACGCCTGTGGCTTCATCTTAGAACAGTATCACTTCGGAGTCTCAGATGTTGTACAGGTACGCCACACTAGTATCCGTCACAGCGACTAGTCGCTGCGATCGAAGCTGAAAGCCTCGCTAGGCAGGGAGCGGCAAAGTGGAAAATCTCTCAAAAGCGCAGCGCTTGTCTTGGACGGAGCGGTTCCCGGGAGTGTGCGGCATCAGCCTATTATTCTAACACAAGCGGGGCTGCAGCATTCATGCTACTTACAGATCTGCCCAATGCCTGGTGACTGCTATAGACGTACAGGTCGTTGCCACGGTCGAAAACGATGGTATCTTGCTCGCGTTCGAGATGCGCAGAGATGGAGGTGTCCCCTGTTCAAATCGTAAATATTATCTTCTCCATATCTACATACAACACCTGCAGCCATCCCCCAATGGCGGTGCAAATGGCGAGTAGGTTGGCAGTGGCGATACTGAACCGCCATACGCCATGACTGCGAAGGAAGGAGATGAAGCCCTTGTGAACCATGGTGTGTTGATGGCCATACTCGGGTGTTCATATGCTCCGCCATATCTTCTGTATCGTCGTATCCTTTTGGCCTGCAACAGCCAGAGAAATTGATATCAGCGAATATGATCGTTCAATTTCAATGCCGCCGACCAAATAGAGACCTACAGAGAGCCCAGAAGGAATCGACGTCGTCCCAAAATCGTTGCATTTTCTGCTATGCGGTTGCGCGCTTGCTGGCGCTGTCATCTGCAACGACTTCTCTCCGGAATAAAGATGAGCAGTCTACAAGTCATAGGACGCCTTGAGCGTAGCTCTGACTTAAGAGCAGGTCTGTAAACCCGCGCAAGAGAGGCACATTCGTAGAACAAGCCGACATGCAAGAGGAGCTCTGCCATTAGATGCGGTACATACTATGGCCAGCATCGACCACGGCTGCGTTGCCCTCATGCGCAGCCATCGTTGGCTTCAACCGACATCTGTGGATCGAGCAGCGTAGGTTCAATAAGACGACGGCGTGATCATTTATCTTGCGTGCACATGGTGACGCTGGTGCAAGCTCACGAACCTCTACGGGGTGGGCCCAATTGAAATTGCCGGAAGCTTCGTATCTGCAGCCGAATACAGAGTTGCGAGCTGTGTTGAGATAAAAGGCAAACGTGTTGATTGCATGTACATAGTATTGAAGGAGCTCAACACGCGCTAAAATGTCTGAGTCAGAGAAAGCTCTCAAGTATGAGAGTTGAGCGATCTTCCACGCTCCGAAGCTCTATTGCCGATGGATTCTTTGATCAACACACAACTTTCGTGGGCGGCACCGTGGTCGGCTATGCATCCGTGATGCATCTGATGAGGTATACGACTCAGGCGCTCGGCTGGGTGTCAAAGACGACCATGCCGATGACAGTCTCTGGCGCAACTGCGAGTGGCAACCGCACCGGCTCACCGTGACGAGTGTCGTATGCGACTGCAGCCTGTGACCATGGCGAGTGGGCCGGCTAAAAGGAGTCGCCTGCTCGAGCTTCCGAGGGAGATTTTCCTCCATATTAGCTCATTCTTGCCTTTGGGCTCTCGCATTGTGCTTGAAAGACAGACTTGTGCTCAGCTCCGGTCGCTGGGTCGGCCCTCCCTCGATCCACCCTATCGTCTGTCACTACCTCAACTGCACGATGCTGCCGAAGAGATCCGTGGTCAATTTGGCAAAGATGGATCAAATTCTGGAGATGCTTCCAGAGCCGACAAAAGCCATTTATTTTCCTTGGCATCTTTATCAAACAATGATCTCATTCTGCTGATCAGAGCCTTGGAGTGGCTGGTTCCTCAGCTGCGTGTGGCGCTAAAAGATGCGGGGCACGATACGGACGATTTCAAAGTCCCTCCTAAATCTAGGCCTTTTTTACGGTCCATTTTCGCCGTAGGATGGCATGGTGTACCGGGTGATCGATTCGCGCAGATGCTTGCGTTCGAGCCCGCCTTGCAGCATGTGGAAACAGTAATCAAGACTGACCGCCTAGACAATGGTAAGTACCCAACGCATCTGCCTTTTATTTGATACGCTCTCCTAGTCTAATGGCACACTTCCTGCTTGTCTTGCTGCAGATTCTTGGTACAATTTACAGACACACCTCACGAATTCGGAAGATGAGGCATACCGACACAAATACCGCGCGGTTCTAACAGCCGACAAGCAACATCGAGACAGTGAATGGCGCTCATCCTCGTCGCACCGCCGTGGTCGCTCACAAGTCAGTGTTGAAGACATGCCGCGCCTTCCCGGAGATTTAGCAGCTGCACTTGCCCAGGTACCGTTGTTGCCGTCCATGGAGAAGGGTCCATTTTTTGTTCGCACACAGGCGCTTGTCTCGGTCGGCAGCAAGCGGCCGCCCTTTTTCCTCAAGGGCATGGGACTCAGCGCGGGCTACGACTGTCTCTGTTTTGTCAACTCTGACCTTCAATCAGGGGTATCACCTGGCAGTCCCGCAACCAGCATGGCAGATCGATCAGAGACGGGAAACAGGGATACGTCATCCACACGGAGGCCAATGCTGAAGCACGTAATCCTTCAGGGTCGACACACCTTGCAGGAAGCACGAGAGCTAGAATCGATGTACGAGTGGAGCGATACCACATGTATTGCATGCAAGCAGACGATCACTTTCTGAATGTGAACCTTGGCAGATTCAGCAATATTTGGCCCTATCAAATCAGCTTTCCTTTCGTGAGCCCTTCGATGGATTTCTCAACGGCTTCAATGAAGTGGGCTTCTCCAGTTTTAATCAAATCATCTGCGCTTTCTGCAGGGTGGTAGTCGACGTCAAGCAACGGAGCGCGTTCCTTTCCCTTGCCCTTGGTACTGATACCCATCTCTTTCTCCCTCTGCTTTTCCAAAGTTCCCAGACTCTCCTCTTCTTTCTCGCCTGCAAACCTCACCATGCAAACCGGCGGGCTGAGTGGGAGATCCGAGCTCGACGGATGCTACATGTGGATTGCCTTGCCGTGCGTCTCATACAATACCGACATCGGTTCGCGCTCAAGGTCTCGGGGACTTGGCCACCGTGTGGTGCAACACCGGGTAAAGCAGAGGCTGCGGCCGCGCTCGCTACACTAGACATACCGAGTGGAACGAGCAGGCTCGAGGAGATATTTTATATGTGCGTGAATGTCCGAGGCGCTTTTCTTAATAGGGAAGAGCTGCCAGGAAACGGAGTCGAGAACCGCAAGGAGCATCCCTGTTCTAGGAGCATGGTCTTCCGGTGGCTCAATATTAAACTCGTCGTCCGTGATGACGTATTAGACTCCAAGCAGCCTTGCTCTCGCAGAATTACTATCGTAAATAAGATACTGGAAGATGCCCTTGCGCGTATGCGAACAGTAATGAGAAGCGGACACGGGCTGCGAGTGGCCGTGAGCCGGCCAATGAAAGGCGCGGAAGCACTGGCATATTTGCGAGACCAGTGCGATGGGAAAGCAGGCAGATTGGACTCCATGATAGCTTGGGCTCGACATGTTTTCTGATTGTGTGAGTCTGGTAGCGATCAGCGATCAGCTAAAATAGGTCCGCCCAGAGAAGCGTAAAGGTGCGCCAGAGTTGGGGATAGGGTGTCATGATTCAGCATTCGTACACGCCCGTTGTTTTAAGCCCTCGTATCCACCGTCTGAGAATTCAGCCAGGAGGTTGAATCAGTGATGGGACCAATGAGGATCGTGAAGTTGAGCTCAGTTGACACAGCGTATACCGACGTGGGCGGATGAAGGGCCCAATACATGACTTTGGTTTCTTGAATGGAATGTTCCGCTTCGCCACCACCGCCGTGCCGTAAAACCAGATGTGAGATGGCGATAAACAGGGCTTCAAATTCGACTTGACTTTGGCCAACCCTCTGCTTGCATCCGACCAATGCAGGTGGCACAGTAGAGATGAATCGAAAGATGAGCCTGGACAGGGTTAGCATCGGCAAGGCACATTCACGATTCGACTTTTCCCCGCTATTGGCTAACATAGAAGCTCGCTGAACCGTATCGACGCCTCTCGAGTGAGAGGGAGAGATTGACATTCAGAGACCAATAAAATAGGCAAGAGTCATTCTCAAACCCAACACGATGATGTCGCTTAGGTCAGCTAGCTGCTAACAAGCAGATGTATTTGTGTGCCATCAAATCCCGCGTCTTTGCATGGTCTGCTGCTACGCATGTGGGCCGTTCGTTGTGCAAGAAAGAAGCAGTCTTGATTACGGGAGCGCACAATGGACGACGCTTCGGCCGCGCTTGGCGAGAAGGAGAGGCCTCACCCAGCTCCCCTACGTTCCACGGTTCCAGGAGCAAAAGCACCTGCCTATGGTGGGAATGATGCGCTTCCTAGCTCAATATCAACTGCAACCAGAGCGTCCGCTAGAGCGTCGTCTTCAAGCAGCGGCACCAGCGCCTACGTCCCCATGCAGCGTCGCCTGCTGTCCTTACACGGCACAGATGACCGTGTCGTCCTCGACATTGGCAGTCGCGTCACCAAGTTCGGCTTCAGCGGCGAGCCGACACCGCGTGGAATCATCAGTTCTATTGTCCTACCGCCCGAATGGAGCTCGTTCGAGAGAAAGGGTGACAATGGCAAAGGAAAGGGCAAAGAGCGCGCTCTGGAAGAAGGCGATCAGGACATGTGCCTTTGGTCATACGACCTTTCTCGATGCGAAGGAGAGGCCGAGCGCAGAGCTGCACGGCGACTTTTGGAGGCTCAAGTCGAGGAGCTCATCCGCAACATTTATGTACAGTAAGCATCCGATGCTACCATCTCTGGATTGCCGCCACGCCCTCATCTGCTTGTCTTTCTTACCTTCGTAGGCATCTCAGGGTTGATACCAAACAGCGGCACGTCCTGATCTTGGACTCTCCATCAACTCCTCTACCACTACGAAAGGTGCTTCTTAAAGTACTCTTCTCTCAATTCCGAGTACCCTCCGTTGCTTTTTTGTCTTCGCCTCTAATGGCATTAATGGCAACAGGGCGCATCACCGGTCTTGTTGTCGACGTCTCGGGCGGCGGTGCTCGTGCTGAGACAAGCATCACCCCCATATATTGCGGTCGGATACTTGAATCGGCGCGCACCGTCACGCCGACTGCGGGAAACAGCGTGCGGTGCAGACTCAAGAGGCTGCTTTTGTCCGAAGGGCGATACTGCTACTGCACACATGCTCGCCCAGCCAATAGCAATGGTCACGACGGCGCATACAGCAAGCCGACACGGCACGTCGAGCGCATTCCGCCAGACCTGCTCACATCGCACGTAGTCGAAGAGCTCATGACGCGTGTTTGCCTTGTAGCCAGATTCGATGCCTGCCCGAACCCTGATGCGCCAAAGGACGACTCGGTCGAAAGTCTCAAGGCAAGGCACGCGTCCAAAGCAAGGGCCAAGACTCTTTGCGTGCCGGTTGCATCCCTCCAAAGTGCGCAGGAATGGATCAAAGGAAGGGCTGAATCACTTCTCGCGACCCATATGGCGAGCTTGGGGCCGAATCGCATCCCATCATCCACGGTCACTCTGACTACCTCTTTACGAGCGGACGCTATGGTGCCAGGAACAACATTCCCGCAGTCAGCTGTCTTGCTTGTCCCGGGATGGGTCAGGGAATGTGCTGCAGAGGTCATGTTTGAAGATGGGGATCTTGATGAGCCGAGCATCTCAGAGGCAGTGCTGTCGAGCCTTTTGAAGGTAAGTTGTGGTGATCGAGAACAGCTCTGCCGACCGCGAGTGCTGACTTCACACATTTATCTGTTCGCATGCAGCTACCGATCGATCTACGCCGGAACCTCGCATCCCTTATCCTCGTTACGGGAGGCATGGCGATGCTCCCAAGCTTGCCCCACCGGCTTGCGCAACAACTCGCTCTCAGCCTACAGACTCTCGCATCGGAAATTGATTCTTCGAAGCCGCTGACACCTGCAGTGCTGCGCAAGGCCAACCGCTACGCCCCGCTACGCAACCTCGCCAGCTCGATCGGGGTGCTGAACGACCATGCACCCAATTTGCCTCCAATTCCCCCCCCTGACCTGCCACGGGAAGACAAGAGCCAAGTCAAAAAGACCCTCGTCGCGCCGCCCCCCATGAGCGGGTCCGCACCCGTCTTTGCTGCCAACCTGTTACCGTGGATTGGTGCCAGCATCGTCGGTGCGTTGCAGACTACATCGATCTACGAGATGAAGCGGGAAGAGTGGGATGCAGAACAAGCAGCTCTCCATGCGCCATTGGGTCCAACATTGCCTATGCCTGTCACATTCGGTCAAGGCTCCTTCATGGGGGTCGTGGGCGGACTGGAAACAGGTGCTTTTGGCGGCTTGTCGGCGGTCAGTAGACACCTGATGAGCCCGACCTCAGAGTCCACTCCGAGGTCTCCTCCGCTTGGCAGATCGTTGACTGGATCGCGATGTTGAGCTCAGGGAAAAGGTGCCTTGCCTGACATATTGTTCCGAGGTCAAAATCCCCACAATGCCTATACCACGATGCGCGTCAATGATACAGAGTAGAATAAAGAGTACGTCCTCATTGCGGCGTGCAATGTATCTCGCAAGCGATTGCTTCTTCCCACGGCAGTCCTTACTCGATGAGTGGCGCCGTGCATCGCTTCAAGTTCTTCTCGAGCAGGACTCCCAAATCGCGGAGGACAAATGCCAAAATCACGCCGCCGAAAAAGTCGCTTACGCGCTTGAGCTTGACCTCGATAACGGCTCGCGATTCTGCAGAGACCAAGCCGTAGTGATCCGGGCTGCCGCCATTGTGCCCGGACATGCCTAGGCCCGTCATTTGAGCGCGGCCCAGCGCGTGTGCATGTCGTTCTGAAAAATGAAAAAGAAATGGGCTTATCAGGAAAGGCAATTGTTACACTGCAACATCGTTGCACGCACCAAACATTTGAGCCTTCATGAAGAGCTTGAGAAGAAGCTCGGCGTAGGCAAGAGGGCCATCCGCGCTGCTTTTGTTAGAATTCGTCATAACGCCCAGTGAGCGAGTCAAGCGAGATCCAAGTGCGCCCAATGAGCTCTATATAAAGGAACAGTAAAGTCAGCTCAGGTCGTGGACAGAACATTGGAAAGAATGACTCACACCACCCTTCTTGCCAGAGACGGTCGGAATGAAGTTGAGCTTCTTGGCCAGCGTGTTCTGTACGTCATCGATCAGGGACTCGAAGTCTTCTAAGGCTGCGGCGAACCTTGCGCCGACAAGAGCGTATCCGGACTCTTCGTTGGCGTTGCCGCCCAGCATTGAGTCGCCCGCTTTGTCGAGCGCGTCAACAGCGGAGCCAAGGATATCCAGCGCTTTGACTTTGCTATCGATTGCCACCAATTTGGATGTCTGCTGCGCCCACATCGGTGATGCAATGTGCAGCCGTCGAGAGAGGAATCCGTGGGAAACCAGTGTAGCGTGCAGCAACCGCATGGTCACAAAAGGACGCAAGCCAATGTTGGAGGGGAGGCTGGCTGCCGCGCCCGGGCTCGTCGGTGAGGTCGGCGGCACAGGAAGCCAAGATAGACTGGTGCCAATACCGTCTGTGGTATACGAGGGCGCAGGTCCATTGATATTTGACGGAAGACGACCTGGAAAAAGTGCATCGCGAGCTATGGCAGCTCGATGCGATGCATTGGTGTCGCGAACGGTAAGATTAGGCGATTGCGCCATGTCTGCCGGTTGGGTTGGGAAACGATACCCTGGCTGAGCCGAGGTTGTCGTACTAGACAGACGTGACGGAATGGGACCATAGTCGTGGCCTGTCACAACTGCTTGGCGGGAAAGAGCTGGAACCGGAGGTACCTGACCGCCTTCTTTTGCGTTGGGAAAGAAAACAGACGGCAGGGACGGCCTGCGATTGCTGGGCTGCGATGTTGCACGCTGACGACCGATGATCGTGTTGCTCGGTGTTCGATCAGGCGAATGATCAGCACCACGACTAGAAACATCCTCCAAGTCTCTTGGCTTGCTGCGGAAGCCGCTGAGAGAGATAGCGGTTCCCAAAATCGGTGGGGAAGCACCAGATGGAAGACAAGAACCGTCATCAGCACTTGGTCTAGAGGTCGAAGAGAGGCCACGACGGCGCTGGCTGATTGTACCCCCGCTAGTCGTGGGGCTGACGAGGAGGGGTGCCGCAGATGCAGGCGTCCTGAGTTCTCCAGCGCGCTGTTCTAATGGTCGGCTCAAGATCCTTTGCGAAAGATCAAGAGGAGCCATGTAGGGTCTTTTGGTAGCCGCAGTTGCGTCATCCGCAAGCGATGGGCTACTCATGCTCCTTTGCAGGCGACTGGCGCGCTGAGACTCGCGTTGTACAGGGGTTTGCGGCGAATCCACAGAAGCCATAGCTGGGGTTATTCGCGAAGACGAGCCTTCCAAGGTTCCATCTTCACTGACCAGGTTAGGATCCACATCAAAATATGGTGTGGCTGGGGTTTTGACCTCCTCGTCCAGGCCAAATGCCTGTGAGCGGGCACTGAGGAAAGGCGCTTCTGAGGTAGGACCCTGCAAGTTCTTGAGAGCATTCTGCGGCGAGAGCTTGGCGCTCGAGTATCTGGAACAAGCACTGGCATCAGAGCTAGCACGGCTGCGCACAGGGGTGTCCTTTGCCGCTGCTCCATCTTTGCGCTCTCCCTGGTGTCCGCCATAAGTCCCAGACGGGTCTGCATCCATCGGCGAACCAGGCGCGATGGCGATCGCGGGCGCAGCGTCAAGAGTCTGAGCCCCATCGTAGCGGGCCGTCTCAAAGGATGCGGCGCGCACAGACCGACGTCCTTTGGACGAGTCCTTGCTTAAGCGTGGCTCTGAATACGCAGCATGGTGCTTTGCAAGCGCCTCGTGGTGAGAGCCCGAACTAGGGGTTGAAGCATGCAAACGGGATGGCTGCTCGTTGGAATCAACGACCTTCGGACCTGGGCCTGTCACAACCTCTCCTGACTTCTCAGTCGGCATGACGCCGACTCGCTCCACAGCGGGGCTTGGCAGCCAATCACCTGCAAGAGACGCAAGTGGCGAACTCGAGGCAGAGAGCTCAACGCCATCTTCAGAGACGTAAATCATCGATAACAGTCGAATGCGATCCGCATAAGTATCGTGCTGCAAGCAGGCCAAGGCAAGTATGAGTCCAGAGAGCATATAAGATTTCCATGAGAGATAGCACTTACGATCACGCGAAGTCGTCTCCGTTCCTCTTCACGGCTCGACCTCGTCTTCTTCCCAGGCCTAGGTGAGATGCGCTCCATGACCTCCTGCAGCAGCCTGACAGCCTGTTTGTAGGCGGCAATAGCTTCAGGCACGTTGTTTGCCCCGTCAAGCATCACGGCGTTCTGTGCCTTTTGCAGGGCAATCGTGAGGATATTTTTGCTGTTCAGCGGCGTACCATCCGCATTTAGGAGCGATTCAGGTGGCGAGCCAGGTATCGCGCCAAGGATCGCTATGTCGCGATCGCTGAGCAGCCCGGTGCGCAAGCTGGACCCTAAGCTCGCATCGTGCGATCGGGAGGACGGCTCGGTGGCCGTTGCTGATGACGGCGGGCTGAGAGGTAAAGATGCGGACGGCATGGTCGATCGCGTGCTGGCAACACTGGTAACGTCATGCGAATGCGACTGCGGCGACAGGAAGCCAGCCGGCTCGGGCCCCCCAGCACCGCTATCGAGTTCTTCGTCATTTCGTTTTAGTCGCGTCGGAGCCTGCTGCTCACCACCGCCAACCCCATCACCGATGCCACCATTCCGACTTGCGGCGACTGAAATGGCCGAGAAGTAAGGGTTGGGGTCATCCTTCAAAAATGCTTGCCCATTGCGTGCTCCTTGTAAAACTGGAAGCAGAAGTTCCCTCTGCTGCCTGGTAGACGAAGGCGACATTGATGAAGGCGTAGACCCATCCAACGGCCTCCTTGCGCTACTGATGTTATCATCTTCCTTCACGTTGTCCACAATACTACTGTTACCACGATCAGCGGCCGCCGCAGCCACAGCACTGGTCGTCCCAAGTGGAGGCGATGTGGCGCCGCGCATCGCCTCCCAATCGGACGTTTGTTCGCTATCCGGTCGATTGTACTGCAGGCGGCTCAATCGACCAGCTGCGCGCGCAGCAGCGAAGCGCTGCTGCAAGCTGGAAGCCGAATCGAGAGGCAATCTGTCTGCGTTTGGGCTTACAGGTATACCTGAGCTAGGGCTGCGCCTTGGACTGGTGACGTTAGTTGGCGAGAGTGTGTGCGAATTCGGCTGTGATTGCGCCTGTGATGCGGCAAAAAAGAGCAAATCGGAATGGGAGGACGCCTTGCCGAGGCGCGAGTCTCGCCGGCGCGTCTCGACGGTTGGACTGAGGCTGCCATTCTTGGCATGGACGACTCTATCGCCCTCTGTGTCAGAGTTGGCGAAAGCGACATTCCCACTGTCAAAATCGCTGCTGGATGCCATGGGCGTTGGGGTTGCTGCTGTTTCCGCTGCTCCCTCTCCTCCCACCCGTGTTCTCGGCCTTGACCCTGGCAATGTTCTCGGCTCGGATTCGGCTTCGCTACTGCCGGGCTCGAAAGCTGCTCGCACTTTGGACGCTCGATACCCGCCAGAGCTGCTGCTGAGACTGTCCAAGGTGGTTTGCCTCTTGGGCGTCCTAAAACCGAAGGCCGAGCTTATGCTCCTTCCGCTTCCGTTGCCGGGCGCACTGGCTTCGTCCGGTGCGTAGGTCCCTGCGGCTGATGCGGGACCCGAAGCGCCGGCTGCGGTTGATGTTGATGATACAGTGCCTGTGCCTGCAATGCTGCCACCTGAGCTAGCCAGCGTTGTCCCACCCCATCGGGACGCCAAGCTGGCCACGCGACTGCCTCCTGACGAGGAAGAAGGGCTGCGACTCTGCCCGAGGGCAGCAGAGCCAGAAATCGGGTTGTTGGTAGTTGTGCTTCCAGCCTGTGCTGGCGAGCCATACTTGGAAGGGCCTGCTGGATTACCCCCACCAGCAGTGATGAAGAACGTACCATCGTCTCTACCGCCTGCGCCCTCGCTTGGTGCTAAAGGAGACCTTGCATCCACAAAATGCAATGACTCTGCTGCTATTGCGCCTCCAGCATAAGGAAGTGATTTGGCAGCGGATGGAAATGGAACTGTACCTGTCATATTTCCCATTTCAGCACCTGCGCCCCCAAACGCCTCCGCCGACGCCACTGCAGTAGCAGATGAAGTTCTCCCAATCTCCGAAAATTGCGATAGTGGCTGTGAGCCTACGCTACCATTGGCGCTTCCGCTCCATGCATTCTCGCTGGCGGTACCAGCACCACCAGCACTTCCTGTGGGTGGATGCGAATGCTGCTGATAGTGCGCTTCTTGCGCACCCGGATCCGATCCCAGCCCAGCCGGGCTGATGCTCTTAGCCAGCTGCGCGCCCAGCCTGCTACCGCGCGTGTTGGCCTTCCGCCCTGCATTTGGCCCGGGCCCGGGCGTGGACGCAGGCCCTGCGTCGCCAGCGGAGGAAGGGGGCGAAGCGTAGGTGCTGAATTCATCCGCCGCAGAACTCATACCTGTGCTTGTGTCTGCAGCGCCTGTTCCAGACCGACTGCTACCCGCGCCAGAAGATCCAGCGGTACCGCCACCGCTACCACCGCTGGTGCTGCCACTGCCGCTCGGCATGTTGAAGCTGTTTGCACTTTCAGTGCCCATTGGGCCTGTAAAGGTACTCTGCACAGACGCCGCTTGTCCCTGCTGTTGCTGCTGCTGGCACTGCTGCCGACGCTGGTATTGATACTGTTGATCGTGCTCCAGGCCGTACGCATGTACAAACGCGGATGGAGCAGGTGCGGGCGGGAAGTGCGGACGTTGCCCTTGCGCTTGACTGTGCTCTGACCCATGCCCCTGATCAAACACGCTGCTCAGCGCGCTTCCCAGACCCTGAGCTTGACTCATGGTCAGGGTATTGGTGTATGCTTCGCTGCTGCTGCTAGCAGGCGCACTGATATAGTGCACACTTTCGTTAATGCGCGCCGTGATGGGCAATGGCGAAGCGAAGGACGGCCCAGAAGACCTGGCCGCGCTCGTGCGCGTAACCGCAGCCGAGTCTGTGGCGGTGCTGACCGCTGATGGAGGTAGAGAATAGAAGGTGGATGCGTCTAGCGTCGCTTCAGGCGCCGCGCACGCCAGCCCCACTGCCAACGCTTCACCTGCTCCTGCTCTTACACCCGCCGCAGCAATCGCTACGCCAGATGAAAGCGGCCCGTAGCTGCTGCTGCTGCCACTCCCACTCGCACGAGATCCCTCAAAGGCGCTGGCACCAGTGCCGTACACAAAAGGCGAAGTAGGCGGTAGGCCCGCTGCCGACGATGAAGATGTCGGGGGAAAGGTGGAAGAACTTGAAGAGTGAGCTGGCGAAGACACAATGTCGTTCCTGCTCGCGGGCAAGATAGGGCCGGAAAGGGAGAGAAATGAACGCGGCGCCCCAGATGCTACTACTGGCGTTTCTGCTGTTGATGCTGCTGATGCTGTCGAGCGTAGTCCAAAGTAAGACGAATGGCCATGCAGATTACTTCCTATCCCTTGGCTGTGACCCTGATCGTCACCCTGGCTTTGACTAAGGGCCCTCCATTGCTCGTTGTCTAGTTTAGTCGATGTTGCTGTTGCTCCGGCCGCCTTCGCTGCTGGTGAATTCGAGAGGGATTGCAGTAGATCTGGTGCAACGACCGCCGCAGTGGACGGCATTTCGCACGTTTCCCTTCAATCCTTCAGGCGCACCTCCATCCACCCGTGCAGCTTCCAAGGTGTCCAGTCACCAAGATTCCCAGCTATGTCGCTAGCCTCCCAGGCAGCCGCGCGTCTCTCGCGAGACGGCAGGATGTATAGGGCTGTCGCGTCGCGGTCAACGATGACGCGCTCGGGGAGAGCTCCAGCCGCGCCACGCAGGTTGACCTCAGTGTCTTCGTATTTGCACGTACCAGCTCCGGCAAAGACGACGAGGCCCGAGCGTCAAGCTGCAATTTCCATTGATGACGAACGGTTCGGTGCCGAGAATGTGGAGGATTTGCTAACAGTTGTTCCAAAGCCCGGAAAGGTCGCCGAGGTTCGAGCGCGCGCGCGACAGAAAAGGAGAGAGGCTATGTCACCATGTGCTGCTCCGCTCTTCGATCGGGCTCAATCAATCCTCACGCAGTCACAACCAGGCTCTGCAACCAAAGGATCGTCACTACGCAGCGTACATATACGCTAGAGGCTGAGAGAGACGTGCTTTAGATGCGTGGCACCTTAGTATACAGCGCGGCCTCCATTGATCATTCTTGCTAGTCGCGGTGCGTACAAACAACAACAGGATGGATGGATGGATAGCTGCTGCAGCCTGCGTCGCCGCTCCTTCCGGGCAGGCGCCAAAAATGAGAGATTCCATGGAAATAAAAATAAAACCCCCGGAACAGGCAAAAGTAGTTAACCCTAGACTGTCTCGCGCCTTGGCACCCGACTCACGCCTCTCGCTTGTTCCTTCATCAGTCTCGAGAGGCCATCAAGAGCTTGCTTATCATGCATGATCTGCACTTTGCGTCCCTTTTTGCCAACGCTCGTATCAGGCGTTGCATCCCCAAGCGGGGAGGGTCTGCAGGGGGGATTGGCAAATGGCAGAGAATCGCTACTAGCTGCAGCTTGCCAGCGTCCTTGAGCAGCACGCCAGCTAAAGTGTATCATGATGAAGTCGGGCGGTCACAGAAAACTATGTTTGTAAATTGCAGTATGGGCGACGACACAGACGGGAGAGAAATGCAAGCGTTCCCGAAGCCCCGACGCGCTGTCGCCCCTCATATTCCCTGTCGTGCACCGCGCTATAAAGCAAGTATCTGTCACTCCGTCGAAGACTCTTTGAATGCTGTCACACCCTTCATGAAAAAGGAAAGGAACAGGCCTGGAGTAGATTCAGGGAAAGAGAGAGCCCTACGTCTGGAGATCTGAATGCGTTCGATGCGCCCAGTTGATGAGACAGCTAAAGCTCGTGCATTTTTGTTCGAAGCTCTTTCGGCGTTCCTTCTCAGATACTTTATAGTCAGGAGGTCCCTGCTATGCACTGCCGGGCCGCAGCATGGTCAGAGAAGCAATGTGTCCGGGAAGCAAGGGGCAATACATACACCATGTCCGATGCCTGGGCGTCCAGTTCCCAAATGGTGATGCCAGATGGTAACGCATTGAGCGGTTGACCCGCCTTAAGATATCGAGGATGGTGAATCGTGTTTGTTGATCGCGAGGGCAGCCGTCGCATCCACGCATCCACGGGGATACAGCACTGGAGGAGAGCAAGCATGAGCCTTTCTGAAAGCTGTGCCTACCGAAACTCAAACTGATGCAGTGCGCGGACTTGACGTTGACGCTCGGAATTGAGACTGCTCCAGTGTGACAGTCGTAGCCTTCCTACCAGCCAACGCTCGATCCTCACTTCACGACCACAGCTGGAGCTCAACAAAGCAGGATCTGCACCTCGCAACAAACACATCCAAATACACCTCTCTCCTGCACTCTTTGTACCACGTATCGGTCTGTTGCATGCCTGCCTCCTTCCCTTCCGGGCTTCCTGGCTGTCTTCTGTCGCTACAACAGGAGTCGTGTCGATACGCTTCGACCTCAGCCACCTTCACCTTCCTTTTGCAAACAACAACCCCTCCTAATCGAAACTCACACTCCCTGGTTGCGTTAGCGGCGCTGCCCATAGCGCGGAAGCACTGATAGCACATTCAAACGTCGCAGGCTCGACTCTCCCCCTTTTTCCAGCGCACTTCACACATCGGAGAGGCGGACCACCCCCCTTTCACCGCCTCGACACTTTGGCAGCGCTCAATACAGGGGATAATCTGGTATTGACTTGCATCGTTTTTATTTTGGATTCCCACAACATCCACTCCACCCCCAACCGGAGCGAGACAAACGCTTGTGCTGCCAGAGGAAATTATGTCCAGCTCGCGAGACTACAGCCCGCCTCGGCTAGCGGCGCCACCTCTGCCGGACAAGGAATCATTCTGGTCTGCAGCGTCATCGTCTGCGCCGAGCAATGCACATGCGCATACTGGTTCCGCATCAGGAGCATCTAGATCAGGGTCCGCTACATCCGGATCGAGGAAACGGACGGAGGCAGGATCCCGGTCCGAATCGACACCGATGCACAAGCCGCAGGCGCCCATGACCATGTCTTCGCGGGCGGGCTACTCGTACGCCCAAGCGCAGGGAGAAGCATGTGCAATGCCTTCGTCAAGAGAGCAAAGTGGGCATGCAGCAGCAGGGACAGGCCTCGGCGCAGGAACATGGCACAGTGGAATGGCAGGCGCGACAGCATCAGCATCAACAGGGAACGACTCGGCCACCTCGATATGGTCGACAAGAGCAGCTCATCGCCAACCACAAGCAACACAGGTCAAAGACCCGGGTTATGGCCACTCACACTCCTATTCACTCTCGCGCCCACCATTGCAGACGTACAAGTCCTCCAGAACACTGAGCATTGGTGGCGATTCGACGCCCTTCTTTGGCGCGGATGGCGCACTGCTCCCTCCCTCAGGCGCAAGCAATGGGGCAACTGGCGCTGGCGCCGGTGCCAAGGTGAAATGCGTACCTGGAGTCATGAACCCGAGCTTCGTCTTCCAGTCGCCTTCGATGGCGTATCAGTCGCACTTTGCGCGCTCCAAGGGCACCCTTGCCACGGACTACGGCGATGACAAGGACGACAGCCCGGGTGCATCCAGCATCTTCAATCTACCGGTACCCGCATACTACGCGGCTACAGGCGATGGCGCTGCTGCCGGGTATCACAAGGGAGGAAAGTCGACCTCGTCACCCAAAGATTCGCAGTCGTGCACGAATGCGTCAGCACGTAGTCTGCGCGCCCAGAGCATCTTCTGGTGGGCGACGGCACTGCTCCAGTCCAGCTGGATCTCCTGGTTATTCATGCTCGTCGTTCTGCTCGAAGCGGGCGTCAACATCTCCGTCGAGTCGGTCCTGCTGGCGCGCTTCAACACGCAGAAATCCATCGAGATGGACGTTGCCAAGGAGCGCGCGCTGCCGGTCTTCCTGGTCGTCTTTGGCCTCGCACACCTCTACCAGATCCTGCTCGCCATCGACGCAGTTGTCAACAAGAACATGATTCTCGTCATCGGTATGCTCCTGATGAACGGGTGCATGCTCGTCTACAGCGGCATCCAGATTGGCGAGATCCGCGATGTGCTCGGCACCGGCGTCGTCGCTGGCACCGGCCAGCACATACCCGTACAGGTCCTTACTGGCTTGATCCCCGGCGTCGTCGGTGCCGCCGAGGTGGCGTTCGGCGCGCTGTTCGTGCCGCTTTGGAAGGAGTACGGGTGGAGGATATACAAGCAGATCGGAGCGGATCGCGGACTCAAGCGGCGCTACCTTCACTACCAGATCTACGTCGCATTACTGAGTGAGTTCGAGTAAGATCTGCCGGCGTGTCATGGCCAGTAGTTCACTGTCCCTGCTCTCTCCACTCCCGGTGTCTCCCATCAGAGTACGACTTCTTCGTCTTCTGCGCATACTGCCTGCAGCTTATCCTCATCGTGTTGCAGAGGATGGACGCGGAGCGCATCATCACGATCATCGCACCGCTCTTCAGCCTCCTCGTCCTCGTCCTCGCCTGGTGGGCGGTGCGCGCAGAGAACAGGGTGGGCATGTACGCCTTCATGGTCGGCCTCACAGGCGCGCTAGTCTATTTTAGCTACAAACTCTTGCGCATCTGGCAAGACAAGGACGGAGCGTACAAGGAGGTCTATCGGTCCCTTTCAACCTTCTCTATCCTCTCCATCCTCCTGCTCGTCATCACACTCGGCATGACTGTGCGCTGCTTGCTCAACTTTGGCCGCGGCCTGCGCGCCGCGATCGAGCGCATCAGCACCGCCAGGAAGCTAGGGCACAGGGCGATGACGAGCAACGGCGGCACGCTGTATGCGGTCGGCGCGGCCGGCGGCGCGGACGGGAAAGGCGGCCATGGCAGCAGCATGCTCTACATGCACCATCGACTCAGTATCGATTGAGGCAGTTGAGGAAGCGATTCTTCCACACTGGCTCATTCTTCCATTCTTTTCCACTGATGCACGTCTACATTCGGTGTCCCCAATACTCCCGTCGCATCCCTTTCTCCTTCGCCGCCATTCATTACCGCCTTCATCTTCAGCAAACTCCGGTCTATCTCGCTCATCCGCCTGCGCTTCTTTCGTCAACAGCGTCTCATCCAGTATTCAACATCCAGCAGCATTCCCCAATGTATACTACTTTCCCCTCGCATCTGCCCGACCTCGACCAAGCTCGAACACGGTTCATCAGGCATCCTTCAACAACAGTATATATAACTTCGCCGATTTCTCGCTTGTACAGCTTCGCCCTCTTTCTCTCTTGGGCCGCCATCGCCCTGCTCCAAATTTTTTTAAAGATGAAGACTTTGCACAAGGAAAGGATGAAGTCAAGGAGCATTCTCTCACTTTTGGCAGCTTGGCATCGCTTTCATTTCCAGCTGGCTGGAACCTGCTGAGACGGTGGCCACACGGGCTGCTTTTCAAGAAGATTGTTAGCTGTATTCTGTTCATACTTTTGTAGACTTTTTGCATTTTTGTTGTGCCTCGCAATTGTTTGCAACTTGACAACTTTTCTGGTGCCTGGTTTGGTCCAGGGTATGTACACGACTGAGAAAGCAGCCTTTTTTCTTTCGTTTCTTCATGCAGCCTCCAAAAGGACACCCCTGGATGCGCTATTTGTAAAAGGGCACAAATTTATAAATATTGAAAGGCTGATCAAGAATTTTCAGCATCGTGGGTGTTGAGAGCATGACTTTTGCGGCTCGATTTTCGTCGTTGTGAGCGTCTTGCAAAATATGCATTGTCCAAAGCGCCCAAAGCGCAAGTAGGGATACCCCAACCTCTGAACTCCTTGTCTGCGCTGGAGGGACCGGGCAGCCCCTCACTTCATGTTGATTGTTGCTACAAGGACGACACATAACTGCGAGGTCATTGCTATTCAGATCCATCATGATACTAATAAAATGGTTGATGATGAACACTTGGTGCAGTGTGAGGGATGTGCAGAAAAAAAGACCGTGAGTTTTGAAGGATCGAATACCCTCCAAGTCAAGGACCCTAATGTTGAAACTCATGATATCGTGAGTTTTGCTCGAGGCTCCTCGGATTGAAAATATTCTTTCCATCGGACTCCAAAAAAGCGTGAATATCTGACTTGAACAGCACGGATGTGGTTTGACTTTTGGTGTGTCTTCTGAAATACATGACTTTTGCTTCCGACTTGGTTATCTAGCATGTTCTTCAAACCTTTTCCACAGGGTTTTCCCATTCGGAATACTGGCTGAGGAAACCCCTGTGTGTTTTCAGCACGTCCGTGGTTGACAGCTGCGATCCTTGTCATCGCTTCGTCTTACTTCGTCTCGCCCTGTGTGCGAGACGAAGTTTCTGCGTTGTACTTTACTGACGTCACCTGCCATCTCCATTGAACAAGTAGAGGGCCTTTGCCATGGCCCGTCGCGAAACCATACGCAGCGCTAGGGACACATTTTCTTGTCTCATACTTTGAGACCTGTTCACTGACAAAATAAATCGATGTCCAGATTTCATGCCTTGCAAGAAGAATTCCAACGGACGGGGCGGGCGAGCTAGAGGCAAGCCATTTGACTGTGGTGCTTACGATGGCTGATGTAAAAGCAAGCTGTCACACTCTGTTGCCTCAGGCAAGCTAAAATTTACAAGTACTCGGGTTCCTCGGTCTCACCCCCTTACCAATATCTACTTGTTTTATAACCACTCATCATCAAACTCACCATAAACTCAAGGTACATATGCGATAGTTTTTACATAATTGCGAAGCGCGCTCCGTCAACCAATTATTTAGCAGCTCCAACAGCACCCATGTGTGTAGATGATCTAATGTATTTTAAATGAAGGCGCGAATGTGTGAGGCAAGTTTTTCAAGTGATGCAGCCATGAAGATGTACATGCTGACGCCAGATGAGATCAGGGTTCCCAACGTCCAGCAGTTTTAGGCTGTTCCATATCCGGTGATCTGGTCAACCAGGGTGCTGAGTAGGTGAGTAGAAGCCTGTAAATCTGTAGGACTTAGGAGGACCTGGCGAGTGGAAAGGAACGAGCATTGAGAACGAGATATTGGTAGCTGACCAGATCCGGGCCTGCCCACAGGGAAAGACCCTGGCATTCATGGTAAAAGGCGGTCAACCGTCCGATGTTCAGGCGCCTATCTTCTCATCAATACATCACTCTTTCGTTTTGTATCGAAATATGCATAATATGTAGAGTATGCATGTGTCACCGTTTATCGGTTCACGTGTTCTCAGGTAGAGCGTGCTTCCTCACAGAGCCTGTCACTGTCCTTCGCATTGCTGCCCAGTTTCCGTTAGAAGAATCGACGGTGTGCACAATAAATATGAATTACATAAGCATGAACATAACCATCACTACTGTCATGGTCAAAAAGGCAGCTTGCAACGCTGCGCTCGAGGTCTTCCAGACACCAGGTCCGCCAAGATGACGTCCCGGTCTAAAGTATGTTGAGCTACGGAACGACAAGCCCATCATCGACAAGTAGGGCGCTACAGCCCGCTTGGTGAAGACGTCATGACTGAGGGCTGCAAGGTATGCTGGCCAAGGGATAGGTCGATGAAGCGTCGCTGAATACACAGTGTGGTTCATGTTGGTGATCACGACGAGGATGAACGGTACTCCACAGGTTTGTCTCGATTTCCGCAAGCTAAAAGAAGCCACCGGAAAAGTCGCCTTCCCTATGGAGGACGCCAACGGTCTCTCTGCACAATGCGCTGGCAAGAACTGTTTCGCCCTTCTACACCAATTTTAGGGGCTTCTTAGGCTGTTGGTGGAAGAAAGTAGCAGAGACAATACAACGTTCACTGCGAACGGTGGACTTTTTCAAAAATGTCAACTGAGATGAACGAACAACCCCACGGCAACCCGCAGCTGACCACAGCTGTCTGCTCACCGCTCACTCCGCTGCTCAGCCTTCTCTTGTTGTGACCATCGGCGTTCACAGTAGACCAATCCTCAGAGTTGCAGAGGCACACTATAAAGGCGGGGATAATAGCTAGATGTATAGAAATTTGAGGAGCATATAGGTGGTACACGAGGCACAATTGAGCATAAGTGATAAAAGTGGAGACGCGATGGAGACACTGGGGGAATTGGATAGTGCGGGCTATGCCGTGGATGGGCTCAATGCTTGGTCACGTGCTCCTTTCCGCCCTTTATAACACGCTTCCCCACCTCCCCTCAGGCCTCAGCAGCCCCGGCACTTGGCAGGCGCAGTCCCAGACTATCCCCAAGCTGTCCTAGCATCCCACAAGTCCCTGGGGCCGCCCTAACCTCTGGTAATCCCAAGTCAGGTGCAAACCCACTGAGTCGGGCGCAAAATGGTCCGGGGACTAGACCGGACTAAGGCCACCCACCTGTAGGGCCCACCGGGCAGTTTAAGGCGCTGTAACTTGGTTGGGTTTTTCACAGTTGAGACTGTTCTTCGCTAACGTTGCTGTTTTCCTGTATTTTTCCCCTTCCCATGTGAATACATGCATACAGATCCATATGCAGGTCCTGCCGATTTTCAACATGATTATCCTTCTTTTCCCAACTCGCGTTCCTTCACAAGGCACATTCTTCCTCGGACCCCGTCATCCATAGCGATCTAGCTTGAACGTAATGCATGAGCAATGCTTTGTTGGATTTTGAGAGCATTGATAGTTGACGGAGGGTGTTTCGGCGTTGACATTAACAGAGGGCATCAGGTTGAAGGAGTCATCGGGCTGAAAATCTTGTCCTTTCTGGGGAGTCGCGTGGACTAGAAGATGTGTCTCTTTTAGTCAAACTTTGCCTGACTTCGCCAAGAGAGCCAGAAAATGGTTCGAGCCGCTTGAAATACAGCTATGTCCTGGCTCTGCCCCGCCAGATAGGGTTACGAAAAAACCCTGAATATTCGCTGCCTGGCCAGGCGCCAGCACTGCAGCGGAACGTTGACTATCCCACGGCCAACAGAAGCGCGGATCTCAGTGGGTGTCTTCTCCTGCCTGACACCGCGCGCGCTGTGGGCCTGTCGCCTCTTGCAACAAAAAAAGCACAACAGATTCAACGCTGTCATACAGAAGCAAGGTATGCGGATGGCTGCAAACGTTTGCAAAAGACGTGAGCAGATCATCCTTTTCACCTCTCGCTCTTGGAAAGGCAGTCTGCAGGAAGGCATAGTGAGAGGACGCAGAGACCCGAGGTGTGTGTTGTCCTTGGCCGCACAGTTGCCTGTGCCCCAATCACTTGCGCATCGGCCTGCTGTACCAGCACCTGACAGCCCGCAAAGAGCAATAGCCGCATCTTCGCGCTCTGCAACACGGCGCCGTAACCACAAGAGAAAGGGTATATACACATGGCAGAGCACGAGCAGCGCAAGCTCGACTGCAACGTAGAAGATGGTGTCCGAAGCAGGGCCGCACGCGGCGGCCGAACCGGTGAGTCGAGTGTGTGGATACCAGCCGAAGCAGAGCAACATCGAGAGTGGCGCGCCCCTCGCCCCCCTCCCCCCTCGACTTCTGGCTGGCCGATAGCTAAGCTTCGCAGCTCTACTGCATAATGTGCAGTTCTTGCATTGCACACGAGAGTTATGCATATGCTTCGTATGGCATGGTTGGGCTGCTTCTCGCTTTAAAGCTAGAGAACAGGGCTGGACTGACAATTCTTCTTATCTGCGTTCCCATCTACGGCGGTGCCCTTACCCCTCCTCATTCACGTGGAATTCTGTCATGCATCTGCCTCACTCATTTACTACTACGGGGTCCCCGCCGTTCCTGCAGAGCACCTACCTTGGCTCGGCGTCGTTCAATGGACATCGGTCCGTTTATGACCACGATCATGAGCTTTCGTCGCGCAATAACTACCAGCCGTCCCAGGGTCGACAAGTACATGGCCAGCAAGGACAGCTGCAACAACAACATTCGCCTACCGCTTGGTCATCGAACAGTAATCAGGGCCTAAGTGGAAGCATGCCGTGGAGCAGCTCGTCACACCTCTCGCCCAATCCCCAGAGCCAGTCGCATTCACAGCAATCGCAAAAGCAAGGGCAAGAGCACCAGCACGACCATCATCAGCAACAGCATCAACAACGAACGTACGGCAACAGTGATTCAGCTTCTTCACAGCAGCAGCATAGCGCATCTCATCATGCCTATGGCAGCCTCAATGCCAACCCAGCCACGTCGGGTAGCTATTATGCCATGCAATCTATCAACGGCGGCAGCGGGCACCGCACGCCTGGTGGCGGCTTGAGCCTCGGCGCACCCGGCATGGAGCAGCGTGGCAGCAATGGTGCCAGTACTGCTGGTGGAAGCGGATACAGTACGCCTTCTCACAATGGCATTGGACCTTCGCGGTCCGCTTCCAACGCCAACATGGCGGCGGATGGTTCAGGTCACCGTTTTGATGGGCAGCATCGATCAGACCACAACACATATCACAGCCACAGCACCTCGGGCAGCACTTCTCATTCACCCATGCACACTTCGCACGCCAGCACGCCCGTCAATGAGCACACGGCTGCAACTGCAGCGGCGTCAGCTGCTGCGGCAGCTGCTGCTACAGGAGCAGGCGGACCTGGGAACGGAGCAGGCGGTTATCGAACACACACTTCCACAGCACCGTCGCTTAGTGGCTATCAAGCCTTCTCCACTGGCTCTGGGCACTCACATTCGCCACAGCATACCCAGTCCCAAGCCCAAGGCGGATACTTTGGCTTTGGTGGCATGAGCCAGGTACGTGCAACATCATTTCCCATTTTGATGCTCGTTGTTCTGAAAGATTGGATATTTACACCATCTGCCACCCTTTCCTACCTTCTGCATTTGACAGACTTTCAACCCAACAACGTACACAGGTACCACCTTCAACCACACACTCAACCCCGCACACTCTACGCCTGGGTTGGGGGTCGGTCGCGGTATATCTGCTAGTAGTGCAGGGAATGGGGCTGGATTTGGGATGGGAATGGGAACGAGCTTCACACCCACCGCTGGCATTCACGTCCCTTTGCCCGGTCGTCACCGCGTTACGACCACTTTGTGGGAGGACGAGAGCACGCTATGCTTTCAGGTGGATGCCAAGGGCGTTTGCGTCGCCCGCAGACATGGTGAGTGTATGCTTTGCAACTATCTTTGCTCGCCAGTGAGGAGATTGATGGCTGTTTTGCTGACTATATGCGCATCCTGCTTTCTGCCGCGGTTTTCGCATTGATCAATTGCAGACAACAACATGGTCAACGGCACGAAGCTGCTCAATGTGTGCGGAATGTCGCGAGGGAAACGCGACGGCATTCTAAAAAATGAAAAGGAAAGGATAGTCGTCAAAGTTGGGGCTATGCACCTGAAGGGCGTGTGGTGCGTCATTGAATACGACGCAAGCTTGCTTTTCAGCCGGCCCGAAGCGCTGATTCTTCGCCATCGTTTTTTCCCTTGCGCATTCCAGGATTGAATTTGGCCGAGCAAAACAATTGGCCGAGCAGAACCACATCGCCGAGCTCCTTTACCCGCTGTTCGAGCCCAACATCCAGCAATTCTTGTACCATCCCGAAAACCTGCCGCGAACAGCAGCTGTGCTTGCCGCGGCACAGGAGCGACAGATCGCCAACAGCGCATCCACAGGCGGAGCTGGGCTGGGGGCCCAGTCCCCCCCAACGAGTGGAAATACCAGTGCGAGGCAATCGCTCAGCGGCGGGTCCGCGGTCCCACCACCTCTGATGCGAGCTAGCACTTCGCCACTGGCGCACCGGAATAGTGGCAACGAAGGTCTGCACTCGGTCAGCGCCGCTGCTTGGGCCACCGGTCACGGACACGCCCCCCCTGCGCATCAGCTGATGCGGGACCATCAATCTTCATCGGCGCCCGGTGCGGGTTACTCCAACCCGCCTTCGCTCAAGCTTAATGGGAGCTTGGCCCATTCTCGGACAGACCTGGACGATGCGCAGCGGCGCTCTGCCAGCGAACTCTCTTTGCACTCGCATACACACGCGCAGCACGACTCCTACGCGGGCAACATCAGTATGTCCTCTACGCAGATGAACGGTGGCTCAGCAACTGCACCGCCTGTGCCTACACGGCGGGTCTCGGGCGTCAAACGCGATCGCGAGGGTGCTGAGAATGAGGCTAATGATAGTTACAGTAACAGCAGCATTCGCAATTCGCTCTCTGCTGAAGATGGCGCATCAAACTCTAGCGGCGGTGCCGCCAGCAGCCATGTCCACGGACTTGGACCTGGACATGGACACGACAGCGATTCAGCCGAGCAGATAAGCAAGCGTCCAAGGGCGGATGGCCTTGGCTCGCTCAGTCGTTCGTCAAGTGCCCACTCCCTTCGGCAAAGCTGGACTGATCCGCAGCGGTATCAGCAGCAGCAACAACCACAACAACAACCACTACAACAACCACTACAACCACAACCGCAACAACCGCAACAACACCAGCAGCATCTTCCGAGCATCAGTCAGACGCCTCCTACCACGTTCTACTATTCTAGTCACGGCAGTGGGCCTTCGCAATTGTTTCATCATCAGCAGTAAACGCGCAGCAGTCGGCCTTCGCCCTTCTCTGTTGTCGAAACGCTTGGCCATGTTAGAGAAGCTCGATTGCAGAAAGCCAGAATGTCACATTGGGCCAAGAAGGGGAGTAAGACCAGACTACAAGACCACCGAAATCAGAAACAGTCAAGCATGCATGCTCCACTCAGCAGACACGTTCCACTACCTCATCGCACTTCACGGACCTGACACCACATGATCAAAAATCGAACATCACTTGCATAAAACCCAGCCTCGCACCTGTCCAAACGTCGCACTTCTCTCAAAGGTGCTGTGCGCCTCGCATCTTTCCGAGCACTGCACTATGACCAATTTTGGGCTGAACCTAGGTCTGGGCCTCGTCGCTTGGGTATATCGGGTTCGGCATCCAGGGGCTTTTATCACATGTATTCAATTCTCTTGGATAGTATCCCGGTGGGGATGGGGCCGACTGAGTGTGATCTGACGAAATGTATGATTAGAGCTTCAGGGGTAGGGGACAATCTATTGGTAGATTAAATGCCTGAAATGCAAACTTTGATTGCATCGCTCTCCTTTTTCTTGCTTTCGTTTGCGATAAAAATACGTGTTACTGATCCATGCGTGTCTGCTTCCGGGATAATACAGTGCATAGGATATATATAAAAAGTCTATGACATCTGCCAAAACGCTGGACAGAGAAGCGCTGTTGGCGTGCGATGAATAATGGTTCGAGCATGCGGAGCGCGCATTCAGCGGCTCTCGAGTGTTGCGAGAATGACTCCAGCGGGCGGCCACAGCTGAGAATAAACGTGCACGAAGATTGGAACTGCCTTCAGATAACGCAGTGGTGTTAATCCGATAGGCGACGTCGCCCCGCGTCAGACAACAGTTTGGCCAGATTTAGAAGGATCTGGCTACACCTTGGCCCACTCGGGAAGACGCAAGTGACCCAGTAGGGCTTTAGTGCCGGGAACAGTGCCCTCATTCGCGGCAAATCACATTCAATATCGTCAGGCCGCTGGTCCTTTGGAAGTTCGAAAAGGGAAGATGCCAAGTCAACGCGATTGTAAGGCGAATAGTTGGCATTTCCATCTTCTGATGCACTGTCGATAGAGATCGGAGCCTTGAGCAACGGTGCTGAAACGCGCTTGGGAGTCGTCAGCTTGAAGGCTGGATCGATGGGGTGGCCTTTGGCGCGGAAAGGCTGTCAGCAGAGAGCTTGACATTCATGCAATTTTCGCACGCAAGACTCCCCGGCCCTGCTGCCATTCCTCGAAAGTCGTGCTGTGGTGCCGGTGGGCCTGGATCGTGCGCTATCTTACTCTTGTGGAACACACCCGCCGGGACAGCTTGCCAGCGAAGATGAATTGTTCAGGTGTTATGCGAATCAGGCGAAGGAACTTTTGATAGCACAAGGCGGACATTGGAGCCCTTGAACAAAACACCGCAGCTGAAGGTCACGCGGTCAGCCTGGGAGTAAAGGTTGCAGCTCGCTCTTCGAAGAGCGTATCCGTCCGGGAGGAACTCATTCTCCTGGTCAGAATGCAGCACGCGGCCAGGATTCGACACCTGCATCCCTCTTTTGCATGTAGTGGCTTGCGTACGGCGGCGTCCGTGCGAAAGAGCTGTTGAAAATTAATTGGTTCGCTGCCCTGCGCTTGATCTCCAAGAACAGGTAGGTTGGAAGCGAATTGTCCTACTCCTTTGCGAGCAGGTATCTTTCATGATGAACAACCCGCGTTCCATAGGATGGGTGTCATACAAACTGAGAGTCACCTCCTCTTTCTCATTTGCATAGACTAGGAAGCGACTAAGTGGGTCAGGGTGGAATGACAGCGCTGCTTGTGCATGCTCCGGCCAAATCTCCACATTTGCTCACATTTGGTGATGTGGCGACGTGCTCGAGTCATCAGCTTTTTCCCCGTGGCTGGCAACTTTCATCGATTGGCCTTGCCTTTGCGATCCACTTTCTGCTTCCTTGTGAGTCCCAGCTTTGGAATACTGGGAGGTCCCCTCTTCGCTGTCTACTTCACGAATTTGCGAACGTTTCTGTGGAACCTCAAAAACAGATCGGCGATCGCTTGAGCTCGATGCAAGTCTTCCAACTGCGCTCCTGCGTGGACATGAACGGTCGGCTGGGAGGTTTCTTCTTGCGATGAAGATGAGGTTTGAAAGGGAGAGATGTATCCAGCTGCAGAAAATAGATCATTCAAGAGCGGATTGGCCGCGAGCGATTCCGGGGGGGGTGACCAGGTTCTCTGGCGTTTCGTATCGTTGACATTCCCACCGTGTCGACAAAGCTGAAAATTGCATCTCGCAGTCAACTTGCACTGCTATCAGAATCAGTAGGCAGGGCCAGGGAGGTAAAAGTGGCACAGAAGAGAGCTCTCATCATTACTTGGTGAATATCTGTGGAGAAGGGCAGATAATGCTCGCTGGGTAAAGGACCCAAGGATGAGCAATGCGAGCCCCGAGGTAATCGGAACGCCTTAAATATCATGAGCTTGCAACGTTTGTCTTTGCATTCATCCAAGTTCTCATACCGTTGGCAGGACGGAAATGAGACTTGGATTGGCAGCTGGCGTAGCAGGTGCAACCCATCAAGCCGCACCTTGTTCTTCCAGGATATGACCTAAATCATTTTTTATCTTTTGATAGCCACCTTCTTGGGTCCATGAAGCCACCCAGCTGATGAAATTCGATGTATAGCTCTGGACGCGGATCGAACTGCACATGGAATTGAGTAGCGTGGAGAGGTTATCTAGCTCATAGAGGACCTCGGGCGGGATGTCGAGCAGCTCCGGCTCCAATCGTTTTTGCTGCTTGCTGGGCGATGGCTCCGCACCGAAGATATTTGCAAATTCTCCAATAGCATTGAAAGCTTTATCGAATCCAGGAACGAAGCTCCCTTCCCTTCGTCGTCCGCTTCATCATCCTCTTCATCGGCCCCTTGGCTGTCCTCGTCGCTGTCGTCTTGACCTGCTCCGTTGCCGTCTTCGCCTTCCTCTTTACTGCCATCGTCTCCGCTAACTGCTTCGTCTTCCATGTGACTGGTTCCACTTTCTGCTTCTCCTTCGATACCGTTTTCCCGCCGGCCGATGCTGTCAACGTCCTATTGGCTGTCAGAATTTTGAACTGCACTGTCAAGATTCATTATCAGGTACTCTTGCAACGCTGCAGGTAGAGCATCCTTCTTATCTCCATGGCCGTTCCTCATGAGGTTCGAGCCCCTGCAGCGGTAGGTAGTGGCGGCCACTTCGTGTCGAACGGACGTGGTGGCGTGCATCCCTCGGCCATCCAATCTGTAGCAGAGAGTCAGGTTCACTGCACGCCGGGCAAGGCAACGCCAGCGCCGCCTGCATGAATCAGTTGCGCCTACGAGACGGGCAGGTGCGCCTTTGGAGGGAAGATGGATGTGCCATGGCGAATGGCTTCCAGACCGCCTAAAATAAAGACCTGCACTCTCTGCAGCGCACCGAATGATTGATCATGAATTGTTGAATGCAACGCGGGTATACGAGGGAAAGCATCTGGGCTCAGTTTCTTTTCTTTGGTCTCTTCCACAGCTGAGCTCTATATCTCCGCTGCTCCCCAGCCACGGCTCGATACAATACTGTGCAGAAACAACCCCTGGCGTGCACGCAATGCATAACTTGTATGGATGAGCGAAGCAGTATCATATCACGATGGGCCGTTCTGGATTTTGCAGCAACAAAAAGCGGCTTCGCAGCAGAGGACCGTTCAAAGAGTTCATGTATTGTTCGCTCGCCGCTCGATGTGCCAGAAGGTCCATTGCGACGCAGTAACAAGTACGCACGCCATATATACTATACGCAAACAAAAATCAGCAAACTGGGCGGGGGGTAGCGGGGGGCAGCAGGAAGAAAAGTCCACGTTCTACGTGATTACGAAGGGTGCGAAACAGACGTCACCGCAAGGGACTTAAGCGCCGGAGTCGGCGGTGCCGTCGTCGCATGCCCATTCGATGCCATGGCCGTGGTGGCTGAAGCGGGCACAGCATCATTGTCGACGTGTGCGCCAGCGTTGGAGCTGAGCGTCTCGGCTCTGCGACCTGCCTGCGCAGAGCTGGCGGCGAGATGGAGCGAGCCAGCTGCGCGGCAATCCGCAGAGCCCTCCTGCGAATGCCCCAGTGAGGGAAGAGCAGAGTTGCAGCCGCTGGGGAAGATCAGCAAGTCATTCGAAGCTGTGGTGGCGGCGGCTGGCGAAGCACCTGAGCCGCTGGCGAGCATAGCGGTTTGAGATGTTTGTGCCGCGTACTCGTCCGCCGAGCTTTTGACCCGGGTGTGGGAGCCAGCGGCAGCAGCACCGGCGGAAGGATAGCCCAAGGGGGCAGATTTGGCCGAGTTGGACGTTCCTGCATCTGCTTGAGCCATATGATCATTCCCTTTGAGAATTGCACTACTGCGCTTCAGCGTCGTCGTACCCCGCGCGCAGACGGGCGAGTCGGGCGCGACGATGGCGGTCGGGCCAAATACGAGCTCCAAGGACGGCTGCGGCTGCGCGAGCGGCGGCGATGAGACAGCCAGGGCGCCAAAGATGATTTGGTGGTACGAGATAAGGTCTTCCATCGTCTTGTCCTCCTCCATCGCCGCTGCCAGCGACGTCGCGCCGTGATCAGCTTCGGAGAGCAGGACGGGCCCAAAAACGACGGCCAGGTTGCTCGCTGTCATCTTGTTCTCGTCGGCATGCGCAGCGACGCGCGCAAGATGCTCGACAATCGCCTTGAGGGTGACTTGGTTGATGGAAGGTCTGCAGAAACAAACGATTCAATGCGACCCGTGCGCAACACGTCAGATTTAGCCTAGCCCAGTTCGGCCCAGCGTAATTCAAAGCGCTGCGGCACACACACGCAAACGCGCACTCACGCTCTCCGAATGCGGCTCTTGAGCATGGGGAATCCCGCCTGGACATGCTCGTCCCTCTCGTGTGTGTATTTAATGCGCTCCTCCCACGGAATCGGCAACACGGGCTCGGGCAGCTGGCGGAGGTAGAGCTTGAGCAGGCCCGCGACGGCTGCAGGCTCGTCGCGCGCCGGGTCGAATTGGAAGTCGGCCTCGTTGCGCTCGATGGCGTGCGCGAGGTTCTGAAGCGCAGAATGCTTGGCGCTGATGCGGTAGATACCAGGATGCTTCATCGCATGCCCCTCGAGAAACTGTATGCACTTGGTCACGACCAGCGGCGGCTGCGGCGCCGAGCCTGCGCCACGGTTGTGGCTGAAGGCGTAGTCGGTCAGCGAGGTTCCGAAGAGCAGGTCTTGGCACACGCCGTGCCAGCTGTAATAGAGGAACAAAAAGAGGGTAGGAAGAAAGGGGCCGTGCGCATCAGACGCACTGGTTCTTTTCGACAGAGGCGGGTACGCCGATCCGCAGTGCAGCACTCACTAGTTGACGTAGGTCACCTTGTCCTCGATAATTTGCTCGATGTGCGGAATGGTCTCCTCGAAGTCCCTTATCTCGGTCTCAAGTGCGTCGGTGCACTTCAGCACGACTTCCTCTGCATGCGTCTTGAGGCTGACGTTGGAGCTGCTGAGCAGCAGGCCGGCGCGTTCGGCCTGCAGCCAGCTCGCCTGAGCCGTGAGGGAGAGTTCGCGCTTGCACTCCTTGCAGCTCTCGATCGCCGCCGCGATCGTCTTCTCGCGCCGGATGCGCAGCGTCTCCAGGTCAAAGATCGCCTTGCGGTACACGCGGTCCAACTCCTCCGACTCGCGCTTCGCCTTGACCGTCTTGAGAGCGATCGAATGCGCGCCGGCCTTCATGCTCGGCTCGCGCGCTCCACCAAAGAGGCCACCGCCCCCGCCCCCACCACTACCACCACTACCACTACCACCACCTCCTGCTCCCGCTGCAGCGTACTCGTGCGAGCTGGACACGCCAACGCCAACACCAGCGAGTAGTCCGCCAACAACGCTGCCGCCTCCACTGCTGTTGCTACTGCCGCCGCCGCCAGCGCCACCTCCAACGCCACTACCGTAGGCTACATCTCGATCCACCTTGTCCCCTCCGCCAATGCCCAGGACACCTCCGCGCTCGTCGCGCATGCGCGAGATGAACGCGTTAATTTTGCGCGGCGCCTCCTTGCGCGCGTTCTCCCAGCCCTCCTTATGCCGTAGCGCATCGAAGAAGTTCGGCTTCTTCTCGTCCTTGTCCTTCTCGCGCTGACCCTCCGCTTTCGATGGCGGTGGCGGTTGCTGCTGCTGCTGGTGCCCCGAGCGGGAGTGCGAAGGCGGTGAGAAGGCGTGCGAGCTGATGACCGCCCCGTTCACTGAACCGGGTGCGGGTGTGGGGGGCTGTGACGCCTGCAGGTCCTTGCCCATGGCGGCGGCAGGAAGCACGTGCAACGAGGGCCGCGATGACGTCTCAGCTGCTGCTGCTGTCGACTCGCACATCCGAGCTGGGTCTGAGCTCAGGCGCTGGTGGATCGGAAGTGAGTTGGAGGTGTGGAAGTCTGGTCGCGGAGGCGGCCCCGAGGGGAAATCGGAACTCTCTGACGAGTGGTATGAGCCGCCAGATGACGATCCTCCACCACCAACATCCAGCAAGCCCGGCATACCGCCGCCGCCCGTGGTGCCGGCAGAGAGCAGCGCGCGCTGGTCTTCGGCAGCCATCTGCTGCAAGCGCAGCGTTTCTACTTCCTCGCACTTTTTGTCGTACTGCTTCTTGATGCGTGGGAGGGTGACATTGCGCATCTCGTCATAGTTGGACAGGTGTGTCTTAAGGTCTTCCTTGACGCGCTTGCGGATGCGCTCCTGCGCGTCGCGGAAGGCGATGAGCGGTGTCAGGACGCCCTGGCGGATCGTGTCTGCCATGTGGCTGCGCGTCTCTAGCTCTGTGGTGAGTTGAAGAGGCGACAGAGGATCAGTTCCTGTTGCCGGCAAAAGGACAAGGGAGCGAATGACACACCTCGCAGGTCGTTCTCGCGCAACTCATGCCACGCGCCTCGCAGTGTAGCTCGGGGCTTGGCAACAACGGCGTTTCGCATGCCCTTGCCATCAATCTTGCTGTCGAGCTCGCGTTGCTTATCGACCATGCTGCGGAACGCCTTGAGGTAGTCCTCCTCGACCTTGAGGCGGGATTCGTAGAAGGAGGTATAAGCTTCTGCCTCGCGCAAGGTCGCCTTGAAGGCGTCAATGATGGCGGATGAGAGGTCTGCAGGGGCAGCGGATGACCCTCCGTATGGGCCTGCCTCGCTGGACTTGCGCGCGGGGGGTATAATGAGGGTGGTGCTGCTGTTCACTGCATGCTGCTGTGGGCCTTGTGTGTGCGCTGCTCCGCCGGCGCCGGCGCCAGATGGCAGGTCCATGGCTGGTTTCGGACGCGGCAGGGGGGCTGCGAGTGGCGTCCAACCCAAGGGGGAAGAGGGGTGTGAGGACTGGTCGCCTCACTGCAGGGTAAATATGTAGTCGTAGGGGGTACACTTGTAGACGATACGCTGGGCCTCGCCTCGCCCCGCCGCCGCCTGGAGCAGGGAGCAAGGAACGTCGTGGCAATGGCACTCAGAGCAAAGCTAGTGAGGGTGGAGGGTTGGGTGGCGAAGCGAGCCCAGGCTGCCATGTGATGCGATGTGAGTACGGAGCATTGGAGCATGAGACTGCTGAGGAGAAAAGATGATGATCTAACCCCGCCATGACACTGAGTGAGCGCTCCCGTTTGCAGCCCACAAGTTGTCCGCCACAAAGTCACCGACTGTTCTGCTGGTGTGGCGCGTGCGACTTGACTTGTTTCTTTTTATGGGGCTATGCCATTTCTTTCTTTTGTCTCTAACCCTAACCCTCCATTGGCTTGCCGATTCTCGGTGGATGAAACATGGAGTTGCGAAAATCGCTGCTGGGTGGACCGTGCTGCATAGTTACCACATCCATATATATATATATATATACACGTGGCAGTCTTTGCATGCACAGTGCACAACGGACATCGGGCCAGACTGTCTGCGCTACCATCCTACCCCATCACATCACTTCCATCGCACCGAGCCTGTCAATGTGCTGCCGCCACCGCTGCTGCTCCAGCTTGCGCTGAACTGGTGCGCGTCATTCAGAGCCGGCGTGTACCTCTTCTGGCACCTTCATCCTACCTTCCCGCCTTGAAAGCTACCTGAACACAAGCTTGGCGCCCGCCTGGCAGGACTCTCTTGCACCACCAGCTCTGCGACGAACAGGCACGCCTTGGACGCCTGGAGCTTACGCCGCTGCCCTCGGGAGCTGGACGTGCCAACTTGCGATCGCCATGGCCGCCTCCACTGCACCGCCGTCGTTGCGAGAGGCACAGGTTTCCTCGCTGCTGTCGCTGCTCAACTTTAACCACCCCGTCTCTGCCGCGCAAGTTAAGGCGACCACGAACAACGCATCCACTTCCTCAGCAGCAGCGAGCAGAAATGCAGCGCCGACGCCGCAGCTGCCCGCCGGCCCATCAATCTGGAAGGTACTCGTCATGGATAAGACCAGCCAGGATATCCTCGCGACTAGTCTGCGCGTCCAGGACCTCAAGGACCACGGCGTCACGCTCCACCTTCAGCTCCTTTCCGATCGCCCACCGCTGCCCGACGTTCCCGCCATATACTTTGTAGCACCCAAGACGGAGAACTTTAAGCGAATAGCAGAGGTGCGTGCGCTGCGCTGCAGTCGCATTTCACGCTTGGAACTGACACCACACCCCCTTTGGCACTCTTTGGATCGCATGCAGGACCTTGCGCGATCGACGTACGAATCCGCCTACGTCAACTTTACCACATCCGTTACGCGGGCGCAGCTCGAGGAATTTGCCTCGATCATCTCGAAGGACGGGTCAGAAGCAAGCATCGAGCAGGTGTACGATCAGTACCTCGACTTTATCGTTCTCGAGAACTCTCTCTTCTCGCTCCTTCCGGCGCAGCCGCAGGCGCAGGCAACTTCAGCCGCTGCGCAACAGAAGGGCCTGAACGGCTTAGCAGCAAGCACTGGCAGCGGTAGCGACTCATCCATCTGCACGTACGAGATCCTCAACGACCCCAAGAGCGGAGAGCTCGAGGTGGAGGACGAGACGGACCGCATCGCGAAAGGGCTCTTCTCCATCCTCGCCACCTTTGGCCAGTCCAACCTGCCCATCATCCGCTCGCCGCGAGGCAATGCTGCCGAGCTCGTCGCTCGCAAGCTCGAGGGCAAGCTGCGGGACCATATGAGCGGCACACGCGGCAGCAGCGATCTGTTCGGCGGTGGCGGAGATGCAGCAGCGGGTTCTTTGAGCGCTTGGAGCGCTCAACGGCCGTGTGAGTGTCGTGTTGCACGAGCATGCCCGGGTTGCACCTACTGGCCGATGGTGCACGAACAGGGACTAACAACGCTTTCTCCCTCTCGAATAAGTGCTTGTGATCCTGGACCGGAACATCGATCTGGTGCCGATGCTGTCGCACTCATGGACCTACCAAGCGCTGGTGAACGACGTGCTGGACATGAACCTCAACCGCGTCACCGTCGAGACATCGGAGAATGATAAGAAGCAAAAGCGCGCTTACGACCTGGACGCCAAGGACTACTTTTGGGCGCGCAATGCGGGAACACCTTTCCCGCAGGTGGCAGAGGACATCGACACGGAGCTGAACCGGTACAAGACGGACGCGGCGGAGATCACGCGCTCGACGGGGATCAGCAGCATGGATGACGTGCAACAGCTCGACCTATCGTCCAACGCGGCACACCTCAAGGCCGCCATCACGGCGCTGCCGGAGCTGACGGCGCGCAAGCAGACGATCGACACACATATGAACATCGCCACGGCGCTCCTGCAGGGCATCAAGTCGCGTGGCCTCGACACGCTCTTCCAGATGGAGGAGACGATTATGCGTCAGAGCAAACTGCAGGTATTGGAGGCCATCAGGAACCCCGAGCTCAAGGAGGTCGCCGCGGAGGACAAGCTGCGTCTGTTTATCATCTTCTACCTCAGCGCGCCTGACTCGGTCCTCGGCAAGGCGGACATCGCCGACTTTGAAAAGGCGCTGCAGGAAGCCGGCGCCGACCTGCGGCCTCTGCAGTATGTCAAGAAGTGAGTCGATTGGCACAGCACCCCTCGCATACAGGCTTCCCATTCCGTTCCTTTTCTCACCCTCGCCTCTCCTCTCTTTGTACCCTCCCTTGCTTTTTGCCCTGTCACAGGATCCGAGAGCTGACGCGCATGACGATGATGGCGTCAGCGCCGGCCGCGCAGCCATCGGCAAGCGGCGAGCTGTTCAAAGGCTTTTCCGCCATCAGCAGCCGGCTGACTGACCGGCTCAAGGATAGCGGGTTGGACAACCTCGTCGCGGGCGTCAAAAACTTCCTGCCGGCGCAGAAAGACCAAACGGTTACGCGTATTGTCGGCAGCCTGATGGACCCACAGAGCGCGTCGGTACAGGCCCTGCAGGAGACAGACGACTACCTCTACTTTGACCCGAAACAGGTGCGCAACGCGCGAGGCGGCGCCGCCACGGCCGGCACTGTCGGCGGGACAAAGGCGCGCCAGGCGTTCAACGAGGTGATTGTTTTTGTCGTCGGGGGCGGCAGCTACCTCGAATACACCAATTTGCAGGAGTACGCGGCGCGCATGCGTGCGCAGCAGGTCGGCAGCGCGCAACTGCGACGTATCACGTACGGCGCGACGGAGATCCTGTCGCCCAGTCAGTTCTGTAAAGTGCTGGGTAACCTCGCGCTCAAGTCGAGCTGAAGGAATTGATAAATGCATGCAGGCATGCGGGAAGAGCGCTTTATGGGGGATCCTGCTGCAACACGCCTCTTCCCGTCGCGCTTCCACAGATGCGTCGCGATTCTTTCAATGACGATTACGTTACATTACGTTACGTTAAATTGCATTGCATAAACCGGGCAGCGATGGCATGAGGGTCGAGGCAAGCAAGACGGTCCTTTTTTCATTTTGGGCTCATTCTCTTCGTCAGCAGTGGAGACTTTTGTCTCGTCCAGAGCCCTTTTGCCTTTTGGACGAGTTGCAACAATACAGGTGGTTTCGCGTAGTTATCCTTCCAACCCAAGCAATCTACTTGCTTGGGTTGCTTACGTGCTCGGTCTCGATCCAGACAGAGGAGTGGGGGGGGGGGCATTCGTCATCCGACTCCACGGGCTGTGCGAACGGTCTGGCTTGCCAACTGCCTTCATAGAGCCATATAATATGGCACTTACGTTTCACCAATAGGTTTGCGTGGGGCGGGTCTGATAGCACTTTTTGTGGAAAACATTAGCCCCGTTCCGCTCGAGCTTTTGGTGGCTCTGAAAGCACCGTCCCTGCATCGGAGCAAGAATGAAGGATTCCGCAAGGATGCTTGTCTCTTCGCTTGGGACAGCCATTGTCAACTGTCACGTTCAGGTCGACGTTCAAACAATGGTCGCTTTGCCTTGCCGGGCGCACGGTCGATCCGGTTCCGGAATTGTATTTGCTCGACTACGGTGAAAGGAGGCGCCTGGTGCATCATATGGCAATGAGCCAAGATTCATCATTGGATTCGATTCCCAAACGCGTCCCGTGGCCCCTACTGAAAGTCAGATGCAGTGGCATCAAAGCAACGTACGAGCTTTCCCCAAAAAAGTGTTGCTTCTACAGTCCAAACAGAGTCGATGAAGGGTCTAAACGTGATCGTGACGGCAAAAGGAATGCGATTCAAAAGATCTCACTGCGAGTATGGATAGTACGTTTTTGTGGCCGTCGCTTTCGTCGTGTCTTCCGGTCCTCGGAAGTGAGTTGTGCTTTAATTTCTTCGAAACTCGCGCACGTAAAGTGACCACATCTTCAAAATGTCACGCCCCACGACCGCGCAATGTCATGAGCTTTCATATTCAGGTGGAACATCAGGGATGATGATTCGACAGACTACTTCGTTCGATTCCCTTGGTTCCAGCGCTTGCCACCTCAGCTTCAGCGCTTGCGCCCATTTGACCGCCTCAGTCCATCTTGCGCGAACCTGCCCGCGCCCTGGCAGCAAGAGCAATCTTCTATCACAGGCTGATGTTAAGGCTGTCAGATTGACGTGCAAAGGGAAAGAGAGTAGAAGCCGCGTTATACTGCCGCTAAACCGCGCTTGTTTAGGCAACTAGCAGTATACTATTGCATTTGCCTGCAGCTAGTTCCGGATACGGTTCCCTTGAGCTCTGGAACTTCGTCTCGGTGGCCCTGCGCTATCTCCGGTGCCTCAAGCCCTCCACCGCGACTACAAGCTACATGGTGTGCGCGTGCTGTATGGGCGGAGATGGAAGATAGCACTGTAGCGGAGAAGCGATAACACCGTAGCGGAGCAGAGTTGAGCAAGTCAGATGCCGGGGTCAAAGCCGCATCGGACGTGTAACGCCTCACGATTGCGGTTCGCTGTAAGAAAAAGTGCCTTTGGCAGCTGCATGTATCGTCAGATTATCCTATTGTATGCAGCGCCTTCTTTGAGCCTGGTGGTATTTCTTCGTCGGTGGGCCGGAGTTGACCAAAGCTGGAGCTTTAGCTTTCTCATTACATTCTCTTTCGCATTGCCGGCGTTGGAATTGTGTGTAAGATGCCTGAATTCCGTCGCTCTATTTGCCGCATATAGGTCCCGCACATGCTCCACCACTGTGCGGAAGGAACACTGAGTTGGTGGCCACAAAGGGAGCAAACATTGCGCCACTTTTCCTTTGTAATGGCGCGATCTGCTTCGTCCTCGGCTTGCAGCCGTCTTGATACTTCCAGCTGTGCCTTTGTGCAGCCATTTATTGTTGACAAGGTCGCTCTTCCCAAGCGAAAGCTTGGGATCTGGCTGAACAGAGATTGAAGGGGCTTCACCAGTGAACGCTGTGGCGTGTTCCTCTCATTCAATATTCTCCAGAAATGAAAGCACCTTGTTTGATGAAGCTGAGACAGTTGAGCAAAGATTACGGCATAGGCCTCGCTTGTGGCCGTGCCAATTTCCGTGACGAGACTTTGACAGGCAGTCAGTCCGTCCGGCCTCTCTAGAGAAGGAATTTATGCATTGGATGGAAGAATTGCTGCTTCCAAAAATCAGCTTCTTCTGCAGATCGAACTGGAGCTGCGCTTGGTGTATGTAGGGAGGATTCCGAAGGTAGCCAACATCAGACTCGTGTTATTGGAAGACGGCAAAGACTCTGGGAAGCAGCCGTGACTGTCCCAAGTAAAGAGAAGGGTATCCTTGCGGAATCTTCGTTCTTGCTATGATGGAGGAACGGTCCTTTCAGAGAGCATATAACCAAGGTGAACCACGATCGTCTTCCTTGAGTTGAAAGGCATTCGTTTGATGAGGCTCAATTCCTGCTTCAGCTCAAGGATGCACCTGAATCCAAATGTATGACTCTGTAAACGTTAATCAGTAACGCCTACGCGCCTCTGGTATGGCGTCATTGAGCGGCCATGTCCCAAAGTAATGTTAATGTCAAGCATAAGAACTCTGTAAAAAACTGCAGCTTGGCAGACGAGCGACTCTGGGATCAATGAAGAGGACAAATAGTCAATATGCTCGCGTCGGTGCCAGATTGTCCGAGATAATTCGTGCTAAGCCGTCTATGTCGCATGCGTGACACAAGGAGAGCAGGCAGGGAAGTTGTAGAGCACAAGGGCCAAATAGACGATGTGCATATTGTCCAAGGTGAAGGCACGGAAGTTAAAAGTGAAGGAGTGCAAGCTAAGCCGCAAGTGCCAAGGTTGCAGGGGGCACATGACCTGAGAAGCACCAAACGCTCGAGCGGAACGGGGCTAAAGGCTTCCACGAAAGTGGTATCAGACCCACACCACGCAAACCTATTTGTAAAGTAACCGCATCCTGTGCAAAGCCTTAGTCGGGAATGGGATTCAATTGACCGTCAATCACACTGTAACCCTAATAAAAAAACGATGATAATATACTTCCTTGTATTCCGTAGTGGAGAGCACTGCTTAAATATGTAGACTGCTCCACGGAGTGTGTCATACTGACCCTAGCTCGCCTTGCGCCACCCTACTATCCACTGTCCTCGTTCCTCTGCTTGCGTACGAGTCGCGGCCGGAAAGATGTGTGGGTCACTGCTGCAGTGGCCGCTCGCCAGCGGCCGTGCCGAAGCGGGACTGCGTATAAAGCGGTGAGTGCCGTAAACCCAGAATGCAACCAAAGCCACTCGCCTCCCAGCAAAGGAAGAGGAATGGGCCGCCGGGACACAGTTGTAATGCCGGCGACTGGGTGTCGCGACCCCCATCTTGGTTTCTTGGCGGTGGCGTCACGGCTCAGGGCGCGTGCACACTGCTGCCGTGTGACGCAATGGGATGCAGCCCATGTCTCGGTCACTCCTCTTCGGTCCTCTGTTCGTTTTCTAAAATGTTCGCCGTGCTGCCGCAATTGCTTGATCATGGACTCTCCATGTGGCAGTGACACACACTTTGGATGCCCGTCTGGAGGTGGATGCTGCGCCTTCCGATCGGCTTACCATCCCTCGCGACTCGCAACACCGCAGCATGTCTACAATGGTTTTCTTTTGTAAATGCAATCACGACGTGCCAAATTAATCGGATCGTCGCTTTTATACATACATATGCACGGCCGGCACGACAAGGCCAGACGGGTCGTTCTGGTTGGGCTGGGACGTTTGTTACAGGGCCAGCTTGTTGAGTGCTTGGGCATCAGTAGAGGGGCATACAAAAAAAGAATTGCGTGGGAAAGGAACCGCACATGGAAATCAAGGGGAAAAGTCTCGGCACAAAAAACTGCAGGTCCAAGCGATCCTCTTTTGTTCATCGATAACGCGAAGGCGAAATAATGCTTGGCGCTCCGGAATATGGACGATGATGAGTCCCTGCGGGTGGAGCGGATAGAAACCGACAGAAAGGCCGTGACTCTCAGAGACTGTGTGATGACCATCACCAAACGCGGACGCTCGACTCACTTAATCAATGGCCAGCTGTAACCCGCTTTCATCATCCATCCGCTAGCTGCTCATTTCTGTCCTCACGCATCAAGTTTGCATCAAATGCGCTCTCCCCAACCCGCTGCTTCACCGTTCAGTCCCGGTGCACCGCTGCCCACCCGACGATAGTGCAGGCATCACCGTCGGCCGTGGCAGCCTTGGGCCACTCTGCTGTCGCCAGCAAGCCATCTAACACCGATCACCTTGAAGCGCAAAGATGACGATGGGTCCGATGACTTGCAGTAACGGAAGCAGCGGCGGAAGCATCAGCTGGCAGCCGCCAAGCCACCAACGCTCTTATCTGACGTTCTCGGAACTCTTCCTGCGCACCGAGCGCGAGCGGCGTAAGAACGAGCTGCGGATGCGCATCGAGGTCAATGCAAAGCGCTGGTCCACCTTGCATGCTGCTCAAGCGCAAGCACAGGTAAAGGCGGCAGCAGAGGCAAAGTCAGCCGCGCCGACTGAAGGCAGGCCAGAGATTGTGCAAGGACACGTGTTCCCACCTACTAGCAACGAGCACCCAGCAAGGCGGCACGGCGAAAACGACGCCATCGATGTCTGCTGCTGGCCGCGCTCCTCCTCATCCTCGTCGATGATGACGACGGGAGCTCTTGATCAAATGCCCGCCGCCCCAAAGCCGATGACCATCTCGCGCGATAATGACAGGCTTGCAATGCAGAGCATCGGCGTCATCGACGCCGCGTGCGCCGGGCGCTGGGCCTGCGAGGAGCCGGCTTCGTGGCTCGACAGCATAACAGACGAGGGGCAAGTCGACAAGAGGGAGGAGGAGCATCATCGCAAGTCAAACGATAGCGACGACCAGGAGCTCGACGCCGTGGTGGTAAGTGTGTCGTGGAAGTGTCGTCCGCACATGGACCGAGGGTCTTACCAGGAGTCTCACTCACGACTGGACAACAGAACGGCCAGCTATACTTCCGCACGCGCAAGCGATTCCCTTCGCGGACGCCCACCTCTGCGTCTGCTTGTACTTCTGCTTCTGCACCGACTCGCCCGCAACCGCACGTGCTTCAGAGCCAGCAAAGCTGCCATGCGCATCACGGGTCGCCGTATCTCGCGCCGAGCGGTTCGCCCTTGAACGCATCGTCGTGCTCATTCTCACGCTACAACTCGTACAGCACGGTCGAGAGCTGCGCGTCGTCTTCGTCCAAGTCCTCGCGCCGGTCGAGCGGCAGCAAGGCGTCCAGCACGGCGACCAGCTTACCGGATTCGGACAGCTTCGTGTGCGTCTCGCCGGTCGAGCGCGCGAAGGAAATTCACGACAGCGCGCTTGCCTTTCAGTAAGCCAAGAGTGTCGTCCGTGCCCATGCACTTAGCTCGAAGTACGACCCCCGAATAGTTAGCACATACATCCAACTCATCCCCTGCATCCCTTGCATCCTTCGCTTCTACAACCCTGCATCGTGGATCCTGCAACTCGCGCGGCTGCAGCATCTGCATCGAAATCGCGCATGTACCTGGCTCATGCAACAAAATCTGGACGCTCCACTCATGCACATGGTCCAAACCAATTACGGCCATCGCAACCGCACTTGCAGACCACTTCACCCTTAGGCTGCTTGTACACGTCATTCGCAGTCACTTGACCCTCCACCCTATCATTGCTTCCACCGACAGTCTCCGTGCTTGCTTGCTGGCTAGTCCGAGCTCGGCCACACGCACCATCACGCATCATTTGAACATCTCGCTAATCCGCGTTCAACGTGCAAGCTACCTGCAAATTAGATACATACAATGTAGCATAGCAATGTAGACATGTGAAATACACGTGTGTCTCCTTCGAAATGCAACACTGTCCGTCTTTGCACATGGTTACCGAGAATCGGGATTCGACGTTTGAGCGCAGCGGCTCAGATCTTACCAATTCCCATTCAAGACAGTGAAGGAGACATTGATGGCCTGAATAGGGGGATATTAGTGCAATCAAATAGCAATGAAGAGTAGGGTTAGCATCCGATGCTCTTTCCTGGGGCACGACTCGGAACCAGGGCTCTCTTCTGCTTCGTCGAGCGCTCGAGCCATCCGCACCACACTCTTCGCTCGTCAACCTAAATCTGGCCGCAGAATATGCATGGAGACGAGATGGCCAGCGCTGCGCACAACAACGTCGTGACCAGTTCTCCACACGGTTTGGAATGCCCACATGCGACCACATGTTGTTCTCGACGCGTTCCACAACGAACTGTGCACCTTTGGCCACCATCGAACCAGGGGTAGGACAGCTTGTCGGCAAAAGCGACATCGACGGAATTCAGTGATCAGGGTTTGATCATCGCTCGCACATTGGCAGACAGCCGATCTCGTGGCCCCGTAGTATCTAACGACGCAGCGCAGTCCCTCTGGCTACCATGACGCTCTACTACTCCAGTGAGTCATGCACCACTGCATCTGCAGAGCCCAGGATGCACAGGAACTTGGCCGCGTTCATCTGCAGAGCTTCCCCGAGCGCATCCGTTTTCTTACATGCGCTGCGTCCCACCTTTGCTCGCCAGTCGTCTTCGGCCTTTTGGTCCTGGAGATGTCCATGTTCTTCGTCTTGATCGTGCGTGTTGCCATATCGCTGTTCGAGCACCATACACAAGACAGCAGAAACGCTGACGCGCTCCATTTCACAACTACTCGCATTAATGACGACGAACAGATCCCGCTTCCCTTCACCTGGCGCAGAAAGCTCTTCCACTTCCTTGCGACCAACCCCATCGTTGCGCAGATCCAGTATGCTCTCAAGATCACCTTCATGTGCGTCCTGTTTTCGGTGTGGCATGAAAAGCGAAGATGGAGGATAGGAAAGCTGACGCACTCGTTCCCCCTCTCTTTCCCAGATTCGTTGGGGTCCTGTTCATCGACGCAGTTCAGCGGATGCTCAAGGCTGTCCAGGAAGACAAGGAGAAGCGCGAGGGCCGTATCTCCGAAGCCCTCATGGGCGGTGTCAACTACGCTGCGCGCAAATTCTACGCTCAGAGGAACATGTACCTCACAGGTTTCACACTCTTCTTGAGCTTGTAAGTTTGGCCGATGAGTTAGACAGCGCCAATTTAGCAGCCGAGCAGCTGACCATTACTCCCGCCCCCCGTCGGACTGCGTACAAATTTCCCGTAGGATCCTCTCACGCACCTACTCGCTCATCCTTGACCTCATCAACGTGCAGGAGGAGCTGGTCGCGCTCAAAAAGGGGGGCGCAGCGTTGACGCCTTCAGGCGAGCAAAAGTACAAGACGGAGATCGAGACGCTCAAAAAGCAGACTGCGCAGCAGCAAAAGGAGTACAATCGCTTGTCGGACGAGTTGGCCAAGGCGACGGGTAACGTGAGCGACAAGAGAAAGGATTGAGGGGATGTAGGCGGATAGTCGAAGTAGAGATGGCGGAAGTCGCAGAATTCAGATGTATGGAGTGGCAGCTGAGCGTACGTGACGCAACATACTTCGAAGTGGAGACGCAAAGGCAAAAGGAAGGTGCGGGGCTAGGAGGGTGAAAATGCATCATGTAGTACAGCAGGAGACACGGCAAGGAAGGCCATCTGTTGGCTGAGACAGTGCATGGAAAGTCATCTGTTGGCTCGTCCTCCTTTGCATCTATATTATAGCAGAACGCAAGCGCTTAGCGGCAACGGTCGAATCGAATGTAAGCGGGCCATGGTCAGGCGGGAATATCTCATTCTCCGTCAACCAGTCAATGACGGCCGCAGCCGAACCGAGCGCGTTGAAGTGGATGGCCTCCTGTCTCTGAACCTGGCCTTCGAGCATGTAAGCGATGTGGCGTCTGTTGATTCGTCGCGGGAGGTAGATGATAAGATTCGGCGAATATAGACTGTCTAAGCTTGTCTTCTGTTCCTGCTACAAGCACACAGCGTGACTCACTGGAATAAAGGGTATGGCAGGCCCCACGCCAGCGAAAGCGCTACGAACTCGCGCACCGCTTCATGCGGCGTGTGCTTATACCCCGAAAAGAGCGCCTGGATCCGGGCAGAGTGGAATTTCACAAGAAGGTCAGCGAGCTTGGCAAGCGGCAGCGCTCTTCTGACTTCGATTCAGACTGACCGGATTGGCGAGCAACCCTCTCGCGCTCATTATGCCCTCGGCGGTGGTGCGGCGCCGCCATTCGCGCGCCTCGAGCAAGCTCCAGACGTCCCCATTCGCTACGCATGGCACGGCTCCGCCTGCTCCGCCGCCATCGAAGTTCCATTCGGTGCGGCCCGGCAGTGAGGGCTCGGAATCGTCTGTACCAGCCGCTTGACCCGCCTTTGCGCCATCCACACTCTGCGACCCCTCCACAGATGCGAGCGAAGCGGTAGATCCAGAGGCGCAGGCCGTTTGGTTTCCGCACGAGCGAGCGGCGTCGACGGCGAAGCGAATCGTGTCGAGATTCACAGGATGCGACTCGGAAGCTTGATGCCGTGTTCGGCCGTGGATCGAAAGGATTGAGGCGCCAGCGTGCAGCGCTGTGCGTACCAGCTGGTCGGTCAACCTGAGATCACATTGATGATGGGACATAGCAGAGCGACGGCGTTGACCCGGAAAGTTGAGTGGCAAGCGGTTAGCAAGGGCAATGTCTCCGTGACATTGTATCCAGATGAGGTAGACTCGGTACGCACTTCAAATCCGAGTCGACACGAATTTTGACGCTCATGCAAAAACCTTCGCCCAGTCGGCCTTTGACAGCCCGCACCATGTCACGGACCTTGTCCGGCTGTCTCAAGAGTGCGGACCCAATTCCTTCGCTGTAGGCCCATGGCTGTGGGCTGCAAGCCAAACGTGGGCGAGAAGAATAAAGGGGGAAGTGGACATTGAGCGAATTGGTAAACGCAACAAGCCCCGTTTCGTGAGCGGTAATCACACTCACCAACCGCAATTCAGGTCGATGCCGTCGACGAATGGGGCGACCAATTCAGCAGCATCGGCCAATTGGGCGCCATTATTTGCGGCCATCTGGCAGATCAACGATCCACGTACCAGCTCTGGTCGCGAGCCGTGCACTCCCCGGTCCAATTTTGCGCTTCGCCCCTTCGTGAAGGAAAAGTACCCTCGTTCATAGGGAGAAGTGCTGAAATCGGCGTCCCTTGCGATTGCGCTCCGGCTGAATTCTTGCGCGAGAATCATCGGGGTAGTCGAGATCTGGACGTTGTACTGCGACACGAGTGCGCGGAAAGCATGCTTCGAGTAGCGCACCATCGGCGCGCAGATGTTGATAGCATCAGGGTAGCGGAGCAGCAGTTCGGGCGCCGGCACGTGCTGGTAGGCCGGCACCCCACTATCGTCAGACGCACTGCCGTCGAACGGCACGGCGATGGATGTGCAGAGGTACTGCGGGAGGTCGTCTTCCGGGTCATGCGTCATCTTGACGCAAACTTGATGCTGTGCTTGCCAGATTCTCTTGGAGCAGCCGGCCGAGGGAAGTAACGCTGTGGAGGTACAATAAGGTAATGCAAGGTAAGGCTCCTGCCCGACCGACCCAAACGAACGTGTCGGCCTCAGCGCTGCGTGTCACTTATGGTGGCACCAGTCTTAAAGATTATGATCCAGACGGTACTCAAAGCCAATCATGAAATTGGAACGGAGTGGGCTCCTGCTCTCCTTTCTTTTTTTTCTGTTCGAATAGTTTTTTGAGGCTTAGACTCTGGGGGTTCCAGTTCTCTGTACAATGGTCCTTCAGGTTGCTATTCCTCTACACGCTGCGATGCCTTCGTTCCATGGAACGTGCGAAACGGAAACAGCAGTTTTAGCTGGTCTTCTCGCCCTCTGAACGAGAACAGAAGCGATTAGAAAATGCCGGCGGTCAATCTGTTCGGGAAGGGCACATTGGTCAAGTGAGCTATATGTGCACAAATGATCACGAGCCATTGAGAGCAATCGTGATTGATCGACTTAATGTACACTGCCCTTTCTGACCCGTCTTACAGGGCATCGTCTGGGCTCTCCAGAGAGGCATATGCCCTTGTCGATGGCTCACCTGAGACGAGCTGGACATCCGCTGGCTCTCCTTCTTCCGAAGCGGACCCATCATCTGCACGGCACTCGCTCACTTTCACTTTACGGTCCGACGTTGACACTGACGACAACGAAGGGCTTTCGGACGCTGAAGAAGATGAAACTGCTGCTGTGCAACTACAGAAGCTGGAGAGTCTAGTTCTCACTTTCCAGGGAGGGTATAGTGCACTAGGGGTCCTGCTGTTGGCCAAGGCTCAGGCCCCCGTAGGGGTGGGTGAGGAAGAGCGTAGCAGCTGGCACCAGCTGGCAGAATTCTGGCCGGAGGACTCAAATGCAAGGCAGGAGTTCTTGTGAGCATGTTCCTTCCCTCTGCATGGGCCATAGGATGTTGAAGTGGTACTGAGAGAATTTACTGTGTCGCATCACTCCAGAATACCGCCATCGAAGCACAATAGCTCGGCGCGAATATTGAGGTTGTTGTTGAACGGTAGTGCAGACGGCTTTGGAAGAATCACTCTCTACGGTGTTGAGCTGTATGGTAGTCGAACATGAGCCATATTGCTGTGTCCGGGATTTCGATGGTCTGCGCCCCGCATGCCCAATAGGACCTGTCACCTGATTGACCGTGCTGATTGCTTAAATGCTCCGTCGTTCAATCGTCTCTACAACGTTTTAACATTAATCCTGAACTGAGGGTGTAGCAAAGCATGCTGCAGATAAAGATAGGAAACAGGAAGAGAGGCTTGACGAAAGCTTCCGCACCTCCTCTCATCGAAGGCCCGACATTGGGGTGTACTGCAACAATCGTTCGGCAGCGTCCCCTGTTTGGGGACTGGAGTCCGGAAACGAGGTGATCGTGGACGTTCGAATGAATCATTTTCAATTTTTGGTATCTTCTTTATTATATATTTACCCTAAAAAGAAAGAAGGCGAGGCGGAGCCACATTCTGTTATTGAATGTTGAAGGTAGCAATGAAATTCGTGAATACATACTTCAGCATTTCCGATTGAAAGGATCGGATGTCGATGGACGCTTAGGCAGCCGATGAAAGAGAACAGCAGCCTGAGTTCGTCCAACACGGCCGCGACGAATCATTACAACGATGAGGAGATCGCTGTTACTAGCTGCAGGGCTTCAGCTCGTGCTGGCCACCGGCGGATCTTGTTCCACAAGTTTGGTCACTAGAGAAGGACTATTGAAGCTTAGCGATGCCGATTGGCAAAGTTCAGTGTCGAAAGGAGCCTGGTTAGTTGCGCGCAATGCCCTTCCTACTCGCTCCAAGCCTAACCTTCTCACATCCCAACTCCCCTTAGGCTGATCGAGTTTTTCTCGTCGAAGACCAAAAGCTCCGATTTCTTGCCTACTTGGGAGCAGCTCGTGAAGTACAAGGCATCGCTGAGCACCGATTACCCAAATGCGCCATTTAACTTCGCTCAAGTGGACTGCAGCATTTCTACAGACCTCTGTGTTGGGGAAGGAATTACGGAAACGCCCAGACTCTTTACATATGTCGAGGGCAGCAAGAGCAAAACGCAATATCAAGGCAAACGCGAATATCTCGACCTTGTCAGCTACGTTGACCGCGAAGCTGCAGCGTTCCGAAAATTAAAGGGCGTCTCTGATGAACCTCATCCATTACCATCGTCGAAACCTGCCACTTCTGCTAAGTCGCCTGCTGCTGGAGACGCAGCAGGAGCCTCACCCGCCGCTCCACCTCCACCAGCACCTACTGCGCCAATTGGCCCGGTAAGCCCGAATCAAGCCGGCACCTTGACCAAGTTTGGCAGCCCGCCCATTCCTGACGATGCTGCTCTGGAACGTTTCCTCTCAAAAGAGAGCAGGCAAGGCCCATCCTTTGTCAAATTCTTCGCGCCATGGTGCCCGCACTGCAAAGCCATGGCTCCGGCATACCAGAAACTCTCTGAGACTCTGAAAGGCAAGGTTAATGTCATCGAGGTGGACTGCGTAGCGCACAGGGAGACTTGCGTCAAGTATGGCGTGCAGAGCTTCCCGACGCTCAGGATGTTCAACAATGGGCGCGCCACAGAGTACCGCGGAGGTCGCAGTCATGAGGCGATGCTCGAGTGGGCAATCAAGGCGGGCAGCAATAGCGGGCTGAAGGAAATCGGTCATGATGACATTGAACGCATTGCAAAGGACCATGATGTGTACTTTCTGTACCTCTTCTCGCCTGAGACGCCGCAAAGAGAGCAGGTAAGTTCAGCGCAGCTGTGTACCAGGTAAAAGCTCGCAAGCTCACAATCTGCTGCCTGTGCAGGACATCGTCGAGGAAGCATCGTCCTTCCTGATGAGCAAACAGACATACGCTTTCCGCACGTCTGATGCAACGCTTATCCAACGCTACGCCTCCTACTTGCACGTCAGCAAGAGCTCGAGTCCAGCCAGTGCCGGCGCCCAATCGGGTCTGCTCGTATTCAAGGATCATAACCATGAAGTTCCCGTCAGCAGGTTTTACCCATCTTCTATCAGTAGCACGCTAAGCGACGAGAAGGCGGTCCAGCAGGTCGCAGCTTGGCTGAACGCTGAGCGATTCCCAACTGTCTCCGAGCTCATTGGAACTACGTTTGCTGATGTCATTTACAGTACGTCCTCCTCGTGGCCTCTTGAACAAGTCCATAACTGACTGCCCCGTCCTCCGTTATGCTGGTGCATAGATGACGCAAAAGCACTCGTCGTGCTTGCGGCACTCTCAGACGTGCACCATGGTGGCAATGTTGTCGGCACGGGGTCCGGTTCAGAGGAGCGGGCGCTTGAGTTGAAACTATTCGAAAAACTCGCTCGGAAATGGCGCAGCTCCTCACATCCAAAGGTCAAAGAGAAGATACTTTTTGCATGGATCGATGCCGACCGATGGGCGACTGCGATCAAGACCTGTGAGCATCAGCGTTTGCACCTTGTCTCTACGATACCCTGAGGCTGGACGGTGATTAAGATGGGCTTTTCATTCTCCTCTTGCAGACTACAAGATCCGCCCCGTGGATGTTCCCCAGGTCGTGCTCGTTGAAGGCAGCCGGCTGCAATACTACGAATTGCCGTCGGACTCTCCCGCTGCAGCGCGCGGCAGGCCGTGGCTGGACGAGGCGTCGCTCTTCCATGGGATTGAGGCCGTGTCGCAGGGGCGGGTGCGAGCGAAAAGCAGCAAGACCTACATTGACAGGGGCTTTGAGGTTGCAGGCGGGGCCGTAGCATCGATCGTCGTGACCGTTTCAAGGCACCCATGGCTCAGCTTGGCGCTTTTGGTGGTCTTTGCCGCGGCCTTCTTCTCGTTCTTGCGCCGCGTGGCGGCGAATACGCAGAAAGATCGACAGCCGCTTTTGCCAACTGCTTCGAACTGCAAGTTGGACTGATACCTTTATAACCTTTTCAAGTGCGAATGGCCAGGGTTACCACGTATGCATCTTGAAGCCCAATGAAAGTACACATCTGGCACACCTGCCTTGTCACGGCCCTTCGGGGTCCGGCAGGGCTTATAAGCGTCAGAGCGGACCCAAAGGCGGAAGAGATGGCATACCATCTTGCATCGCTCCACTTATCCAGACCGAGCTCCTTAAATAAACAAAGACATTGCGGAAGCACGACGTTCGTGTTGCACTGAGCTGATTGCGCTGTGTATGCCAGAGTTGAGCCAAGTGAGCGTGTTCACCTTTCGGTGCCCGCGTGGGAAAGATTGAGATAGTGCGCCACTTAGTTCTTTTATCTTCGGGCGACATCCCTAGGCGCACGAGAACGCGGTCAGGTGACTGTCTTACTATTTAATACATTTACGAAGAGAGAGAGAGTCTGAGTGCGGCACGGGATGAGGATGGAAGCCGTGCTACGTCTTTCTCTCTGTAAAATCTTGTTTATGTGACCGAATTTTAAGGATCAAACAACACCCCAGAATTCTTCCAGACCACAGCAGAACTGCAGAGAGGCAAAGATAATTTAGCAAGGCTCTGAGACAACCTCGGCGAGGGTAGGAACGGTAGGAACCTAGCTGCAAATTGGTAGCACTCACTTTACCACACGCGACACTGGCACTCAAGCTGTATTCACTGATGGAGATCTTCTCGTCGACTATCCCATCAGCAAAAGTGTCTGCTCCGTGCGCCATAGCGCCAACGAATACTGCGATCGAGTGGTCCTTCGGCACAGTGGGCAGGTACGTTGAAAGCCTCTGTACGGGTGCGTTGTGAGACAGGGTGATCTTGTGCGTGTTGCTGGGAAAGTGGTCAGTCACTGGGTTCCGGATGACTTTTAGCAGCTTTTCCGATCCCTGTACAGACCGGATGGAGAGCTTGTGCAGGAGCTGGACCATCAGACCAGAGAAGCGCTTGAAGGTTCGTGGAATGCGAACGTGTGGGTTCACTTCAATCAGGACACCTTTAGCCGTGTGGATGTAAACTTGCAGGAAGCCTGATTTGTTCAAGGGTGAGTCGAGCAGGGTTAACAGACACTGCTCAGTCGGGCGATGTAGTAAACGCAAGTGCTAGGGAGTTAGGTTCCAGGGAACGAAGTGAAGTAATCCGTATTCTCACTCACCTGATGGGTAATATCTGGACGCGCTTCCGCAATGTCCCGCCCCATTTTTGCAAGGACACGTTGATGGTCATCGCAGTTGAGGAGCGCATACTTGTCTCCGCCCTCTTTGTTCTTCCGTCTGCCTCCGCCGCTGCCTCCAGCACCGCCCATGGTACCTGAACCGGAACCCCAGCCATTCATGGACGGCCCGGCCGTTGCGCTACCGGAGGAGAGCTTGTATGTCTCTAGGCACGCCTGTTCAAGGACGACGATCAGCCGAGGTGTGTTTTCCTTCTCGACTGTAGTCTTTGGCACCTTGGGCAAGGCCGGGTTGAGCGAGGGCTCCACGCGTGAACGTTTCTGTGTCCCGCTGACTGTCTCTGCATCCGGCTTGGCGGGGAGGGCGTGGCGTGAGCGAGAAGATGAAGCTTGTTGTTGCTGCTGGGAAGCGAGCTGCGCCTGGGCGGCAGCCTGTGCCTGCGGTGAGCGAGGAGTGAAAGCGTTGGCGGAGGCACGGCTAGCACTCGCAGTGGTGAACGAAGTGCTCCTACTCATCGAGGGAGAGCTAGCCTCGGCATATTCATTCGCAGACGTAGCATTTTTGCTCGTAACAGAGGCCATGGAAGTGTCCTGATCGGCAACAGGAGAAGGAGATGCAGTGTTGCTGGTGCTTGCGTTCGGCAGCGGCGCGATAGTGCGGTAAGAAGTGGTCGGCGCCTCTGGCATCTGCGCGTCCTCCTCCCCCGAGCTGTATTCCTCGTTCGAGGACATGACGTAGGGAAAACACAAAGTATAGCTGCAAGTGAGCTGAAGCGCTGCTCTGCTCGGTTAACGCAGCAAACTGCCGTTGCTGGAGATGCGTCGAGGAGATTGCCCTTGGACTGGTCGTGTAATGTATCGCAAAGCTCTGAACAAAACACAAATGGAAAACGAGATGTGAGGGAGGCGTGAGGGAGCATTCTTTCTTTTCTCGGACGACGGCGACAAAAAAAGAGCGGAACCGCAAACCCGGCACCAAAAAAGAAATAATTCGTTCGTTGCATTGACATTCGGATCCATTGGAACAAGTAGTCAGTCACATTTCGACTGCTACACATTGGACATGAACATCGCCCTGACAAGAAGGTAGCAACGTACTCTATACCCTCAGCTCGCGGGTAAGGCACTCCGCGGTGCGCTGAACCTCAATACGATGGCTTCGATGCCACAGCAGGGCTTGGCGGATGCTGGTGCCGATCAAGATGTGCTGGTGTGAGTACGGAACGATCTTACACGCGCTGTGCTTTCCCGTGCGTACCGACCTGGTGTGGCTGACGTGCACCCATCTGTACGGCCTTTTGCGTATACTAGTCCATTTCGCGAGATGTATGAGGCACTGGAGATTTCAGATGCGTCACTGCAGCCAGAACGACTCTTCCGCTTACTTACAGCTCGCGTCGAATCGCTGCGGCAGTTCAATCCTGCCTATGTGTCGGCCAAGGGCAAGGTCGCAGGAGTGACAGTCCAGAACCACACGCTTCAGATATCATACGATGGATCACAAATCTCTATTCCAGTCGATTCAAAACAGAAACAGATAGGCCAAGAATTGCGGAAACGGTTCGGGCTGGAGGAGGATGAGGCACAAACGTTGCTGTTGCTGAGGCAATTTCTGCGCAGCGAGTCGGAAGAGAGGCTGCAGGCAATCAAAGACGCCGAGGAGATGGAAAGGAAGCACAAGGAAGCGTTAGGAAGTTCACTTCTTCCGAAGCAGGCTAGCTTCGGCATTTCTTCGAAGGACCAAAGCGCCGTCACGGACCTGCATGAGGAATTCTACGACGCGTTCACCGTCTTCTACTTTGGTGAGCGCATCAGCCTGCTGCAGTGCATCAGCGCTCTCTTGCGCATTGCCGACGATGTCGAACACGAAAACCAAGAATCTGCACGGAGTATCGTGCAAATGCTTGCCCCTGCCACGCTGAGCAGTCCGGACAAAAGCTTTGGGCTTAACTGTCTGCAGCACCTGCAACACAACCTCATCGATGCAGAAATGCCCGCTTCGGTCCGCGAAAATGTGCGCTACGCTACATTTTGGGCTGTGCAAGGTCTTCGTCAACAAACAGAGCTACTTGATACAATCTTCCTTCTCTGCCACACCCATACTTCCCCCACCGCTGAATTCGCACTTGGCGTCTTACACATCATCCACGGGACAAATTTCGGCAAGCGGCAAGGTAATAGCGGGTTTTATGCAGGAAAGGAAGCGCAAGGCCTTCTAAAGGCTGTGTCGAGCTTACTGTGTCTCATCAGCGTTGAGAGCATTGGTGTGGAAAGGTTGCTGGACGGGGAAACATGCCTTAGGAAGTTGCTGCCTAGCAATGCGGGACCTTCCACCATGGCAACTGGTAAATCACAGCCGGGCTCAGGGGCAGCACACCTTGCTGCATCTCCCGAGCTGCTCAACGAAGCACTTAACATCATTGAGGCACTGCGCTTCGATGTGTTGTGGGGGCCCGTACTGGTAGCTTGGGCTCTACTGCTCAATCGCATCGACGCAGCGTTCGAGAACTTACAGGCGTCCGACGTACCGCACACCCCCGGCACAGCGGGCATTCCTGCACACCTGCACGCGCTTCACGCGATTGTGGATATCGGTGCGCAAGGTCCAGCAATATGGACCAAGTTGGCCAACCTCGCTTTCAGTCCGCCAATGCAGCTCAACAAGACCATGGCTGATGTGCTCGCCTGCCTCAGTGATGCGAGCATCAAGTCATTCGTCGCTTCTCCTTCGCACCTTGCATACCGCACCGCCTTCAAGAGCATTCTTCTCAGCGAAACAGAGCTTGTAAAGCCTGAGTTCATCCAGGACCACGAGGCGCTGCTGCGCGTGTGGGAGCTTGTGTTTGGCAACGTCGATCCGGCGGATGAATTCCTTCGTCAAGGGACCGCAGCGCTCTGCGAACAGTTCTGGGGGATTGACGCACGTCACGATATGCGCTCAGCCATGCTGCGTATGTCCACCGGCCGATGGCCTATCCTCTTTCGGCCTCTGCTTCGGCTTTTGCGCGTCCTGTCTGGCAGACACACCGCGAGCAACCAAGGGTCCGCGTCATCCTTTGCGTCTGAGCAAGCCACCGCTTCAGCGACGTCCGTCTTCGAGTACTTCAGTTCTTTACCTTCCATCGCGCACATCTTGCCGCCGCCGAAGGCGCTTGGCAACCCTTACGAAGCCGTCGAGAGCAGCGATCACGACGCGATCGTGTACAGACTCGTACAGCCTTTGCAAATCTTTGGCAAGCAGAACGTCCTGCCAGTCGGCACAGTGGGCCGAGTCGTATCGGACAGGAACACTAGGCCTGTGACGGTCATCTGGGAGCTGGACAGCGGGGGCTTCAGCGGTTGGAGGCTGCTGCGGGACGTTCTGGCGAGTTTCGTCTCGCTTCTCGTGGAAGAGAACGAGGGTCAAGATCCGGATCGTTCGAACATCTTTGCTGACGGCAATGATACCGGGCCGACAGACTTTTCCGCACTCACGCCCGAGGCATCTGATCAGGATCGCATGGATGCAGCAGGCGACGCGCTCGAGCTCTTCGCAAGCGTTCTGTCTGCTGGGCATGTGCTTTCTCTCAGACTTTTCGCCCATCTGGACAACGCAGATGCACAGGTTATGGAGCTTGAAGGAGCGCAGGCGAAGAGAGCAGGCAGCCAACACGCCAGTTTGACGCGCATTGTTGTGCGTATGCTCGACCTTTGCCTTGCGCAGCCGAGACTGGACACGCGACTGGTCAGCGCCGCATACACGGTCCTGACGCATCTGCTCGAGGTACGACCAGCGAGCGTATGGACTGCGCTGCGACCCTCGAACGTCCTCGTCGGCAGCGCGGGCCTTCTGTCGCTAAAAAGAAGCGATTCGGATCCAAACATGCTGCAATCTGCGCTGCTCGAAGCTGAGATGCACAGTGGCGAATACGAAGGCTTGCTCGCGGTGCTCGATCTCCATACCGCACTTGTCCTTGAACTGCAGCAATCACAGTTCTCCGCTCCGACGTATCTGCTTGAGCTCAAGGCATGGGTCGCAGCGCGTGGCCTCACTTGGATTACGGAATGCGTCTGGTCCGATTGTCTCAATTGGAGGTACGCCACGATGAACAGCAAGTTGATGATCCTGCGTAAATGCATTCGTATCTTCAACGCTGTGTTTTCCGACAGGATGCTTCGTGGCGCAGCAGTGGGACCGTTGGCTAGCGTTTACGGTGTGCTGGAGAGGGCCTTCTTGAGCGGTCCATCAGCCCTGACTATGAGCTCGCTGCTGTCAATTCTCGCGTGCAGCAACAGTCTTGTGCAGGAGTGCGGCCGAAGCGGCAGCGCATTGCTCTCAGACTCTGCCGCTAGGCTCGTACGGTCGACGCTCTTGCTTAGCTTCCGCATCGTGCAGCGACGGCGCGACATGAATTCAACAGCAACAAAAGACCAAGTGAGGCTCGGAGCGATCGAAGCGATCATCTTTGACCCTGCGCTCGTTGGTCAGCAATTGAGCAAAACAGGCGGCAAGATCAAGTCGCGCGTGCAGATCGCCGCCACGCTCATTGATGTCATTAACACCCTGTACTTCCCAGAAGCGGCCATGCTTTTGGCTGAAGCAGTGCTTTCGGTAGCGGAGACGACCAGACGGCTGGATCGCGCGTCCATGGCTCTGATTGGCAGCTTGGGCAGCCTTTCTGAGATGCAGAAACGCTTCGAAGGACTTGTCCGGCTCGCAGGGCCAGAAAGGGACAACCTGTCGCCACTCGCCTCTACGCTCTGGGGACTCTTCTCAGCTCTGACAGAATTGCAGCCCGCGCTTGCTGCGGTGTTTGTGACTGGCGAGCATTTGGACTACGCGAGGAAGGCCAATGAAGACAAAGAGAAGGGTAAGAAGAATGGCGCGAAGGCTGCCAGCGATGCTTCCGCTCTGCTGTTCGCTGTTCACTTGATCGAGGACTGGGAGCTATTGTGGAGACAAGATGCCAGCTTGCTCGAAAATGCATTGAAATTCGTCAATACGGCATGGCTGCGACGCGCGGAGCACCCACATGCTTTCCAGTCATTGCTAGAACGCAAGCCACTCTGGGAGAAACTGGTCGACTTGCTTAAGCGAGACGAGAGTGAGGATGTCGAGGCGGATGAAGTGCAGATCATTGCCGTGCGGCTAGCTTGCAAGTCCAGAGCACTACGACTCATCAGCACCTCGATCGCTAGCCAGGAGCAATCAAAAGATACCGGCCGCAATAACGTCCAAGCGCTTGTTGATTTCATCTCAGCCACAGACACTTTCAAAATGGTGTTAGCAAATGCGGCGCAAGTGACCTTCAATGCTGGCATGATAGGGCTGTCAGAAGACGATATGAAGACATTGGCACCTTCTTTTCCTTTCGGACTTTTGCGGAATCCGCCTGTGCGGGACGATTTTGATATGTCGAGGCCATTCGGCGACAGTTACGTTTTCGACTTTGGCCTCCTTGCGACCAAGCTTGTCGGCTACCAGTCCCCGGATGCCAACAACGTCAAGGAGGGCGAAAACATGACACCGGAGGCATCAGCGCAGGCCGGAGGAATTGTCGTTGCGGTCAACAGGGAGTGGTCCGTCGTCGACAGTCAGATCTTCTATCTGCGTGCTTGGCATGAATTGCTGGCCGGCTGCACCGGTTCACTTTTGGCGCACGCGCAATCGGACAAAGAGAAGATTGCAAAACTTCGGGCTTCGGCATTTCAGACATGGCTCGCAGTCGCCGCCACTGCGACCGAATTCACTGGAGCGGGATTGGTGCATGAAGGAATCCACCGAGCCAGATTGTCTCTGCTCGCGACCTTGCTCGAGCTAGCTTGGGTTGAAACCAGCAACGTCGAAAAAGCTGCTATACCGGAGCTGCTTGGGGTCATTGCGAACGTGCAGTCTTTGCTTGAGAAAAGTGAGCCTGCGCTGGAAGCAAGCTTGCGCGGCCTCACGCCGGAGCCTCTCCATCGTGATCTCTTCCGGCTCATTTTTCTCGCCTCTCTCAAGTATCGCGATTTCACCGTTGCCAACAAAAAGAAGGGTCTGCTTGACTCGAAGCAACATCGAGAGGCTCACAAGACGATTGATATCTTCGCATTGCACGTCATTTCTTCTTTGCGCGTCGTTTCGGACTCCGCGAGGCCAATTTTCTCGAACAAGGGCGACGTCACGCATGTTTTCCAGCTGGAGGAAGATATTAGCATTCTCACAAGCATCCTCAACTTGCTCATTCGACCTGAAGCTGATCTTGCACCGCACTTCTTGTCGGCCACAATGCAAGCAACGTCTCTGTTGCCGGCTTGCATCGAACTTTTCATTGCTGCACCCCATGGCCAGACGGCATCGAAGACTGCGGAGTCAAGTGGCGCGATAGCGACTTCCCTTTTGTCGCTCTTCCTGACGCTCTCCGCCCACCCAACACTCTCTGAGACAGTGGTCTTGTCAGGCTTGATGACAGCGCTTTCCAACAATGCATCGTCATCGGCGCTGGAGTCCGGCTCAGTGCGCGCTGTGACCCTGACGGGTGAACACACCCCACAGCATCAATGCTGGCTACTCATGCTGCGAATCGTGACCTCGCTCGCGATAAGCTTTGCTGAACGCTTGGATACTGCTACCAGCCAGGGCTTCGTCACGACCGAGGTCATCAGCTTCGTACAGCTTTATCAAGCGCAATTCGATCGGATCATCGACTTTAGCCCTGTCACGGATGCAGGCCCAAAGTTCTTCACCATTAACGGAGAAGAGAGCCGGTCGTTCACGGAAGCAGATCTGGAGGAGGTAGAAACCGGTGTGCAGCTGCTGGTGGTCGTCACCGAACACATCGCGGCTGCAAGAGAAATGAATCACCATGCCAAGCTTATCTCCAACATTGCTAGAGGTTGCGCAAAGCTCTTGCAGCAGACAAGCTATCTGTTACTGCGACCGCGGCTGCTGAGCAGCACTTTCGGCGACGAGGCGTCTGAGGGTGCGTCGGAGCAGGAGAAGGGAGCTGTGGCGCGAGCGGAGGCTTCGATTTCCAAAAGGACGGAGAATATCGTAATGGGAATGGTGGCATTGATAAGCAACTATACTCGTGCCGCCGACATCCTCTGTACAGACACAGCGGATCTGTTAACTGATGCCCCTGTGATCACGCCGGTGGGTGCTGGCTGACGCTGTATGAATTGACCATTGGCTGATCTTACTTCCTCTTCTACACAGCGTCTACGGGTTTCGCCTTCGGAGTCTGCAACCATCGGTACACTCATCGATGTCGCACAGCACTTTGCCGATCAGCTCAAGTCGACGGCCGGCAAGAGCAAGGCGCACCTGGCGCAGCTGACGCTCAGTCTCGAGCAGACCCTAACGCTCGCTGTCACGCAGCTTTCTGTCGCCCTGTACAACCGAAACGACGGGCCGCATCTGTCTCCCGCTCAAGCAAATGCACAGACCCAGGCGGCCTCTTTGGCGCAAAAGGAGGTTGACGCGGGTCTCGGGAGGGACGTCGGATCTGCCATCGCAGGTGCCCAGTCTGTTCTCGCGAACGGGGCTGGTGACGAAGCGCCGTTGCTTGTCATTCTGCAAGGCTATGTTGACAGACACCTGCTCTCGCGCAGTAGAGCTGTCAGCGTCGGTGCTTCTTAGCATCTTACACACAGTTCTCTACTTCCACGGCGCAACGTTGCCCGGTGTTGTACGTCTATGCATGTAGCATAACCTGCATTGGTGTTTGGTGACATTGGTGCTCAGTGATCCAAAAGTCTCAAACCCCCTCAATAGTCCAGGGATTGAAGGAACCAGAGTTTGATTGCAGTTTCTTGGACTTTCTTAAGGCGACCGCAGACAGACGATGCTCGAATGGCACTTACCGGTGCATCGCTCTGGCGCCAGCCCGCTGAAACCTGGGCACATGGCTCATTTGCAGGTTTTGGTGGATCTGAGCCAATTTTGCGATTCCGCCTCCCATCTGCCAAGTAGGGTCGATTACGTAATAGTTCATAAACCTGACAACCTCTCGGACTTTCGGCTTTCAACGATAGCCGGTGAGCATGAGCTGCATTCAGGAATTGAGCGCAAACATGACAACGGCAGGAAGGGACTGCAAACAGCTCCTACTGCCTGCAGTCTTCCAATATAGATGACATGTGCGTACGTTCTCCCCTCGTGGCATTTGAGTTAGTTCCGTCATTGATGATCGTAGACAAGATCATGGACGGTCAGACTCTAGCCAACTGGTTTTAAATGTATCGATTGGCTCCCCTGCGAGCTCACGTGCTGACTAGAGGTGTTGGCGGCTTGAACGCGCTTATTCGTGCGACCACCATGGCTCCTGATCTCAAATCGCCAGTGGGACGGGTTTTGCCCTCGATCTCACCAAGCAACAGCGGCAGCTCCAGCGCCTTGGGTCGCCTAACAGCCCTGGGGCGACAATTGATTCCGTCTTCCCCCTTCACGACCCGCAGCGAAGCCGAGTCTGCAAACGAAACAGGTCCAGATTCTCAAGTCGGCACGCTGCACCTCGGCCCGAACGTTTCCATTGCAGTGACCAAACCGCGCGAGCCGGAGCGCCTGCCAACGGATCGCCTTCTGCTCAATATTCACGATCCAGTTGTCTCAGAACACCTCGAATGGCTAGGGAAGAAGTGGATGCTTGGGCAAGATGTATTGTGAGAATTGAACAGCCTGCTTCGAGGATTCACGCAGTCTGACCCTTCGAACTTGCTCCTGCAGCCTGCTCTCCCCTCCTGGGCCTTACTCCCGCCGTCTTGCACTCACCTTTGCGGCGTTGCTTCAGCTTCCATATGAGATCGTCTCCTTGCATAGAGATATCGGTGAGGCCGACCTGCTTCAATCGCGCAATCTGGCCGCTGGCGGCGAGCTCGTCTATCACAATGGTCCTGTCGTGCGCGCGATGATGAACGGCGGCATCCTGATCCTAGAAGGTGCACAGCGAGCAGAGCGCAATATTTTACCGCTGCTGAACAATATTCTGGAGGTGAGAAGCTGACCTATGCCATGCGAGACTCGATGATCTCCTCTTTTACCGATGTACATGCTGCCCTCCAGAACCGTGAACAAAATCTCCCCGACGGAACGCACCTGATTCCTGCAGATCGCATTGCATCCATGCAAGCAGAGCAAGCAAAACTGGGCAAGGAAGTTAGCAGATTTGTGCCTGTCCACCCTAATTTCCGTGTGATCGCACTCGGCCTGCCCATCCCGCCATACAAGGGTCATCCCTTGGATCCGCCTTTTCGAAGCCGTTTTCAGGGTCGATGGGTCGAAGGAAATGTCGGAAACCTTGGCTCTGCTCAGTTCACACAGGAGAATGAGTTTTCAAATGCCGGGCAAGAACAAAGGGAAGCGGCGGCTGAGCTTCAGAGCAGGTTCTACGCTTGGAGCTCGCTTCAGAAGCAGCATGCAATGGCAGCGGCAGGCGGCTCCATTCTTCCTCCTACTTCCCAGCTTCCCAATGTTCCCGGAACAGCACTCCCGCTTATTGAGGATCTCATCCGGCGCTTTGTTCCGGAACAAATGCCACCTGAGCCCGAGGAAATTGACTCTCCAGAAGCCAACATGACAGAACAAGAGAAAGAACGCGTGTCTCGCGATCCACCGCAGGACGGTGCCCTCCAGGTGCATCACACGACACGTGCGATGGTGGAGAGGCGCGAAGCCGAGCAGCTCAAAATGGTCTCTAGGAAGTCCAAGGACGCAGAGGCAATCGCTGCTTCAACGATGATGCTTCTAGGCTCTGCGTACCCGGCCTTGCACTCACTCGACAAGGAGAAGTCTAAACTTCTGACCGAGCTGCTTGTCGGTGTCGGTCTCAATAATGGCCTAGGAGAGCAGCAGCAAGCAGAGGGTGTTGGTATTCTCGGCTATCGCGCAATCTCGATAGAGAAGATACCCGGTGATGCGAATCTTGTCGATGTCGCCTTCGAACAGATCCATAGCGGACAGAGAGTCACTCTCCGAGCCCCTGGTGGCCACCTTCCGCTCCAACGTCTCCCAACACTGGGTGAAACAGCCCAGGGAGGCATCCTGATCTCGCCACGCATGATTGCCCAGTTGACGTTAATGCTCCAGTTGCACTGCATGGGTCGGGACATATGTGTGCTGCCCTCTACACTCGCTTCAAAGCAGGGTGGCGACGGGCTGTCGCAAACGCAGTCATCATCATCCACTTCTACGTCCATTTCCCTCTTTGCGTCTTGCCTCGGCTATCAGCTCGAGTCTTTGCACCTCTTCAAAGACACTTCAGGACAAGAGCTCCTCATGCGCCGAGCCACCACTGCTGATGGAAGCACGACATGGGAGGCAGCTCCACTTTTGAAAGGCGCGCTGGATGGAAAGCTGGTCCATCTGTCTGGCGTCGATACCCTTGGTGCCACGCTCGGCAGCTTGTCGCGTCTCAGCACAGATAGGGAATCCGAGCTTTGGAATGGCAGCCGTGTTCTCCTGAGCAACAGTTACAGTGTCTCGGACACAGAAGCTGAAGCGCTTAACGCGCTGATGTCCTCCAAGGAAGCGGGTAAAGTCGTCAACGCCATCAGTCCATCCTTTCGCATCGTCGCGACGGCAGCTGCAGCCAAGGCGGACTGGCTCGACGAAGAGGCAGGTACACTCTTTGGCTTTGTGCAGCCTAGTCCAATGCAGCCGGCCGAGGAGCGTGAAGTCATTCGTCAGCGCACACATTGCGGAAAAGAAGCGCTCGACAAACTCTTGGAGTTTGCAGAGCGCTATAGACAGATTAGCGCAAATCCTGTTAGTCTGAGTGCTGAGTCCTTCTCTCCCTGTGAGCCCGATGACTGACATGTGCTTCTCCTCTCAGAATCTCTTACTGCAAAAGTCACGCAGGCTCGGCACAAGACAGCTGATACGGGCAGCGAAGCGCATGGCCAAGTATCCCGATTCCGACTTGCACAACCTCATATCGCGCTCATTGCTGGTGGACTTCCTGCCGAAGGCTGTCAGAGAGATTGTCCGCGACGCGCTTGCACAGTGCCATATCTATCAGCCCGGGGTGGAAGGAGCATTCCAGTACCAGCCTGCCGAATTCATGGCTGATCCTGAAGTCAGTAATGATCAACTTACATTCTGTGACCTCAACAATGAAGCGGCAGAGCCACAGTCGATCCCTCTGTTCGACGTAGATGCCAAAGATCCGGAAGGCAAGATCCTGATCCCTGTCATGCCGACATTTTACAACAACCACGCCCAAAGCATGCTCATGAGGAGTATGGCGCAGGACTTGCACATGCTCAGTGAGCATCTGCTCCTGATGGGCCAGCAGGGTGTCGCCAAGAATGCCATCATCGACAGGCTGCTCGAGCTGCTTCGCAGACCAAGAGAGTACATTCAGCTGCATCGCGACAGTACGGTCGCCTCCATCTTACAGCAAATAAATCTTCAAGCAGGAAAGCTCAACTACACCGAAACCCCGCTGTTACGCGCCATCCGACTTGGCCGCGTGATCGTAGTGGACGAGGCGGACAAGAGCTCGGCTGCAGTGACAGCGGTCTTCAAGTCTCTCACGGAGCGCGGCGAGCTGTCCCTCCCGGACGGCCGGCGCGTGCGTCCGATCGGCAGTCTCGGTGCGAACAACGATATTCTTGTTCACCCAGATTTCCGTTTGATTCTGCTCGCGAACCGACCCGGGTTCCCGTTCCTTGGCAACGAATTCTTGCAAGTTCTTGGCGAGGGATTCTCCTGCTACGTCGTCTCCAACCCAGATTTAAACTCCGAAATCAGGATCCTGCAACAGGCCGCCCCCAATGTTTCCAAGAATCTGATCAGGAAGCTCGACATGGCATTTCATGACCTGCGTCAAGCATTCGTCGACGGCCTGGTCACATATCCATACTCGCTGCGCGAGCTTCTACACCTCGTACGGCATCTGCAGAACTATCCAGAGGAAGGCCTAACATCGGTGCTGCTCAACACCCTGGCATTTGACTTACACCGGCCCGAGGCGATGCAATACGTCATATCGGTGCTAAAGAAGCGCGGCCTTGAGACGGAAGGCCTGTCGCTTACCGAAATTCGTGAGGGCGTTGGTGCATTGGGCAAGGCGGCCAAGAAGATCGAGTGGGACCCAAAGAAGGCTGGGCGCGACACGTCGTTGGACAGGCCCAAAGTCGGCAAGGTAGATCTGCAGAACAAACCACACGTCGGCGGGAACACGTGGCGAGGCGGCACGGGCGGCCGTGATACGGCCGGACTAGGCGGCGTCGGCGGGTACGAGCGCCTGTTTGCGGGGCACGACGTTCATCAGGTTCCGCAGTCGCAGAAGGACGCCGTGCCGGAGCACATCAGGCGGCAAGCACGCGAGATGGCGCGGGAGGCGCTGGCAAAGAAGCTAGCGGAAGAAGGCATGACGTCGCACGAAGGCGCGACGTACCACGCCTACATAACCGAGATGGCGCCGCAGATCGAGCAATTGCGTAACGTGTTCGACTTGGTGCAAGCCAACGCGAAGGAGCGGCAATGGCTCAACCGCCAGCAAGAGGGCGAGTTGGATGAACGGAGACTCACGGACGGTCTAACGGGCGAGCGAGCCATTTTCCGCCGCCGGCAGGAGGCGCCGCCCGAGATCGGAACGCCGCAGACCAAGCCGAAGCGTATTCGTTTTGTCGTTGACGTCAGTGCTAGCATGTACTCGATGCAGTTCGATGGGCGTCTGGAACGCGAGGTCAAGACATGCGTGGTGAGTGCCGTGGTTTGCATCGTCGGATGGAGCGATAAGCGCAGCACGCTGACCAACTTTCACATACTTTCACCCATGCGCGCGCCTTCAACTTTGCAGATGGTCATGGAAGCGCTTGAACGTGTCGACCCGACCAAGTATTTATGGGACCTGGTCGGCCACAGTGGCGACAGCGACCACATCGTGTTCATCGAAGCTGGAAAGCCGCCAAAGACCAACGGTCAGAAGTGGAAAGTGGTGCGCAACATGGTTGCGCAGATGCAGTACTGCGATGTGAGTAGATCAGATGTTGAATGGTGCCAGCGACAGAATAGCTCACGCCCACCTTGATTTCCTCCTTCAATTCCCTTCCAGAGTGGCGACAACACCGTGCGCTGCCTGGAGCGTTCCGTACAGGAGCTCTCGCGCGTCGAAGCGGACGACTACTTTGTGATCGCGCTTTCGGATGCGAACCTGGCGCGGTACGGCATCACGTCGCGCGTGTTGACGGATGCGCTGCGCAAAGGCGGGGAGAAGGTGAAGAGCTCCATCATCTTCATCGACCGCGGTGGTAATGATGCTGGACACATTGCGCGGCAGATGCCCGGCAGGGCGTACGTCGCGGCAGAGATGAGGGAGATCCCGGCGCTGGTCAGCAATATCTTGACGACCATGAATGGAGAGGACTCTGCGTGATGCTCCTGGAAGTGCAGCTTTTGTAAGCGTCGTTTCTTTCTTCCAGACTGATAGAACCGGTAGTGACCTGCAAAGATATATAGACGGGAAGACGAGATAACTTATGATACATGCTCTGCTTGCAACAGCAGCTGCAAAGTTATGGGAGCGTCTGAAGGATGCGCTCATTGCATCAGAGTCGTAGTGCCAAAACCCTGATGACGCTCCAACGCGTTACTGCTTCTGCTGCTGCCCCGCCTGAGCGCTCTGCTGATTGGTAGCCATCTCCCTCCGATACCCCTCGGCTTTGCTGTTGATCCAAGCCTTGAGCGTGCCAAACCCACGATCGCCGTTGTACTTCTCCACCATTTTCCCGTCCTTGAACAGCTGTATATTTGGGTAACTGGTGATGTCATTGGTTTCGCAGAGGTCGCCCTGCGCCTCGCAGTCTACCTGCGCCATGTAGAAGGACGAGGAGTCTTCGAGATGCTCGGAGATGATCGCCAGGTCTTTCCACGTCGGGAAGAAGTTTCGGCAGTCTGACAGATAGGCGGGGAGGCAGAGAACAGGACAGCAGGTCAGTCAGGAAACGAGTACAGGACCACATCAAAGAAGACTTACGTGGACACCGTGGGCTGAAAAACTCGACGAGCCACATGCCCTTGGTCGTCTTGCTTTTAAAATCATTGGAATTGAGCAGGCGGAGCTCCGGGTTGGCAAAGTCCTGGTATGCGCTGGTTCCACTGCCCAGGAGCAAGAGCAGCAGCGCGGAGACGGCGTACGTCGAAAGGGAAAAGGAGAGCAACCGCATCGTGACGGACTGCGTGTATGGCTGGGGCTCGCGACACACAGATGCCTTAAAAGCGAACTGCGGTGGGTTAGGCGGAGGAGGGATGTGCGTTTGGTCGATGGGCTACTATATAACCCCTTGAACAAAGCTCGATGATTTTTTGGCCAGCCAGCGTGCTGTTGTCCGCCGTTGGCACCACAATCTCCAGGTGTTGGGGACTTTATACAGGGAGGGAAGTGACTGTCTCTGTAAAGGGAGAGAGGTCAAGTCTGAGATGGCTGGGTTCCATGTTTGATTCTTTGGTTGGGTGGGCTGGTCGGCTTGACAAACAGAGTAGGGCTTATATAAGCTGAGTGTGCCTTTCGGAATTCGGAACCCGTCTCTCTGCTGCGACGCGAGGCGCGTCTCTAATCTCTGTTGGGTGTTGTTGTCAGTCGCTTTTACATCTGTAGATTGGCAGAGGACTGCAGCACTGCAGCAGTCAGCATCTGGGGCGGGAGTGGATCGTCACTCGACAATCCAACCTGCACCTGAACAAGTGATCATGTTCGTTGACCTCGTATGCCTGTATTCTTCGATGGACTGCATCTCGTATCGACCCCAAGGACACTCGAAAACACTTCCTCATCCTGGGATCGACCTGCCCCTGGTCTCCGGCTGTGGTCGGTGACGAAACAAGCACATCGTAGAGAGGCGAGCGCATACAGCAGCATCGGCAGTGGCAGCCATCCCTCCCAGTCTCCCAGCTGCTAGGGTCGACGAGAGCAGCCAAGATGCTTTCGAGAGGGGGCGGCTTGCGCTCACCCTCGAGCTCACAGCAGTCTACAGCTCAACTTTCACCTCGACAGCAGAACCAAGGGCACCGTGGACATCAGCCGCCGCAGCATTTCGTCACCCCTGACGACTCGGACCTCATGGACGATAGCGAGGATGATGATGACGAAGATGACGACAGGCAATGCGAGCCAACGCTGACCATCAGAGCCACTACTACCATGACGACACGGATGAATGGGGGCTTGCACGGTGCAAATGCCTCTTCTGCCTCCACCTCTGAGAATAGCTCGGCGTCAGGCTCCTCAGCCCCGATGCCGATCCAACCGCTGATACAAGTCGCCCCTCGCTTCTACTTTGCCATCTTTGACTCTGCGCAGCCGCTGCCTTCTGCCCGCACACTCAATGCAAGCGCAAACGGTAGCGGAAAAGGCAGCGCCATATTCCCCGCCAAGCCACCCACTTCTGCTGGATTGCAAGTGTCTACCCAATGGGAGTTTGAGCAGCAGCAAGACGACCAGCCGGCTTTGAAAGCGAAAGGAAAGGGTGCCAGCACGCAGGGCTGGGCGCCGAATGCACTTCCGAACAAATTCCACTGGATCAGCGTCGACCCTCCCAAGAGCTTTCGACGCAAGAAGCGGAGCCATCGGCAGGCCACACACAGACACACGCTTACCAGACACTCCGCCAGTGCTGGCCAGGATGAAGACTCGGACGTCGCATCCGATGCTTGCTCGGACGAAGACTTTGAGGAAGGGAGTGACATGGGCAAAGGTGGATTCGAGGTGCAGAAATACGAGTATGCGCGCTTCTACGACGATTGGGGTCCGCTGAACATGGCAATGGTCTGGATGTTTTGTGACGATGTCGAGAGGTTGATGGATGTGAGTCCGTTCAGAAAGACGGGTGTATGCGGCTGTTTGCTACAAAGAAGCTGACCACATGCCATCGATCACCATTTATTTGTTCGATTGTAGCGCCCGGATCTTCGTGAGCACGGCATTGTCCTGTATACCTCATCCGCACCCCGACGCAAGACAAACGCAGCCACACTGGCGGCTTTGCGCTCCGTTCTGGTGTACCATTTGGCGCCGCACGATGCCTTTCACCCGTTTTCGACGCTCGACGTGCAGCCCTTCCGCGACGCGGGGTATGGCCGTTCGGACTTCTTCCTGAGCATCCAGGACGTACTGTACGGCGCCTGGCGCGCGCAGACGCTCGGCTTCGCCGACCTTGCGACATTCGACGTCGATGAGTACCTCTATTCGGAGCAGCCGCAGAACGGCGACTGGAATTGGATCACGCCTTCTTTCATTGCCTTTGCCAGCCCCAACGACCCGTCGTACGTCCGTATGCTGCGCGATCAGGGCCTCGAAGCGCAAACATCCCCGGCTCGCTCCACTAAAGCCAAGGCCAATTCAGTCGCCGGTGGTGGCGACCGCACCAACAGGACCGGCAGTAGTAAGACAGTTGCAACACTTGCGGAATACTACGCCGAAGATGGGCCCAAAGCGCGTGCATTCCACCAGCGCAAGCAGAACCTTCTTAGCGATTTTCGCAAGCGCAACGTCCAGCTCGTCGTCCGCCTCAACAATCCCCTCTATGACAAGGACATCTTTGAGGATGTTGGCATTGCGCACATCGACCTGTACTTCGATGACGGGTCAAACCCATCGACGGCGATCCTGCGCGAGTTCATCCAGCGCGCCGACGCCGTCGTTGAGCGCGGCGGTGTCGTCGCCGTGCACTGTAAAGCTGGGCTCGGCCGCACAGGCGTACTCATTGGCGCATACCTGATCTGGAAGTACGGCTTCAACGCACCGGAGGCCATAGCATGGATGCGTGTCCAGCGCCCAGGCTGCGTCGTCGGGCCGCAGCAGCAATTTGTGTACGAGCAGTGCATCGACTGGGTCAGGTGGGGCGAGCAGGCGCGCGCAATGAAGATGGCCGAGAGCAAGATCGCGAAGGAGAAAGAGCTCATGCAACATGAGATCAAGCGGCTGCAGGTGCAGTTGCTCGAGGCACAGCGCATGAGCAGATCCTCTTCGGTGACGGCCACGGATGCTGCTGCTACCGCGGCAGCAGCAAACAACGCTGAACCATCTAGGAAGCGTAAAATCGGGGACGCGCCCGACGCGGCGCAAGCAAGCACTAATGAGAACACTACCAACTCGACTGCAGACCCGACATATCCTCCCCAACGCGAACCAGGCGACTCTGACAGTGAAGCCGACGTCGCGACCATCGTCACGCCACGTCCGAAGAAATCAGCCACGCTCACGCACGTGGGCATCTCAGACGCTTTCGCTGGCGCGGCGCCATCCGCCGCACCCCACCTTTCGAGTACGGTTCACCACCACGATGCAGCTGGGGGCGAGGCTGCCTTTGTGCCGCAGACGGCTCCGCGCACGCATGCCAAGCCGAAACCGATCGTCGGTCAACCGAGAAAGCCGGCAAGTCCTCAGCGACAGAGCCCTGTTCGTGGCGCTCGCGTAATGAGCGGCCAGAGTCCGCAGCGACAATTGAAGATGGGTGGTGGGAGTGGAAACCTGTTCAACATCCCCACGACGCATACACTTGATGATCGACTCGGTGGGGGCGGTGGCGGCGTCAATACTGGCGCTTCTCGTCTCGTACCGTGTACCGCTGACGGTTCTGCGGCTCCCTCCTCTGCCTCGCCGGCGCCAAGTGCGCCAATGGCCCCGACAGAGTCACATGCAAACTTTAACAGCCTTGTCATGGACAGCGACTGCTCCGAGCTGATGGCCATGTCATTCCGCGACATGGAGAAGGGCGTTGGTGCGACAAGCTCTCGTTTTGTATCTGCCAGCATGATTGCGCCTGCTATCACCGCGCCGGCTTCCTCTTCCAAGAGGAAGGCGATGACAGATTCTATCGCTGACTTTGACAACATCGTCACAGAGAATGACTGCTCCGATATCATGGCCATGTCCATTCGCGACTTGCCGACTACACCTTCGCGAGGCAGCAGTCGCGTCTCGCCGTCGGCTACGGGCAGAAGCACCCGGTCGGTCGCAGTAAACGATAGCGGTTCACCGATGCCCATACGAACGACTGCCGCTGCTAGCATAGCTGTCGGCGGGCGTGGCGGTATGAACAGCGACAGCGTCAGCGTCGCTATCATGGAAACGGCGCTCGCCCAACCTCATACTGGGATACTAAGCGAGGCCAGGAGAGCAAATCTTGTCCATTCCGGCCCCGGCGCTTCGACAACACCAACTCAGCCACCGCCTCTGCATTGGGATCCTATGAACCTCAAGTCACCCGTCCAATCGACGGCCGCCGCAGATGAGAAAATGAACCCCGGCGACCTCTCAGGCAAGTGCGCCAGTCCAAAAGTGAAAGCTCTGTATGGTCTGAAAGACGCAGGTTCTGGCACAATCAAGGCTGCGTCGACCAGGCTCCCGACTGCAACATTACGCAACAGTCCCATCCGTACGCGATCAACATCGAGAGGGACCGCAACTTCGACTGCAGCTGCAAATGGTCGTGTACCTAACCGCACAGTTCGACCAGGTATCACAAGAGGCATTCCCGTAGGTGCAGGTGGTACTGCCTCCACAGCTTCTTCGGGCTCTTTGGCGTTGCCGAGGTCCACCACATCCACCTCTGCGCGGGGGACCGCAGGCTCGCGCACCACAGCGAGCACTCGCACCACTGTGTCCTCACGTTCGACCTCCTGGCGCTCATCTCGATCCGAACGTAGCACGAGCGGCTCATCTGCCACGTCTGCCATCAGCGCTCGCACCGATGGCTCCTCTAGCGTTGCTCAACATCGCTCCAACACCGCAACTACTACCAGCATTCGGCCACGCACGGCAAGGATCATGCCAACAGTTGCTCCATCTCCCACTCAGGCTGGCTCCTCTCGCCTGGTGGTGAGAGCCGCGCGGGCAGTGCCAAGAGCTTGAGCAAGTCCAGCAGACGATTTGCATGAACAACCATATTTCTTTGGAACGGGTAGCAAAAAGCATTGCAGAAGCTCACATCTCATACACCATAGTTCTCATGCTTTGGCATCAATATCTTTTAGACAGCGGTAATACACAACTTAGGAATCTTGGATCAAAGAAGTGAATGAAAAGCTTCATCCTGAAATGGGCAGGGCCAGAAAACATCTAGCCTGGGCTCCTTTCGCGAATACGGCTCTGACAACGGTAGTACGGTAGCTTCGAACAGACTCTGTATACCTTTTCTCCTAACGTATGAAAGCCTCTGGGCACGTGTGATCGTGGGCTGACGAGAATAGAATCTACTCGCAGTGGAAGAGCAGCTACTCTAGTCCGTCTGCTGCCCTCCAGGCTAACACCCGTGGAGCATGTGCCAATGCGCCAATACGTCATGCTCCAACGCTGGCACATTTGGCGATGGCACATCAACGAGAGATAAGGACCCCAAGGCCATGGTGCCATTGCACGTGCGATCGATTCGTCAGCAAAGGGCCATAAATGTATGTGTATATGTAGGATACAGTAGGGTGGAATCCCCAGGGTGCTCGGCTGAAGCGGAAGGTCGGTGGGAAAAAGCTCGAAGCCCAGCAATTCAAATTTCTCCCGCAAAAGAGGGAATAACGAGGGAATATCCTGGGAATATGAGGTGCCACGAGGCTTCATCTATGACGAATTGCCGAATAAAGCACATGAACCACCTTATGATGAGGCCCCGCACTCGCTACTACAAGCTCCTCCAGGCCATTGGGGACGGGGAGCTGTTCACCAGGCTGGCATGCCTTGATGAAGCATAAAGCCCCGAACCAATAGCATCCGTTGGACAGGAGGTGCAGCACTGGGCGTTAGTAGCCATGGTAGCAGGCAAGAGCGCTGCTTTGGACGTGACGCCGTTCCCGCCAATCGCCTATCATGGCCGAGGATCCCAGGCTCGGTACGTTCCGGTAGAGGAGCAGAGCGAGGAAGATAAGAGGTGGATGAGGGAGGCACTGGAAATGGCCGAAGAGGCGTTGGGGGCGTTCGAAGTTCCTGTCGGCAGTGTTTTCGTAAGGAACGGTGAAATTATTGCAAAGGGGAGGAATAGAACGAATGAGCTGATGAATGTACGTCGCTCGAAATCATCCGACCATGTGTAAGCAGCTGAACACCAACAAGGCTCGGTCGCAACCAGGCCACAAGACATGCTGAGCTCGAGGCCATAGACGAGATTCTCAAGAGATACCCTCCACAAGCCCCGAATTTCCCATTGCAGCCGCACTCAGGCCCTCCGGGCGATAACGTTCTTAAGGAAACGACCTTATATGTCACGGTCGAGCCCTGCATCATGTGCGGCTCGGCGCTACGGCAAGCAGGTATCAAGCGCGTTGTCTTTGGTGCCGGAAACGAGCGTTTTGGCGGAAACGGGAGCGTCCTGGGGACGCACGATGACCAGGAGCTCGGAAGTGCGCCACCCTACGAGGCTGTTGGGGGCTACTATCGCGAGGAGGCAATACTTCTTCTTAGGCGGTTCTATCTCACGGAGAATTCCAACGCACCCATCCCCAAAAACAAGGCGAAGAGAGTGCTGAAGACGGAGATTCAGCCGCCAGGAATCAGCATGCACGCGCCTGTGGCCCAACAAAAAGCAAAACAGGTGGCTCAGAGTGTGGACGATGACCACATCGCGGCTGCGCCTGGAGGCACTGTTGGCGGGACGGACGACGCGCCGAAGTCGTAGCTGCTCCATCCTCGATCAATCAGCACGAGCAAGTCGCATCATGTAAATGTTGAGCTGCATCCTGCATCGCCTGAATGAAGCATTCAGATATTGGAGCACATGTGTATACATTGTGCAAGTGAAGCATTGGCGACAAAGCTATAGCCGTTTTGGCTTGCCCAGTGCACGTGTTCCAAATAGTGTAGCGATGCCGCTTCCAGCGCCAGCGCCGCCTGCTTTCTCCTTCTCGAGCGCAGCGAGCGCGTCTTGAAGTGTGACTTTGACGCGAGCAAGCCGTTCCTCCTCTTCCCTTTCCTTCTGTCTCGCAGAAAAGTCGCCCCACGCACCAATGCCAGATGCAGACTTGCTTCCGCTACCTAGGCGGCCACGAGCACCAAGGCCGGGCGAGCCAGCATCTGCTGCGGTCGACGGAGGGAGGGGGGCAAAGCGTGGTTTGGGAAGTTTCAAGAGACCGCCTGCCGCTGGATTGCCGTCTTCTCCATCTGCCATGCTGACATCCCCGTCGCCTCCGGATGCTGGCGGTGAGCTTGCACCACCGGCTGGTGAGGCCGATTTGGCCGCAAGCGATCGGCTCGGGCCCATGCCAAGGCTTCCGACACTAGATGCCATCCATGAGTACTTGCTGGCACCGCTGCTACTGAAAGCCGCTTGTGCAACGCTATCTGCGAGCTTTTTGGTCACATCTGCACTTGTATGCTTCGCAGCAGCTGCGGCCTTCTTCTTGCTACCGCTCCCCGATATCATGCCAAGGAGGGGTGCGTCCCTGAAGCTGTTGGCCACACCACCCGCCATAGGTTCAGCACCGACTCCTTCGCCGGATGCTTCCGAAAGCTCAGCCGCTATTGCTGCTTTCATCCTTTCTTCCCGTTCCAACCGCCTTTGCCTCACACGCATCTCATTGGCGCGGTCTGCCTTTTCGATGGCGCTGAGCCAGAGCTCTGGATCTGAAACGATCTCCTGCTTGTAAAGCGTAACCCTTTGGTTAGCCTCCTCCTCCCCATCACCATCATCACCATCATCATTATCTTCGCCTTTGTCCCCATCGCCTTCCATCTTTCTTCGCTTTCCCTTGCGGTCTGGCCAGAACCCTGGCTCGGCAAGGTGGCTGCTCCAATTTCGATGCCTGCTTATCTTGATCATTGTCTCGAGCAGATTTCGAAAGCGCTGACGCGTCGCCAAACTGAGGTAGTTGAGCACATCTGGATCCACCTGCAATTGGTGCTTAAAGGCAATTTTGTGAACCTTGAAGGAGAGATCGTATACGCTGAGGTAAAGACCACCTGCCGAGGAATCGCCGCCTGGTCGTCTGACGAATCTCGGACCCAAGTCTGCGTCAGGTGCAGAAGAAGAGCCATCGGCTGCATACGATGTGGATGGCTCTCCACGAGAGCTGCTCGCGATCGCCTCTTGCTCTGCCTGCCAAGTAAGAATGTCTTAAACTTGCACCTATTTCCACGTGCCAAAGAAGAGTTGCGACCTACCTTAAGATCGACGCCGGCGCCGGTCATGACATCGAGCGCTTCCCTAGCATCCATTCTGTCACCTTCATCATCCCTAGGCTCCTTCTTCACAGTGATTCCGGACGAGGTGGTCGTAGCATTGCCCAGCGCTGCGCCCACGCTTGCACTTGCCGCTGGTGCAATCGCAGTATCTGCAGGGGTGGGAAGTGATCCATCGCCTGATGCGGTTGTGCGTGCTAGCGCTGTGGGAAGTGATCCATCGCCTGATGCAGTTGTGCGTGCTAGCGCTGGATCAATGCCTATTCGAGGCGTGCATGTTAAGTGCTGCTGCGATTGTGACTGTGATTGAGATTGAGACTGGCCTTGTTGAGTAGCAGGAAGCGTCGTCCCTTGCGAGCTAGCCTCAAGCCCTTGGGAAGATTGCGAAAAGAAGTTGGCAGTGCTGATGGAGGCACCTGCGTCCTGTGACTCGATATCGTGTTGGCTCTCCATCATCTTCGTAACTGGAGGCGGTGGGAGCATGCTGCCATTGCCATTGGCAAGTGAAGCCCCTGCATCCGCTGCCATCCCTGCGCTGCTTAATCCTGGCAGCACCAAGCCTGCAAGCGGCGATCCAGCCTGCTGATCATACAATTGTGGATGTGCCGCTCCTCCTACTCCTCCTCCAGCTGGGAATGGGCTAATCGAAGCAGCAAGCGGCTCATCATCCGACACGGGTGAGCCCGGACCCGATGCTGGGACAGGATGGACCAGCTTGGCCTTCTTGGCCGGCTGCTCTGACATTGTGTTGCTGAGTACTTGCGGTCGTCCCAGCTTTCTCCCGCGTTTCGTGCCGAACAGAGGGCAAGATTGCTATTGGGTTCAATAATCGCAACCTCCCAGCACCAGCAGGAAGCAGCGCAGCGATGTTGCCGAAAGGCGGTTGTGGCTCTACGTTTCCGCAGCGCTCAGCGGTCTTGCGCCTCAACGAAGCATCCACATCATGCGTCTCGACCTCAGCCTAGATCCTCCTGCAGAGCTTCGCCAAGCTCTATCACCACTGGCAACCAAATGGGAAGAGCTAAGTCAAGGTATGATAGGGGGTCCGTGTTGCTAAGAAGAGATGGTGCGATTAGTCGAGAATAATAGCATCTCTTGCTCAACCTTCATATTGACACGACTGCCACGCGGCTCATTCGCCTTTCAGGTGAGCCATCGGACTATCAGAACCCTTGCACGCTAATTTTCAAGTCGAATGTCAATGAACAATATTTGAAGAGGAGGGCAGAGAGATCGCCTTGTTCATCATACTCTGTGACACTTGACCACATCTCTTCAATTCAGACCTGAGATCTGAATTTAGACATCAACTTTCAATACTAGCCTGAAAGGCAGCACACTTATTCATTGCTATCAACCTGTTCATCTCGACTCCTCTTCTTCTGTCACTCACCATGTCTAGCAGTGGTGCTCTAGAAGATGGCAACGATGTGACACACGAGAGGCGGTGACGGTCCATGATGCCTACCCGGGGCCACAGCTGTCAAAATGCTACCGGCAATGACTTTCGGCTCAAAGGAAGGCGGACCGTCATGCAGCGGTATGCAGTTTGCGGATCCGGACGCACGAGTTTGAACCACGTGTTTGATGTACAAGAGCAACAAGTTGTAGGCAAAAGAGGGCTACCACAAGCACATGTGCAGGTACTTTACTTTAAATGGAGTCAATTGGTGCATCAGTAGGCAATACGTCCATAAACGCACAAAAGATTCCACAAATGGCGAACCGCAAGGTTGCGGAAATGCCAAATGGCCGTTCACCACTCTTGCTACGATCATTCCTGTCCCAAGCGCAACAGGCAATCGACGCAGACCTCAGTTACTGAGGTGGTCTCGAAAAGGAAAGCTCTCGCTCCTCACAGGCCTTGCGGGTCTTGGGGTAGAACCTTCGACGTTCTAGAGCTTGATGATGATCATTCAGGCCAAAGCCCATGAAAAGATCCACGTTTAATACATGCCTTGCTTCTTGCGCGCCCGCTGCAGTACAGCGAAGCGGCCCAGCAAGAGGTGAAAGGTTGGCAGCCAGAAGCATTCAGCATCTTTGAGGACCTCCGTAAATGGGCACATTGAGTCCCTCCTGTTCGACCTCCTTGTTGTATCGCTTGATGAGGCAGGAAGGCGAAAATGTCACCAGAAGGGAAATATGACTTCGGAGAGCGCAAGTCGGTTACCATTAATTGACACCCCTTGTTAAAGTCAGGATTGGTGTTGATTGTTATTCTCCACTTCTCTTGAGCGTGCCCGGCCTTATGGCTCGGAAGCAATACGGCCAGAGGCAATGGTAATCATTCGGCATTTCAGGCAGCAATGCATGCAAGATATACAAGGATGATTGAATATGATGGAGTACAATGTTCCACGACTCGGCAAATTTGAGCAGGAGCATATCCAACACATTGCGAAAGCGCGTAAATTATGTTCTATGTACTTTCGATTAATACGTCAGAGTCTAACTCACCCTGAATTTGGTGGTGAACCGAAACATGTCTTATCGATGGATAGAGAATGCGGGCCCCTTTGATGCTTGAGAAACACTTCCTCACTCCAGCCCGTCGTTTGCGGTTCGATATATTGAGCCCGGACGCCCTTTGGCGGCGCTTGTCCCACTAGGCACCTGGACACTGTGAACGCCCAAGTCCATTCGTCAATACGAAACCGAGTATAGCATCATTGCTCCTGCAAGGTAGATCAGCAAATTGGCATTCGTGAGGCTGGAAAGTACCCGGGCCAAAGGGAGCGGTTTGGATGAAGAATGGGAAGGCAATGCCGAGTAAATTAGGGAGCCGAGTGCCATCATCCTGTTGTATGTGCGATACATTGTACGCAGGGAAGCTGCACCTCGCCAACGCCTTTGCAACACTTTGTAAGCGAACAATCTGGAACGTCTGCCACAAGTGAGATGTATGGGCACGAATCTGCTCTTCAGTCAGACTGTCACAATTTTGCAATCACATGCAACACAAGATGCCTTCATACAAAGGTCATGTCACCATCCGAATCATGGGTCATGCTTGCATTGGTCCGATCTTCATCAAGCATGCTGATGGTCTCATCACGATCAGTGACGACAAGGAAGCGCAATACTTCGAACGTTCGCATTTGATTGCGCCGTATGGAGGTGAAGTAGACTGTGCCCGAGCCTGCAGAAGTTGGTGACTTGCAGTCGTCAGGGAAGCGGTTGTCAAAGAAGGAAAGGAAGCAGACTCACTACGCGGCCCTTTGACTCGGAAGCTGATGTCGACCTTGCCTTGCATCATGTTGACCTGTATTGAAAAAGTGGAAATCGGGTCAGAGCCTTTGGCAGCTGGCATTGCCCAACGACACCGTTCCACAGACGCACAGATCCAGCCACCCAAGGATCCCCCAAAATACTCGGTTCCAGTAGCACGGGACTGCCGAGTGCCTCATTGACGTTGTCTGAATCCTTGATCTGCGTCAGGACGGATCGAAAGACAGAAGAAGAGAGACGTTCTTTGTTTGTTGCATATGACGCAAATGCGGTCCATATGGTTACTACGACTAAGGCTGCGGCGGCAAAGATTGGCCGTCGGTCCTGCAGTGCGGCGTTTGATTATAACAGTGTGAGTTGTAGCTGAAGACGATAACTGAGTGACTGACAGAGGAAATGGCAGACGTACAGGAATTATTGGTAGCTCTCTCGTCCGCTTGCTTTGTGGTCTTTGAGGAGGTGGCCCAGTGGCAGCAGTTGCAATGGTCCTGGTCATGAAGCCCGTATGGCCAACATTTAAGCGGTGAGACAAGAGCAAGACCCGGCCTTCTTGAGGAAAGCACTTATGGCAAGACACGGACAGAGGCCCCTGTCGAAGGAGCCATCTTTGGGATGTCTCTAATGATGAGGGAAAGAGCCGAACAGCGGCACGTCGGAGCGCCGGACTCGCCATTTTGCAAGATGAGCACCAAAATTCTCGGGATTTGTCCAACCGAAAGCGTGTTGAACGGGCCCTGCATCTTCTGAATTGAAGAAGTGTTCGCTCTTTCGGACATGTAGCTTCGAAGTGACACAAGCAGGATTCGAAAGAGCAACGGGTGCTGCTTGGAAGAAAAAAAAGAAAGATGGACGCGTTCTTTCTTTTTATTTTCGCGTCGCGACTCGCGTTACATCAACTCAAGACGCACTGGGCAGTCGAATAGAGAGTTGGGAGTCTCCGACAGTCGACAGACCACAACTGGGGCTGGCGGCACTCGGTACATGTGCATTGGACATTGGCAGGTATCTAACACATGCGTCTGGAAGAAGCATGTATGCTCCGAGAAGGCCTGAAGGCGGCTGCTGCCAGAAATTGGTCAGTGACTCATAGTCTCAGAGAATGAAGCAAGCGACGCTCGCATTTGGCCAAAAGCCGCGCGTGCTACCGCATGCTCACGAGGCTCAGCCTCGTTGTGTGGGGATGCTAGACGCGGTGCGCCGTGAGGAGGAGGTACTCGAGGTAGGAACAGCCGGCACAGTCAGCATCACGCTCAAAGCGAGCAATCATGTGGCTGTGTCAAATGCAGCAAAGGACGCTGTTGACATGGGCGAGAAAGTGCGTTTGAGCTCCTCTCGCCAATTTATAGCGTTGCTGAACAGAACCTTGGCTTTAGGTAACAATGAACGCCGTCGCTCCTCCGAAAAATGGACATCGCAGTGCGCAGCAGAATGGGGAGAAAGCCTGTGGCGTATTTGCAAAGCCTTCCGAGCAGGTGAAGGCTGCCCAAGCAGCCACAACCGAAGCACCCAGAACCGAGTCAATTCATCGGGAAACAGCAACTGTGAGCCAGTCCGCTCACGGCCTCATTTCTGATCAAAATCCATTCACTCACCTAGAATTTTTCTTTCCTGTCGAAGCAGCCAGTGCAGGTGATAGACTCGAACGATAACGCTGTGCCATCAGCAAAGGCGCGGGGTAGGGCAAAGGCAGTGGCGGCCAAAGGACTGAAGACCTTTTGGCGTAAAGTGGCAGCGCCCATCTCGATTGACGCGTCAGATGACGATGGTGAAGATCTGACCGTGACAGGCTTCAAAATGGGTACCAAACGGGCAAAGCAAGCTGGCGGCGTGATCGATCTGACACGCTCCGAAGATCACGTCGCCTCGCACAAAGCTTCGAACGTCATTCGTCCACCCAAGCTGCCGTTGCCCCCCTTTCCAAATCGGGAGTCGATACATGTACACCCAACAGAGGAGGCTACATTTTGCGAGGCGAACGACAGATATTCCCTACCCTTCGAGCGGCGTACGCGATTGCAACAAGGCACATCAACTATTATTCAGCCAGACCAACCTGAGCCACTCCTGGCCCCGTTCAAGAAGCAGGTATCTGATGCGATGCAGAAAGTTCGGCAGAAGCGTGATGCGCGTTTTGAGCCCATCTACCTTGACCTAGACGGCAATGAAGTTGTGCGCTCTTCTTACGTCTCTCCACCCCTTCCTATCGACATCAGTAGCATCGCGTCTGACTCAGCCTTGATGCAGCACGCAGCCATGCAGCGGGTTGTCGAAGCAGCAGCAGCGAACACCAGCTCGGTGCTGCAGAGCACTGATGAGCTCTTGACTGATCGATGGCGACCTCTTCACCCAAACGAGTGCCTCGGCAATGAGGCACAAGCCGCGTACCTCAGCGACTGGCTGCGAGCGCTGCAGGTGTCCGAGTCCGTGTCCACCAACACGGAGCAGAAGTTGCAGCCGCAGGCGCACTCGCAGTTGCAACCTGGTCTTGCGCAACTGCCGATGGACTCGTCGCCCGTAGTCACGCTGCGCAAACGAAAGGTACAGCGGCGAATCGAGAAGATCGACTCGCGTAAAAAGCGGCAATGCAGGTTGCACAGCGATTCGGAGGACGATGATGGAATGGACGGGTGGCTCGCAAGGGATTCGGAAACGGAAGAAGAACAGGAGGTGATGCTGGAACAGATCAACACCCCGAAGATCAACACCTTCTTTGGCAAATTCAAGCCCAAGAGCAGAGACGCGAACGGCGAATCACTCTCATCACCCTCGCCAACGGAAACGGCAACCCAAGAGACGAATCAGTCAGACGTCACCGCAGCATCGTCTATGCAATCCGGGGTGACGGAGAATACGACCCTGACTCGAAGCCATGCGGCCGTACTGGGGCCTCACCGCTCTTTCGCAGACAGTAACATTCTTACCAACTGCATCGTTCTGCACGGCCCAACGGGCTGCGGCAAGACGGCGATGGTGTATGCCTGTGCCGCTGAGATGGGCTACGAGGTGTTCGAACTGTTTCCTGGTATGGGTAAACGAAGTGGCGTGGCGCTGGAAGCGGCTGTCGGTGATCTGGCACGCAACCACATGGTGCTCGGCGGTGGCAAAGGCGGAGGGGCGACGTTCAAGAGCAAGTCGGTGCTGGACCTGATGCGCAAACGCAACGATGCAAGTCCGCAGAAGCCGGCACCGGCGTCGTTTGCGCGCGCTGGAAGCGCACAACAGCCTGCGAGACAATCGGTGATTTTGATCGAAGAGGGCGATGTTCTGTTCGAAGAGGACAAGGGCTTCTGGCAGGCGGTTGTCGAGCTTGTGGCCAAGTCCCAGCGGCCAGTGGTGATCACGTGCAACGGTGAGATTTTCAGCGCTTTACTGCGCCAGAATCAAGCCGTATGGCTGACGGAATATTACATGGTGTGGTGTTTCGATCACAGACATTGCGCAGGTACCACTGCAGACATTGCCCATCCAGGAGGTCCTAGAAGTGACAGCACCACCACGCAACCTCCTGTCGGCCTATCTGAAGGTCGTTGCCGCTGCAGAGGGAAAAGAGCTCGACGACGCGACACGGGAGCGAACTCTAGATGATGCCCCATTGCTCAAACTTGCGGAGAAGGATCAGCGTACGCTGCCAGCCGATGGTGCGGTCGCGCCGGGGTCTGAGATCCCAGACGCTACGCCGTCGAAGGGCGGTGAAGCTGTTAAGGGCTGCACGGCGGATCTACGCCAGGCACTGCTGCAGTTGCATTACTGGTGCCATTCTTCCGGGGCACATCATGGCTTGAATCTCGGAGCGGCCCCTGCTCCTTGTAAACTCGAGGCATTCACGCAAGACGAGTCTGGTGACGATATGCAGGATGTGGCACGGTGCAGAGAGCAGGCCTCCTTTGCGGACGCCGAGCTGCAGCTCGGCATTGATCACCATATCGAGGTGCGCGTGCGGCACGACATCACCGCCGGGACTCGAATTTTGAGCGCTGCCAAGCTGACGTAGCATGTGTCTCTGTCTTTGCAGGTCATCCTTGGCGAAGGCAACCACTCTGCCGCTGACAAGCTGAGCCTGCGGCATGGTAAAATGTTGTCCGACGCGGAGGCAGAGAAGTTCCGGCCAATCTTGCCACATTACGGTCGACAGGATCAGATATACGATGCGCTATCGTCCTCGCGAGCAGCAGCATTGTCACGAGCGCCGAGCCCCCTGGGCTTTCAGGACGCTGCGCTGCTCCAGGGGCGTGTAGAATTTTCGCGCAGGCTCGCGTGCGTGCTGCAAGGCCTGCGCGTGCACGTGTTGCAGCTTCCACCACGGCGAGCGGCTGCGCTCGACTATGCACCGTACGTCGCGGCGATGCAAGATCACGATGACGGATGCGCCGCAGCGGCTGCCTCTGCGGCTGCATCGTTGGACACGGCGGATGGAATGGGTAGCAGCGGCACCGGCAGCGGGCTGCTCGCGCCGCCCTGGATGCGGACAAGGCCGACGCGCAACTCGATGAGGCTGCGCCACGCTGAATCCGAGTACGTGCGATGGCTGCCGCTCAACATGGCCGGGATGGAGGAGGCTAGGAAGCTCGCGATGCGTTACCCGTGCGTCGCAGCTTCTGGCGAAGCTGGTGACGGCTTGAATGTCGCTCACGCCGAGATCGACGCAGGCGCACCTGCGGTTCCAGCAGCAGCACATTTGGGATCGGCGAGCCAGGGGTTACAAGAGCCTGATGTGACGGAAGAGTCGGCTTGCATGGGCTAAAATACGAACCCCGAATCCACAAATGTACTGACTATCACTCGAGAGCGCCATTGAAAGGTTCCAATTCAACTCGGCCCTCCTACATGCTCCTGGCGACGCCCTGGTTCCTCCCCCCGGTCAGCACACGGCGCAAGCCTGACACGTGATGGGCCAACCACTTTCCTTTTTAAATCTTTTTGCAAGAATGGAAAGCGGAGTGGGCAGAAACTCGACACTCGTCCGTATTCACAACGCTATTTTCACGCATGCGCATGCAGCAATGTGATCCGAAAGCATGTATTCTTATGTCTGGATGTAGCTAGATCGGCCTGGTGTTTCCATAGAATATAAATACACGGCGAATTATGCTCTCGATCAATGGATTCTCGGCTTCGTCGTCAGCCTCATGTGGATACTTCGACTAACTTGCACTGTTGATGTAAATGACTATTGTTCATCGCTGAAGTCGTCGGCAACGGCTTCCTCTTTTGGTGGCATCCACATTAACCTTGCATGCTCTTTGTTTCGCGATCTCTTCTCCGCAATGAACCACTCCTCAGGGTGCCCATCGAAGTTCCAATAATACGGATCCGGAGAGTCGCATACCCAGCTGAGGTTCACATGGAGGCTTGGGACGCACTGCAGGCCTTCAGGCAGCGCCTCGAGTCGATGCAAAAGTTGTCGGACATCTGTGAAATGCATCAATTTGGTCGACTGCCAAAATGTGTGGAAAGGACGGTGGGATCATTCAACACTAGTGCATATGTGGACCATAGAAACGATCTGGCAATGGCAAATTTGCACCTTGTGTCAATCCAAGCTCAACGATTCCCTGTATGTTATTCGAAGATTGTTCCTAATATTTCTTCATCATGCGGTCTTTCAAGAGATCTTTGACAAATTCTCCGACCTCGTCGATATTAAATCGGTGGAATACAAGGTAAAAGTGGTTTGTAAGCAAGTTCGCGTACATTTCAAGATGTATTGCTACATCAAGCTCACGGCCAAACATCTACTAGGGGGAGACCACCGGGTTTATCGACGCGGCTCATCATTCCCAGGCAATCTGTCCTTTGCCCCCTGGGACAAACAGTACTCGGGCCTTTGACTATCTGGACAGAAGTGTTCAGTCTGGCCTCAGGCCTCGCACTATCACAGCCTCATGTTCCGAGGGCAGGCAAGTTCTCCTGATGTCTCAGTGACGCACCCGCGGCTCACTATGTGCTCACGCTATGCTATATATAGCTGATGCCACCTTCAGGGGATCAGGGGTACCGAGTGCATCCTGCAAGCGTGTGAAGTGTGAACTTTGAACTATGAACTGTGAAGGGTGAAGCATGAACCGGGGTTGCTATGACGATTTGGCCACTGGCGGCTGCCGAAACGGGAAACAGCGTTTTGGTGGCGGCCCGCAGACGCCGGCGGGCTGGAGTCGTTTTTGATAATATTGCATATCTCGGACGGAGCGTCCCATAAAACGCACTACTGAATATGCATTACGGATTTGTCAGACTGCGGTACAGTGGGAGAACCCTAACATTGTCGGAGGGGCCTGCCGGCGAGACTTCCGTTTTAGGTTTATGGCGACCCAGCCCGATTACGCCTTGCGCCCACCTCGCTGTTCATGGATTCTGGTGTTCTAGAATAATAAAACAGTTAATAGCATAAACTTGAAACATCACAAGCATCACGACAATCCATTGGCCATGGTCCACATATTCACACTTGAGTCTTGACTCTCCCTCGACTATCAGATATACATGTGTACTGCGGCCGTCTACGCCCAGTCGGACAGCTTCGGCTCAAGGCCTCACAGCGACTCCCAAGGTAATGGTCAACAATGATCAGCGATCACGATCAATCACCATTCGCAAATCCTTGCGCCGTCTCTGCCTGGCTTGATCCGGCGCAGGCGCTGATGAAGGAAGTGACCGGACAATGGGACTCTACCCCTCCCTTCATTTTTGGAACTGTGTGTGCAGCATAAGGTACTCGGCCCTCCATACATATATGAAAGTAGTACAGGCCTCCTCGAACCGTCCTTGGATGTGTTCATTCGGCTATATCACGCCTGTGCAAGTCCCAGCAAGCCTTACACTTTTCATCTTCGTCGCATCAGTACTGGCCGCTGATTTTTCACGCTCACATCTGTTGAAAGTCTACTCATATCTTCATTTCTCAGCGCTTCAACCCGATTCAGTATCTCGACGTCATGGTGATTTTTTCTACCCGTTCCCAGGTTCGCTTCTTCGAAAGGCGCGCCTCATACACAGTTCTGCATTCTCCAGTGACATGCTGTTCAACAGTGCTTCGTGCTCATTATACACATTATGTCCTTCAATGTGCTGAGCGTACACGCAATTGCTCTGCCCATGGTCAAAGAGTTGAATCGCCCAGTGTAGGGCAACGGATTGTCGAAGCCCATTACAGCGAAATATGCTGCTTCGAGATCCGCACCAACGGTGCCTCCTTCTGCCGAGGGAACGGTACAAGTTCCTCTTTGATATCGAGCTGGATCCTTGGTTTAGGTTACTCTGATTGAAGTGGAGCTACAGGCGCCTAAGCTGAACCCTCATTACATGTCTGGAAGCAAATCGGGGAAAGGAATTGGCGAAACTCGACTTAGCAATGACCCAGGTGGAATGGAATGCGGTCACACCTTCGAGCTACAATGGTTTGGTAGGTAAGAAAGGAACGCAATGTACTCTGGGAGCGTCAGGCGCTGATGTTCCATACGCTTACAAATAGTCAAATTTTAAAGCACGGTGCATGCGTTCGACTCAAAATAGAGGATTCTAAAAATAGAACTTAAGAAGCTGTCAACAATGAGCTGAACTTGGACTATGTGAGCGAAGATATCAATCAGTTCAAGAAACGTTCCTTCGGACGTGTTTGTTGAGCGGCACCGCACACGCTGTCTTCCGAAACTACACCGCTGCTGAAAGCCACTACATGATAGCTGGAATTGAACATGCTTCCGCTACTGCAACGGTTCATCGGGTGGTCGACGCAATCAACGCAGGTGCTCAAGTTAATGGGGGAAGCATAGCACCCGGTAGGTGTCAGGGATCACTGGGAGAGAAATATCACGCTTCCACTCAAGGGAGCCATTGCGAGGTGAGAGCCGCGCGAGAAGCCTCCCTTTGCTTTCTTTCCATGCGCTGAAACCATCTCGCCAATCCATCACAGTCTTCGAATCGCTCTGTCCAAACAGGGCACGGTAGCCATCTCCTCGTACTCTTCGTCGTACCATCTCAAGGCCGGGACAGCAAGCACGAGCGCTTAAACAAGCCAAGATGGACAGCGTTCTCTCAAGATGTCCAAGATCTCGACGAAGTCATCAGTCTTAGTTATGTCATGCGTAAAGAAGGCTTGACTCCTGCTTCCTCTCCTTTAGCGCCAAAAGTAGGTCTGGCGAGGATACTGCGAGCTGTTCAGAGGAGCCAGTCTCCGATACAGCAGCGAGTCCATCTTCTCGCTTGACTGCGGCTGCGTCTGTGCATCCCAAATCAACGGCAACAGCGATGCCGCAGGCAACGCAAAGCAGGCTCTCAGTCGCAGATAACGACCCGACCGTCCGTAAATCCGCAAGTGCAGCCAGTCTTTCCCCAGCAGAGCCGCGATTGTCAGCTTCGCTTGAAAAAGCCTACCGTATGCAACCCATCCGATCAGCGGCATCAAGTAGTCGTGTTCCTTCACATGCCCCTTTGGCCATTGATCCTTCTCCCTCGGGCTGTGCATTTCTTCTGTCACCGGCTCCATCTTCGCCCTCCCTTCTCTAATGTTCGCTTGCAACCATCTCATAAGCCACTGTTACCAAGTGCCGCTGTCGCCACCCTCCATCCACCAATCATCACATCCCCCGCTGGTGAGAGACGCACCACAAGACGACCATACCCGTTTCCAGAGCAGGCCTCTCCAGGTAGGGCAGCATCGGAGGTAGTCCACTCAGGAAGAATGAAGCAGGTCCATATTCTGACTTAGGTGCTCTATAGCTTCGCTCCTTGATGCCCACGTAGCACCTGTCGGCCAAAACGGCCAAAGGGAGTCGCGTAGAGGCGCTTGGGTCTCGCGAGGCTCGATTGCCTCCGAGCGCATCTAAGTATGGGATGGCGGCAACAACAGCGAAGACCCTGTAGGCTCTTTCTCATTCACCTCTTCAGCCGTTTGTCCACCCGAATGCTTGCATTGTCATGGTAAACGATTCGTTATCCTACAGGACCCTTGTACAACAACGTCGAACATTTGAAATGGTAGGTTCTGGCCAGAGGCAATTGCAATATTGCTCATTGTGCGATCGAACTCAGCATTCACAGGCCTGGAATTCCGACAAGGCTATCGATTAAGTGTCGTAAAGCGGCAAGCGCATTCAACACCCTGGATGTAACGAGCAGATATGATTGCAACCCAAATGCAATAAGTAGATATGATTGATGGCGCTCTATTGGCTGGCAAGCGATCCTTAACCCAGTACTCTTCGTATGCTGTCTTTGCCGCCGATGACTTTACGCCGTGTGACGGGGCACTGACCGTGCTCATCGACATACGCATGGGCGCACGTGTAGCAAAAGACGTACCCCGTCGGCAGCATGCAAGGGTTCGCGACAGGTGTACGTCCACAGAGTGGACACGAGTTGTGCAGCAGACTTGCCACATTGGTCGGACCGTGCATGCCGCCCGCCAGCGCCATCTTGGTCGGCACACGTGGTGGTTGGTACCCCTCCTCCTTGTGGAAGAGGACACCTTCTTTATCGGGCATGAGGACGGAAGGTGGCCCAAAGAGAGGCACATTGGTACCAAAACCGCCTTGCGCGGGAGCAGCGCCGCCATTGCCGTCACCTCCGCCTCGCCGCCGCCGTGGGTTGTCAGAGCTGTACCACCACTCAAGGAATTTGAAAAAGAAGATGGAGGCGGGCAGAGCGTACTTGAGGAGCTCGAAAAAGATGAAGGGAGACGATCGAATGAGGGAAGTGAAAAAGGGAACAGGCTCGCGAAGAGGGTGTGGCAAATCCGGTGGCAGAATCGGCACCGAGTTTGGCTGCCGTACAAAAAGGATCAGTAGGTGCTCTTTTCGAAAAATGGATAACATAGACCCACATAGTCATCTTGCGACACTCGACGAACGTCGACCCTCATCCATCGAAGCCAGGGGCGCCAGTATGGACTTTTCCCAAACAGATACCTCATATGGTAGATGAGCAGCCAAAGCTGATAGAAGCTGGCGGCGTACGGATACCCTTTATGGAAGAGATCCTCGCTCTTCTCTTTCAGGCGCACAAGCTGACTTTTAGTACGTTGCTCGTTCTCTTGGAAAGCCCGCCGTCCCTGGAGTTCCTCGCCATTGTCGAACAGTTGTTCTTCCGATACACCGCCTCCCATGCGCTCCCAGCGGTCCTTTGCTTTTGATTGGATGTAAGGCAGGCCTACAAGGAACAGCAGAGATAAGCTGATCTCTCGATTCCGTAGTGCCTCGTAAGATGCTTGGCCTGGTCGAGTTGTGGCTGCTGCTTTGGCTCGGTCCGTCGATGCACCAGGCCGTCGTCTTCGCCTCAGCCCGTAGAAATTTTCTGCAAATGATGAGCCTGTGGAAGGGTGCACTGCAATCAATAGACTAAAAGCGGCAGTTTTTTCAGTGGTCGATCGCTCACCCCAGGTTTTGAGGTAGTGCCTCTCCACCGCATACATCGCCAGCGCGTATAGCTCATCGAAGCGGTTGACGATGCGGAGCAAGTAGCGGGGATGTCGCTGCGTAAACACAGAGAGCACATATCGCAGCGCTGGGGCAAGCAGATCTCGCAGCTGTTCCTGAGCGAAGAGCTCAAAGAATGAAGGGCGATATGGGTCGGAAAGGGAAGACAACGAAGACGTCGGGTCTACCGACTGGAGGATATCCATTTGGACTAAAAAGTGTACGTTGGGCAGATGAGAGAGGGTAGGCTTGCAAGCCGCGCAACCTGCCGTGTCTTTTCCACAATCTACAGAGCCCGAATTTGCGAGAGCGCGACGACTGTCACCCCATCATCCCGCTGAACATGCTTGTTGGTGGCTGGATGATCCAGCTCATGACGTTTGAAGAGGAAAGGTTCGTGGTTGATTCTTGACGAAGCGCCTTTGGATCCCAGCTTGGAGGAGAGTGTTGAGGATCGCTTCCCCGCGTCCGCTCCGGTCTTTGACAGCTGTTCCGCGCCGAACGGCCGAGGTGCGGAGCGGGAGGGACAACTGGCGAAGTTGATGAGAAGCTTGCTTACTAGAGGATTCAGGACATACAGAAGCGCTCTTGGTCCTCAGAACGCCTTCAGGTGCAGTCTTTAAAGAGCGCCGCATAAAATTACGCAAGCAGTTCGCCCAGGTCATGGCGTCTGCAAAGGGTCCGACGCCGTCGGATGCGCCTCTGACCGCATCAGTTGGACCACCGACCCCGGCAGACCTCCGGACGGCCGTTAATCAGATCCAGTCTCTACTCTTGTTACTCGATTCTACTTCTGATCTGAGCCAACCGACATCCACATCTGGAGAAGCGGACCTACTCAGCGCTGCAACTCCCCGCGGTGGGACGATCGCGAATCTCACTCCGATCAATCGCCCAGAGGAACAAGAGGCGGACGATGCCGCATCCGACTCATCCGACGCACCTCTTATGCAGCAGCGAGGAGGTGGCGGGAACAACAGTCTCCCGAATAAACCCTCTCCTAATGCACAGGTCACTTCGCAACCTGGCTTGGCGCAAATGCTACCTGCCTTGCTGCTGCCGCTACAACCCGCGACGCCGGCATTGATCGCGCAGCTCAACATGGAATCCGTCGCGATGGGCTTCCCGAACATCATGTCGCGCTATCGCGGCGCCGTACAGCACGCATTCAACCTCGTTGGAGACTTGCACCGTGGCATCGAGATGCTCAGCAACCCCATGCCGGATCCAGCCAATCCTTTGCGCACAAGGCAAGCGGCGCTGAGCGTCGCGGGACGACTCATGCACGAGACGCCCAAAGAACAGCTGGAGACGCGGATCGAGCGGGTGAAAAAGCGTCAAAAGTTGACCAAAGACGCCGAGCAACAGCGACGGCCAGAGGAAGAAGAGCCTGCGGTAGCCCAGCTCAAGATGGAGAGTAACGAGCGCAATCACAGCAAGTCAGTCTACTACGTTCCATCGAGTGCAGTACAGGGCATCCCGGCAGATGCAACCGATGAGCAGACGTGGTTAGAGTACGCGAAATCCATCGAGCAGCACCTCTCTCAGCGCAGAATCAAGGTGCGAATACGATGCAGCCACTGGGCTTCAACGGGTGGGACGAGCATCGTCCTGGTGGACCTCCCAAGCGTGATGAGCTGCTATATCTCATTCATCGTGTCCTCAGGCCAGGCATATCTCACACGGGTGGTGGTGCGTTCTGCATCCGAACAGGCGGATCTCGAGAGAGTAGAGAGCGCTGCAGGCGTATCGACGCTGCCTTTACGGGCGTCACGCTTCCCCGCGTTCAGATTGATCGCGAAGGAGGTTTTCGCGCGGTCAATTCAGGCGGATGCGGATGCGGATCAAGATGCTGACAAGACCGCTTGGAGGCGCTTAGGCATTGCAATTCTTCACCTAGCTGCATATTCTAACCAAGGGAAACAATGAAATAATCTACATGGAGGATTGCGTTGAACGTTGTTGAACGTTTGCAAGCTGCACGCAACATGCTTCTTTTTGTACTGCAGCAGGAGACCATCCGTTCTATTCTTGTCAGAATTATTTTTAACGGAGGCCAAATGGAGACATCTTTAATACGGACCTTCAGGCGGACAAAACCTGGATCGATTGCTGTGCGGTTGATAGGCTTTAAATGCGAAATCTGGAGACGACGACCTGAGAGGCTGCGAGATGGATGTCAAAGTCTCAAAGGAGAGAGCAGCTGCGACAACTGATATGTCGGCAAGTCAATGATTATCGTGAAGGCACCGCAGGAGAAAGCATGGGGACCGTAGGGGTGACTCTACGCACGTATATGCCATGCAGAGGCAAGAGTTCGTTGTGGGAGCGCATCCCCACCCCGTTGGATCCTCGCTCAGGCCCTTCACCAAGTTTGACCGCGAGACACTTGCCCTTTTCCCCTTTCTGCGAGCACCTAAGATGCTGTCTCTGATTAGAAAACCTAATGCTGCATATGCTCGCCATTTCACTGGCGGCGATTGCCCCTCGCGCCAGGGCTAAACCCAAGTGGCGATCATTGCTTGAGCTGGGTACGGGGGGGGCTACCACGGAGGAAGGATGGCAGCGGTTGACTTTCTGCGTATTGCGAACTACTCAGCTGTGCACATAGGGGAGAAGCGACGAAACGGCTCGAGGTGAATCTCGAGGAGTGCCCACAGAGAGGATGCATTGCGATGGTAGTGACAACGCATGCTGAGCCTGGCTCGAGCGGCCGTTACCACCCGCTCAATTGGCGATTATGCCACGATGGGATGTCTGTTCACCGCACGCTTAGTAACTGCACTCAGAGAGCATGCGAATCGACGCGTGATCATTTCTAGGAATACTTTACGGTGAGGTAGACATGGTGTGTGGGTGTGAATGATGTGGCTGGCAAGGAAGAATAGTGGCACCGAAGTGCGACAAGTAGAGAAGGGAGGGGCGTGCCCTAGCGAAGATCAACTATACCTTTATATTTCAGTGAGGAAAGGTCAGAACCATGCTGAAGCAAGGGCTCAGTGTACATGGTCAGCATGTGTGATCATAGTTAAAAGGCCGGAAGTGAAGTGAATCGAAGGACAATATATGTGGAGCCTTGGGCGGGCTCAGCACACCACCCACCAGATCATGCGGCCACGGCCTGTCGTTGATGCATGGTGCGAAGAACGAGAACAAAGAAGAACCCCTAATTGTCCAATGGGACACCTAGGCGTGCGATGGAGGATTGTGAAGGAACGGATTGAAAGACAAGTGTGCAAGGCCGCCGTTGGTGCGAATGGAGCCGTTTTGAGGCGGACTTAGGTTGTAGAAATGAGGCATTCTCGTGTCTGGACAATGCAAAAAGCTTGCGAGAGGGTTTGGCCGTTGAATGTGAACTGACGGTCCCGAGGAGAACCCAAGGCGATCGCCATGTCACCATGGTCCTGCACGGCCTTGCGGAGGGCGGCGGGTGAGGACGCGCCCAGAGGCATAGGGAGCCACGCATGGGTTATGGGTGACATGCCCTTCAAAGACGTAAGAGGCTTGGACGGACGCAGGCGTGTCGCCAATGATAAGCAACGTCTCCATCACGCATTAAACGTAAGGGTCAAAAGTGGTAGCATTGATATTCCAGACCATAGCTGACAGGTAAGCACGGAGGCGGATGATGCTAGGAAAAAACTCTGTACGCATCCGGGCCAGGAAATCAGGCAGGTGGGAGCGAAAGGTGGTACGCTCAGCGGGTTGGAGCTCAACCCATCAGAGCTGAGCCCGTGAGTTGGCTGCAAAGGCTGAGCCCGTGAGTTGGCTGCAAAGGCTATGGACAGGTTGGCTACTATCTCAGAACAGGTGAAGAGGGCCTCCACTGCCTTGATCCTTTGGAGGAAGCGGTCGAGGTTCGTACACTCGCTGTTGATGGTGGCGACACGCGATATCACAAAGGAGGGCTTGGACAGGGGTGACAGATGACGATGCTCAGCCGGATGGAGTGGCGCGCCCGCATGCTTCCAAGGCGTTCACACGAGTGGACAGTGTGTGGAAGACTCTTTGAATGCCGGTCGTACGTGCGGCAAACTCGAGGAAACCTTCCCTTGGAGACGGCTAGTGTTTGAAATCAATGTTCTCCAGGCGCTCAGAGTCTGTGGGGGCCTGGCCTGCAAGCGAGACTCGACGTGGTCGAGAAGGTGGTTCATGCGGTCCATCCGTGATATGGCGCATCGAGGGTGCGCGTGCCTTCAGCCCTGGGGAACCACGCTTCCAAATCACCCTTGGTCGGTGGGGTGTATGCAGTGAAAATAGAGGTGCTCGCCATCATGGCATGGTAAGAGTTGGCGGACGAAGCGCACGGGTGTATGGGAAAGGGAGGGTTTTGTTTCGATTGTGCTTTCTGCTGCGTTTATGAAATGTCTTTTAACTGTCTCCGTGCATGTAAGGCAAGGGCTCAGTGTGCATCGGGTTGCGGGTGCCAAATTCCACAGGACCATTAAATATAACAAACAACAAAAGTCTGAATAGACTTACTATCATGCTCAACCCACCATTACAAATCAGCTTTCTCAGTCCAAATTGTTGTAGTGGACGCATTCCCAGGCTCTTCAGGGCACTTCTGTGCTGTGTACTGAGTGCATTCGATTCATACCAAGGCCAAGCCGGAAAGCCTGCTGTACGTGCCTCAGCCGTCAGCATACCGTCAGTATGGGTGCCTCAACAACAGACAAGCGTGATATTTATTACCGCCAGTCCAAAACAGACGGGTACCGGGCTCGGTCGGCTTACAAGCTGCTGCACCTGGACGAGATATACTCGCTCTTCCACTGCGATAGCTACGCGATGGGTGACTACTGGGAGTTTCCCGCGGATGGCAGCATGCCCAAACGAAAAAAGAATCCGATGCGCCTGGTCAAAGACCGCTCTAAGGCGCCGACGAGAGTCGTTGACCTTTGCGCAGCGCCTGGCTCATGGTCGCAAGTCCTGACGCAAAAACTACCACCGGGATCTCGCATTGTCGCTGTAGATCTGCAGCCTATGGCGCCAATACCCGGTGTGATCAACATTCTCGGAGACATCACACGGCAGGAGACGGCAGATGCTGTCGTTCAGGCTCTGCGGAGCGACAAGCCTTCCGCAAACGATGAAGAAGGTCTCGCCCAACTCATCGTATGCGATGGTGCACCAGATGTGACAGGTGTCCACGACTTGGACGAGTACCTACACGCCCAGCTTATGCTCGCCGCCACGCAGATTACTCTGCGCCTGCTCGAGGTCGGCGGAACTTTCATCGCCAAGATCTTCACCCAGCGATCAAAAGGCAACACGTCGAGCATGGACGAATCTGGCAACCTTCTCACGCTCCAGTTTCAACAGTGGTTCGAGCATGTGGATATCGTCAAGCCACGGAGCAGCCGTCCTACCAGCGTAGAGCATTTCTTGGTGTGTCGCAACTTTCGACCTCCTTTTGACAAAGGCTTCGACCGCAAGAGGACGGCTGCACTCCTCGACTTTGGTGGCCTGCGAAACGTCCCGCAGGATGAAGTAACCTCCCTTCCGGTTGAAATGCAAAAGATCCTTGGCATGACTGCTTGCGGAGACTTGTCGGCATGGGACGCCAAATAAAGCGCTTTCCGGTACGACTGACTATGATACAAAGTGTTATGGTCGCGGGTCTGGAAATTCTTGCAGCGCATCTTCCTCCTGCTGCTGCTGCCCATGTTGAGGTGGTGGCGCACCTTGCTGCCGCAACCGCAACTGCGCCTGCTGACGCAGATATACAAAGTATGCTAGTGCAGACAAGCTCAAGACGAGCAGGAAGCCCTCCAAAGTCCCCTCGGCATCAGCCTCGCCTTGGCTCCAATCATCGCCCTCCAGCTCATCATCGAAACGCTTCAGCCGGCGTTGGTCATACGACTCTGGCAGGTTAGGATCCGCATGGTCGTACTCGTCATGTCCATGGCCATGCTTATTGTCCAGAAACGTATCGCTTTGTTGCTTTGTTAGGCCACCCATCCGCGCGGCAGCCTCCAAGCTATGCTCCTCTTGCTCCGTATACGCCATCATCTCCGAGGAGCCTGCATAGCTGGACCAGAGGCTTGCCGCAGTCGCATCGCCACGTGTTGCAGTGGCCCATAGCGCACGGAGGTGGAGACGGATGAGAGAAAGAAGAACCGGAAGATATGCCTCGGAACGATTGATGACCCAGGCGGTGTCGTAGTAGCGCTTCGCAAGAACGAAGTCTTGTCGCGGCACGCCCACGCCCGTCTCATGCATCCAGGCCAAATTCCAATACGCTAGCGCAGAGAGCCGGCTGTCGGCTGCTGCCTGGTAACAGAACGCTGCTTTGACATAGGACGGGACACCAGGCGACTCTGTACCTAGTCCACGGAAGTAATAGTCGCCCATCTTGACCAATGCATCGATGTTATTCTGCCCGGCACTGCGCGTCCACTGGAGCAGGGCAAGACGATCGTTGCTGTTGTTCTCTTGTGTGCTTTCGACGTCGATGGCTGGAATACGGAACATGCGCTTGTCGCGATCCAAGATCCACGCAATGTTGTTCTGCGCCGCTTCGTACCCTCGCTCGCCGGCCATCATCCAGCCGAGGAGTGCCTTTTCGCGATGACCACGCCGCCACGCCTTCTCCGCACGGTGGAAGACAGGGTTGTCCCAATCGCCGCGCTCGACGACACGCTTAAAGCCAACGACAGCTAATCGGCACAGGTCGTCTTGTTGTGGCCTGGGCGCTTGAGCTGTGGACTGGGGCGAGCGTGCTTGGGCAGAGTTCAATTTCGCGAGCCAGTAGTAAGACTCGAACGGATTACCCCAGAATATCGCTGTCTCGAAGCGCTTCCTGGCGTCCGCTCGATCTCCTATATCGTAGAGGATCTTGGCAATATTGACAATGGCGCCCGTGTGTGGAATCTTCTCGGAAGCAGGGATCTCAAAGGCTTGAACTGCTTTGGCGACGTCGCGAGGTACGCCGAGCCCGTCGCGCAGCATGATGCCTACACCATTGTGCGACACTGCATCCGCCAGGTCGATACCTCGCTGGAACCAGACCCAGGCGCGGTGAAAATCCTGCGGGACACCTTCGCCACGCAAGTACATATGTCCAATCATGCCTGCAGCAGTGCCGGCGTGGCTGAGCAGCGTGTTGTCAACATTCGGCATTCGAACATCTTCGCCACGCTCACCCGGTCCCGCGACCAACTTTGCAGGCCCACCGCGGAGCACTGTGCCGCTGTCGCGCGGCCACACCTGCGACGCAATCCTCAGCAGGTAGCGCAGCGATTTGCCGTAGTCCGTCGCTACGGCGCCGGCCGTCTCGCCTGGGCCCCAGAGGCTGCCGTGATAGTAGATGCGTGCAAGGAAGAGCATGTGCCAAGGCTCGCCATTGTCAGCATGGTACGTGTAGAACTCTAGCATGTCCTCCAAGCGGCGCGAATCAGAGTCGGCGCCGCTGCCCGGCAACGAATTAAGCACTGCATGCATTTGCGGCATTTGCGCTCCTGTTCCTGTTGAAGCAACGGAGGCGCCTGGACCGTACACACCGCCTTCAATATCCGAAAGACGGATCTTAGTATATGGCAGTGTCAGCCCTCCAGGTGGGCCGTTCATGAATCGTGCATATGCTGGATCAGAGAAGTAGATTGGTTCCTGAAGTCAGCGTGCAAATCCCACATGGGCCCCGTGGTTGCCAGTCCGGCTCACAATGGTCAGCCGCTTTCTCATACCAGACCAGCGCGTCTTGACAGGCACTAGGAGTGCCGATACCTGCCCAGTGCCGATAGCCCAAAGAGACCTGTCCATCCGGGTCACCGGACCGTGCGGCGGCCGCAAAGTGCAACAACGCAGAGGCTTGCTCCGCGCCACCCCTGCCAACGCCAAAGATGTCCTCCGCATCATCCTTCTCTTGATCGCCCCGCGTCCCATTCGTGTCAGCGCCTGGACGCACCCCCCCAGCTGCCAACCCATGACCCCAGCCGCTGCCGTCTAGGAATCCCAATCGGACATGCGCGCTGCTGTTTCCCGTAGCTTGCGCAAGCTGCTCGAATGCAGCACGCGCGCGCGGCACATCAGCCGCGCTTCCGTGGGTTCCCCAGAGGTGGTGCTCGCCGAGAACCCAGAGGGCGTCAGACTGGACCTCGCGAAGTGGCCGTTCAAGGGAACTTGTGGTAGTGGAGTCGTTCGTGGGCTCCGCCGGTGGAGACTGCGCTTGCAGAGCAGCAGCAATGATGTCCTTGGGCGATAGGCTGCGCTCAATCGCGTCGGAAGAGACTTTGTCTGTGCCCACGTTGACGATTGCTTGTAGCAGGCTCACGGCCTCTTCGACTCTCTGGGCACGCTTCAGCTCGCCGGGACTGATAACTGGCCTCTTTGTGGGGTCGTGTTTCGTCTGCTCCTTTCCCATCAGAGTTTCAAACACCCGGCCCTTGACCGCTCGGAACAGCCGATCAGTGTAGCTGAGGCCATACTCCTTGTTTCGCTTGTCCGTCGTTCTTGAGAAAGCACCGGTGCCGATGTGAGGTCCAAAGAGTGCCTCGTCGGCAAAAGCCTCCCACTCCGGCCACAGCTGGCGCGGCTGTGCGCTAGGCCAAGCGCGCTCGCTCTTCCTGTCTGTGTCTATTCCTGTCGTCGCGTACTTCTGTTCCGTCTCCGCTCCTCCGTATCCATATCCAAACGCGGCGCCTGCGGGCCTCTGGGTAGACCCAGTACCCAAGAGGCGCCCCACCCCAGCGCCGACTCCGCCACCGGTTGCCCCTGGGTCGCCGCCCGTTATGCCGTGCAGAAATGCAAAGGTGCGCGCAAGAATGAATCGGCCGTACTGTGCTGCACGAGCTGTAGAGGCGAACAAGTCGCTGAGCTTGTGGTAGACGCGTATCACTATGCCAAAGGGACTGTACGTTGCACGAATGATGTCCTTCCAACTGGGCAGAACGGAATGCCGCGGCGCAGAGCTGCCTGTAGCCCCGGATTTACGCGAGGGGTTGGGGTCAGAGTCGCCATCGCTGCCTTCTGGAGCGCCGCTGGAGCCCTTGGAGTTCGACTCTTGCATGCGTCGTTGATGTGCTAACGTGACGGAGCGCAAGAGACGGAGAGCGCGATCATACGCTTCCTGAGGAGTGTAGCGTGCGTTATGGGATCCATCCCTCGGTAAGCTGATGGTTCGCGCAAGAATTTCTTCGTCGCGCTGCTCTTGACCGTCGTTTCGACGAGCATAACCCCGTTTGTCAAGCGCTTCTCCTGCCCCTACTTGGACCTGAGCCTCATCAGCCGGCATTGAGGAACCAACTTGTTGCGCCATGACACCAAACAAGGGTGCCGAACGATATGCACCACTAAGAGTTGCCCATCTCGACGCGGAGACAGCCCCCAGATCAACTGAGGCGGAGACCAGGGGCGAAATGTCATTCGTCGCTATTCTTGGTGCGCCAGGAAGCACAACAGCAAAGAAGCTGAGTAGGAAAATGAGCGACATCCATGTGTGCGCTATGCTGCACCATCGCAGGTGCTGCGATGGTAGCCTTGATGAGATGGCCATAGCGAGATACCGTCCTCTGGGAACGGCTGGATCGTGGACTCGGCGCTTGTAATGACGCAATCACAAACGAGCGTGCTGGTTGTGCTGGTTCTCCGTCCGGGTGTTGCGTCTTTCACCGCGGTTCCATCGCTGCACCTAAAGGATCTGTGCCAAGCAGAAGGACTGCCCCTAGTCAGCCAGCTCCGATAATGCCAAGATGGCTTCAAAGGATGGCCTTGATATTCCCCGAGTCTCATTGACTCATCAATTCAACCTCTCTCCACGTCGATATACAGCTGCCAACCAAAGCACATCTTCCATGGTTAGGTGTGTCCACATGAGCACTCCGGATGGCAAGGCCACCAGAGTGGACCGAGAGAGTCTTTGACCATGATTCGGTGCAAGTATTAAACCCTACTTCACTCGTGACACCCTTTCTCCCTCCTCTCTCATAACTCCACGGCGACGACTCCATTTTTTGTGCATGGCTGGCTTGTCCGGCACCCGCAATCTGCATATGGCACACTCCAGAACAAGAGACGAAAGCCTTGGCCCTTGATCTTTTTCCAGTATCATAGGAAACGGGGCGACAACATTTGAAACATGGCACTGCAGTCAAGAGAAGTCTATACATACAATGTGGGCTGCTCGGTGTAAAGTTGCGATTGCGAAAGCCATCGGGGTATCGGTCCTGGGTGCTCCCCAGGTGAGCGGCAGCAGTGCATGGGAAGAAGAGCTTCCAAAGCGAGGAAACACTCGCAGTATGCGCTGCATCATACCCGTGCAACAGCTAGCGCATCCCTATAGGCAGCCAAATCAAGCCAATCCACGTCTCTTCGTGACGGCGAAGCAGCCTTGGGCCCATCCGGCACGCCGGGCACCGGTGTTGCTTTCGAAGGCGTGGAGTCGCTCGTGCTTGTCGCAACACCAGTATTGGACACCGGGATGGCGTCGATCCCACATCCACAGTCGTACGTCTGGTCCAGCTTGCCGCAATCAAAGTTCGGCTTGCCGAGCCGTTCGTTCACTTTGTTGTGGACGCTGCACAGCCACAGGCTGGCATGCTTTCGTGAGCGCACTTGCGGCGGATATCTCTGAAGGAGCAGCTGGAAATGAGATGCACATTCGCCGCAGGGGTAGAGATGGGAGAAGAGCGTAATAAAATCTTTGAGCTGCTCTGATTGCGCTTTTGTGGGGGTTTCGGGGAAGCGCAGCGTCATGGTGTGTAGAAAGTGCCAGGTTGCGCGGCCGAGTTGTGCCCTATGATGGAAACAGCGAGCGCCGTAAGCTGTCAAGAGATATATGGAAGGTAAGAAACCCACTTGAGACTCACTTGGCTGTAGCATTATCCATTTTCCCCATGATCGCATCAGAGGAGAGATTCAACTCCTCTGCGCCTGTCCCAGCGCCCGATCCCGCACCTTTGGCGGTACTCTGGTCTTTCTTTCCTTTCCCTGAGTGCTTCTTCGTGCATGCCCCAAAATTTAGCCACTTGAATTTGGAGTTCTGCAAGCAGTTCTCCCCAAACGGGTTGCTGAGGGTTGTACTCTTTCCTTTCGTAGTCTCCTGAGCGCCGCCTTCCCCTCCTGCCGGTGGCCGACCTTGGGAAACTTGCCCAGGTGGGTGGAAGAGCCTGTTGGCGTTTTGCTTCAGCTTCCCGCCATTGGATAGCGGTCCCTGATATCCGCCCGGTTCGTACTCGACCAAGTTGTAAGCGGGTGTGGTGTGAGAGATGTACAAGAAAGTCGGCAGCAAGAGCACGGCTGTGGCAATGAATAGCATTGTGAGAAAGCGCGTCATGGTGAAGAGGGCAGAGGAGAACTCGTGGGGGAGTTCGAAGTGTCGGGTGGTTGCTTGTGGCTGACAAAAGGGTATGACAGGGTGCGTGCGCTCTGCGCTGCTGGAATGCTCCCTTTGGTTGCTAAGGGCACAGTTACGCTCGTAACCTTCGTAGAAGTGATCCAATCCTTTTATATTGCTATTGATGGCGATGCTCGATGAGTGGTCCAGAAATGAGCATGCTTGTGAAGTTGACGAGGGAATGAACAGCCAAAGCCAAGTCTGGAGTGTTGTGGTCCTGTGGATCTGCGGTGGCTGCTCATGTCTTAGATGGCGGACAAAGCACCTGGGAGGGACGCAAAATCGTCGGAGCCTCCGAGAGCCATTACTATTAAAGTAGGGTTGCACAACACGGCTCTACAGTCGCGACCGGGCCGACATGATGTCTCGCTCACATCACATCGATGGCAAGTGACCTTTTCTTCCTATCTGCCTTGGTCTACCACTTACCTACATAGTGCGCTGTGTCACACACGAGCATCCTCATTTATCCCTGGCACCATCGTACATTTTCGAAGGAAAGAGACAGCAGCCGTCGGAAGCGTTGCTGACCTGCTTTTTTCCGCCGCTATGCCGCCTCGCAAGTCGGCCCGCATGGCCACTGGCACTAGTAGCAGCGGCATCAGCACCAACACGAAGCCTGCAACGAAGCCTGCAACGAAGCCTGGCGCTGCTCCAACCTCGAACGGGTCACTCGCAGATTCATCTGCTTTGTACAAAACTACGCCTAAGTCGCCACTCTTGCTTGTGGCGCTGGCTGCCTTTTATATCTGCATCGCGTCTCTAACCCTCTGGTCTCACTACTCCCTTCCCACGCCCATCTCGCTCGCCGAGTCCCGTACTTCCGAGCAGGCAGGCGAAGGCGCTTTGTTCAGTGAGGAGAACGCGCTACGCATTATATCCAAGCTCAGCGATGAGATTGGCTACCGTGTGGTCGGGACTGCCGAACATGTACAAGCGGAAGACTGGTTCGAGGCCGAGTTGCGCAAGTTTGAAGGCTGGCACCCGATCGAATTGGATGTATCAGCTGCAGGAAGCAGAAATGCAAGCATGCCACAAAATTCCGCAGAAAATATCAAAGAGTCGTTTGCTACTAATCGCACCGCGCGCGGGCGAGGCCAAGGCGTCGAAGTCGAAGTTTGGAAGCAGATTGGGGACGGAGCGCACCGATTCGACTTTATGAGCTCTGTCGTCTGGAAGAAATATTACGGCATGAGCAACCTCATCGTTCGCATTTCCGACGGCACGGACGAGGGAAAACAGGACGCTCTACTTCTCAATGCTCATATCGACTCGACGCTTCCGTCACCTGGCGCAGCTGACGACGGCGCAGGCGTCGCCGTGCTGTACGAGCTCCTGCGAATTTTCACCACACCTCCACTCGGAAAATTGCATCACTCCATCGTTCTTCTATTCAACAACGGCGAAGAATCTTTGCAGGATGCCTCGCACCTGTACATTACTCAACACCATACCAACTCGTCGGTCCGTGCCGTTGTCAACCTGGAGGCGTGCGGCGTGTCCGGACCCGAGCTGTTGTTCCAGGCCACGAGCGAGAGCATGATCAAGGCGTACAGTACCGTGCCGCGACCTTTTGGAACGGTCCTCGCGAACGATATGTGAGTGATGAGCATGTTACCCTTAGCTATGCAGCCACTGACATTTTCAAGCGTTTTTGTTGTTACCGCAGCTTCTCCACCGGCCTAATCCTGAGCGACACCGACTTCCGACAATTTGTGCAGTACGGCGGCTTGGCAGGCCTTGACATGGCCATTGTCGGCGGTTCGTACCTCTACCATACACGACTTGACATCAGCACCAACATTGAGCGAGGCGTTGTGCAGCACTTTGGCGAAAATGTCCTCGCCATCGTCAAGCACCTGGTCACCTCGCCTGCTTCGACGCTCGCAAAGACTCGCACCGCCGCGCGAGGCACGCTGCCCATCTACTTTTCACTCGCCTCACGCTTCTTTGTCTCCATTTCCTCACACTCGTTCCGCACGCTCAGCATGGGCTTGGCGGCGTTTACCAACTTCCAGCTACAGTCGCTCAATCGCATGGAGAAGCACTTTGGCATGCTCTCGTGCACGTTTGTCGCGTTCGCGGCGACCATTGGTAGCATTGTATCCGCCATCGTCACTTGCAATGCCGTCGCGTTGCTAATGGCAAATGTGCTTGGACGCAGCATGTCGTGGTACGCTCGCGAGTGGTTCCCAGTCCTCCTCTATGGGCCCCCCGCCTTGACCGCAATCCTGACTACGCAGTGGCTATGCGCCAAGATGATCAAGCCTGCGAACAGACCTTATATGGAGCGCGCAACGCTCAGCGGTCATGCGCTCGTCTTTGTTTTCGGTCTGCTCATCATGAACGCCTTTTCCATCGGTTCGGCGTACCTTATGGCCTTGGGTATCCTTACGAGCGCCGTGGCGGCTTTCGTCAACGACATGTTCTTCATCGGCTTTCAGCAGCTTGAGGAGCGTCGTGTTGCCGTCGACAATCGCGTACACCATTGGACTTACTTTATCATCGCCGTCATCCCTGCTTGTGTTGGAACAGAGGGCCTCGTGTCCTTCCTTGATCTCTTTGTTCCGCTGACCGGACGTATGGGCGAGGTTTCGCGTGAGTCTGCTGATACCTTGTCTATTAAGGCAGTTGATGCTGACACTTTCCTTTGATGTGCTTGTTTGGCAGCTGCCGACAACATCATCGGGTGAGTCGACTACATTCATATGCCTGGACCTTTCTGCGGACTGAACCCATTTTCATCCTTTCCGTCTGCAGAACTATCGTCGCGGCCCTGACATTTTTGTGTTTGCCAATGAGCATGCCGCTCGCCCATCGCTTCGGCTCAGCTGCGCTGAAAAAGACCATCGTCGTTCTGCTCGGTGTTTCTGTCCTATCGATTAGCATTTTTGCCACCAGGTCGCCGTTCGACAAGTGGCATCCTAAGCGCCTGTTCGTTCATCAATCTCAAAATATCACGTCCGGCGAATGGTTCATGAACCTGGGTTCTGCGGATCCTGCGCCTGGCATGCGGAGATTAGTGGACGATGTGCATACACTCCTCGGTTTACCCTCTGAGCCGGCACAGCTGAAGGAGATGTCAGAGTACAATGTGGACTTTGACATCCTCTATCCTGTTTCCGCTTTCCTGACGCCATACAAGTTCCGCATGGAGACGCCAGTGCTGAGTGGAGCCGAGCAGCACCCGAACTTCCGTGTTCAGGCCTTCGATGAGGTGCTCGATTTGCAGGCCGGCACGCGCAGTCTGACGCTGCAGATCGACCACCCAGGGCTCATCTGGTCTGTCGTCGCTTTTGATGCAGACATTCTCGAATGGGACTTGCCGTCGGACCCGCCCAAGGGTCGACAGCGGCACCACATCAAAGAAGTCTCGCGGCATGGCACTTCGCAGTGGACCATCAAGCTTTTGCTGAGGATGGACGACGCTGCGCTCGAGGCCGCACGGAAGCGGGGAAATGACAAGAGTGCGTTTGGGAAGGTCATCAAGGTGGCACCCGGGCATGGCGACCAGGCCGCCAGCGCTGAGCGTGATCCGTCACGTCTGTGGATTGACTTTAGCGGCCTCGACGAGCGAGGAATGTTCCCCAGTAATAGAGATAGACAATCTGCCAACATTGCCAACTTTGCGCGCATGGACGCGGCCCTACAAGAGCACCACCCAGAAGTAGACGCGATGCTCCTGACTGTTGTCGCTGGCGTTGCCGTTTGTTAAGTGTGGGTAACTATTTGTGTAGATAAGATGCCCACCTGCTAGATATGATACCCAATAGAAGGGTGCAATATGAGTCGAAAGAGCTGACGGACACTGCAACCCTGGAAGACCCGCAACGGTCTAAGGCGGACATTGGACTATCGATAATTTTTGACCAAGATAAATTTGACAATTGTATCTTTACAGGGCCGATGATGGCTCTTGTGCAGTAGTGAGTCTGAAAGCAAATTATACAGCGAGCAATGCAAGTGAACGGATAAGATAAAGTGTGGAAATTGGGCTAGTAATGACAGGAGGTCATGTGTGAGATTCCTTGCAATGTAGGTTGAAAACATTTTGGTCCAGGTCATCGTGCCGGTGCTGATGTCCAGAATTCGTTTTCGTCTTCCTCAGGACCAGCAAGTTGTTCCAGCAGTGGTCGTCCACGCGCAAAGCTACTTAAGTCGCTCCCTATCGTACCGCTCGATTCGAGGGCGGCGAGCAGATCAGGATTGACGAGTCCCGAGGAATATGCTGCGGCCGATCGGTCTGCTGCCATGTCACTGCTGGTGACTGGTCCTGAGGGCGACGAGGCGCCACCGCCCGGTTGGCCGGAAGGCATCTGCACGAGTAGGGCTTGATTCTGCGCCCGTAGATCCCCCCGCGCGGCAGGCATGTTGGAGATGGTATCGTACTGCGGTGGCAAGTCGACGATCGCATCCTCCGCGTCGATGTTGTCATCCATCAACAGTCCAGCATCAGTGTGTTGCACAAAGCGCGTACCATTACCGCTGCTTCCGCCGCCGCCCCCCGAGCTGCTCGTTGAGCGTGAGGGACCCATGCTCTGAGCATGATTCTGGAGCAGTGGGGAGCGAGTTGTTGCCGACAGGCCCGTGGTCGAGTTGCTGGGGTACATGCCAACAGCGCCGGCTGAGGGGGAGCTCGGCCATATTGGCGAACCCATACCAGTTGGCGCGTACGCGTACGGAAACCGGTACGTCGTACCTGGCCCCGCGCGTTCGCCAGGCTTGCCTGTTTGGCGTGGAGACGTCGACCCGGTAGGTGCATTGTCTTGAGAGGTGAACGCTCCGCAATCTGAAGCGGCGTACGCCGAACTTCGCTGCTGTGACGCACTGCCGCCCCCAACCGATGCCCTCGCACCAGTACCAGTTCCACTGCCTGTGCTCGCATTGAAGAAGTGCAGCCACGAATCTGTGCCATCGTTGCCAGCGAGCAAGAGAGGCGGTGCTGCCGCGCCGCGTGCTGCGTGTCTGCTGGCACCACGGGCCAACGGAGTTGAGGACGGCGAAGACAAGTCCTGCAGCTCTGTTTCTTCACTGTCGTCTCGACTGCGCTGTTGCGGCCCGTGTCTGTCCAAGGGCCCATATGCAATCACTTCACCGCGCGAGGAGGCGAGGCCGGCGGCGGTAGCGCTGGCCCCAAGATCGATGCTCACATTTCCCGTTACGTTTCTATTTCCGTTTACCGCACCATTTCCATCCGCCAAACTGCTCGCATGTGTGCTATGCAGCGTGGCAAAGCTACCGCGGTACTCACACGTGCCGGTGAAGATACCGCGATGGATGGGTGCGGTAGGATCGGCCGGTTTGCTGCTCGGCACATCCCACTTCGTCACCGCTTGGCGCCTGCGCCTCGCTGTGCGCTTGCGGCAGAGGGACCATACGATCTGCGCTGCTGCAGCTGCTACAACTGCGACGATGACGAGGGAGATAATGATGCCGAGCAGGTGCTTCGACAGCCGGCGGCCTCCGCTGCTGCCGTTCGCAGAGTCGCTTGGAAGCTTCGAGCTGCCCCAGCCAGGTAGTGGCGTGCCCTGCACGACGGTCTGCGTAGCGATGAACGTCACGAGCGTCACATCTCCTTTGGTCGCCCTGGTTAGCGTCGCGGTCGATGCTGTGACGTAGCTGTACGGGAGCCCGGTTGCGCCTGCGATGGGCACCGTCGTCGTCGGCCGCGGGACCTTGTCATCGACTCCGGATGAACCGTTGTTCGTGTTGTACGCGTTGCCGAGACACGTGTTGCTGACTAAGTTCTCATCGAGCCCGACGACGTTGCGCTGTGAAACGCCGCCAGTGACGTGCTTGCCGGTATCGGTCATGGTGAAGAAGAACGACGTGCCGGCCCGGAGCGGCAGCGTCACATTCGTCGAGCCAGAGCCCTGCTGCTTGAATAGGGGATTATCAGGTAGAGGGATGCTGATCGGTGGCTGATTCTCGGGGAGGATGAACATCGTCATCGGTGGTACCCAGGCGCCTTCCCATGTGACGAGGTAATCCTTGCATTGCTGCGGAGTACCAGTTGGGAAAAAGATGAAATCGGCGGGCATTCGCGGATCCGGACATTCCCCGCGGGCCGAGGTGCGCGGTTGCACGGTTTGTGCGGAAGAGGAGTTGGACATGAGGTTTTCCTTGTCGGTTAGCGCGACGATAACGTTTGTCGAGGAGTTCCCGAAATCTGGCACTAGGAAGCGATAGTTCCACAAGCCCTGGTGCTTTGGCGCGTAGTCATCAGGAACTGGGTCATCAAGAAGAGAAAGGATCAGTAGGCGAGCGAAAGTAAGCATCGACGACGGCGTGTGATGCTCGACGCACTTTGAAATTGATAAGGAAAGAAGTTGGAGAAGGCCACCACGACGTTGAACGGGCCGGTGCCGCGCGAAGGATCAAAGGTGATGTTGACTGCATTGCACATGAGCGAGTACAGGCGGTCAGTCGGGTTGTGAAGTGAGTCCCTTGCTGCAACCCGGATCCACAAGGTGCACTCACCATACTGGCACATAGTCGCCTGGGTGACGGAGAGTGTAAAGTCTGCTGTTCCCGCATCGTCGGGTCCTGTGCCCGACTGGCGTGGCACGATTCGATCCGACAGTGCAGGCCAGGAAGACGATGGTGATTCACCTGCATCTATGTCGACTTCAATGCCGTCGCCGGTATCGTCACCGAGCGGAAGAGCGCGGTGCTTGCCTTTGTCGACGCGGCCTTGGTTCGGTGTCAAGGCAGCAAAGCGAGACGATGCGTATGTCGGCGGTGAGGAGAGAACTGGCTGCGTTGCCAGCGATTTCGAAAACGGATTCCGCTTCGATGAAGCAAAAGCAGAGGCTGAGCTTTCGCCACGTCGTTCTCCTGCCGCCAAAGCATCGCGGAGTGGGATAGTCTTCCTATCGCTTCGACCTAGCTCCGCTACCCTTGCACTTGCAGCTCTGCTCTGCCGTCCCTCCATTTTGATTGCCCCGCGAGCTGTTCCCGCTCCCTTGGACGTTTGCAGGGTCGGAAATAAATTTCTCCCGTTGAGCCTTGAGATCTACCGTGCAGCTCGACCGACCCAATGTCTGAGCATGCCAAAAAAGCACAATCCTTTCATGAATAGGATACCGCTGCTGCCCGTGCTTCCAACATGCGTGCAATGGCGATTCAACGGGTCTGCCTTCCTTTTTCTCCTAGATGAAAGTAGTTCCGAAGAAATCTGTCTTAGAAAGGTGCTTAGAAGCTATTCCTGGGGTGCCTGTCTGCCGTCGCTGGCTTGGCGTGCCTGCGCCGGGTCACGCGCTCCCAGCGGCAGAGACGAGATATGAATGGATGCTGCAGATGGCTGAGCGAACTGGGGGGTTTTTTCGCGTCAGCGCCGAATCTGCGCCGTCGAGCGGTACGTGAAGCCTGGGCCTCCTTCGTCGCCCTTGTCGTCGTCAGGGCGGAGATGATTCTGTTGAACAGGGCCTCATCCACGCTCATCAGGAAGACTCGTTGATTTCCATGGAGAGAATCGGCGACTCTCATCCAAGCAAATTGACGAAGACGAGGCCACAGGTAGACAGCAGGCCAGCAGCTTAAAGCTACATAGCCTGGCATAAGCTCTCAGTCATTTTCGGCGTTTGTTTGAGGGTTGGCCATCGGGGAGAGTCATGCACCAGACTAAGCCCATGAATTTCAAAATAACCACAATTTTTGTCCTCATATACGGGCATTTTCTGCATACTCCCCGAATTCGTACGGGACCTGAACCTCTTGCTGGCGAAGCGCGAAAGAGCACAGTGCTCTCGAGCTGCTGCCGCCAGTCGCCAGCTCCTCCGCGTCCATGTCCCCCATGTTTCTGTGTGGGGGGGAGGGGTTGCTCGCTATCTCTGCATGTTCGACAAGGATGCAATGCAGTGCTTGCCGTTCATGATGCACAGACATGGCGAACACGACCACACACGACTCCTCAATACTCATTTTTTTTACTGTACGTCTATGTATGTAGTACGATGAGATTGCATGTGCGAACTTCGAGGCGTGAACCCATTGTTCGCCGCCTTATGCACGTACATACATGGGCGTGGGGCCAATTGTTGGAATGATTTGGACGGTTGGCCGCTAGTGCCAGGGAGAACGGGCCCTGGTGGAAAGTCAAAGCGACCTCAACCCAAGGGGGCTGCGGTCACCCGACGACGCGTCAGCCACCATAAGGTCCCACTCGTTTCCTGGTTTCCTACTTTTATTACGCCTGAGCTGCGCATGTCTGCTTGAAACCCCCCGGATAACGTAGGGCAATGAACGTTTTCCGCGCGATTTGCAAGCCACAGCGATCAGCTGCTCAGTGTTCTCAGTCTTACCACCACCGCATCAACTGCATTACATACCAGCTGAGCTCGATTCCAATACAAAAAAGCCCACACAGCAGCCGCACTCGGCGACAGTGGCCAGCGCGGAACCCGTTGCGCGCAACGCGTATATTACGTAATGAGGGCTCGTCCGCACAGACTCCCTCTGCAATGCGCTCCGTGACGACGAAGTCAGCATTGAGGCAGCCGCTGGACAAAGGACCTAGACAACTACATCAGGTTGCGTTGTAAAGTACACGTGTGAGACGACAAGCGAGAAGTCAGTACAAAAACTAATGTGTGTATGTTTGTGTGTGTATTTGTACATGCAGATGTACGTCATACGTGACGTGTGGACAGGGACGGCGCGACACGACGCCAACTCTTGCCAGATGCGGAGCGGAGGCGTGCCGACACGGAAACAGAAATTCGGACGGGATGCGCGCATCGCACGCGCGCGTGGAGCGTGCAGGGATGCTCGATTGGGGATGTCGGCAGTGCATTAGACCACGCGACTAAAACTGGTGAGAGAGATAAGGGGGGGTGAGATGTCATGCGGAGCGATGGTTGGCCTGGCGCATGCCATGCACACAAGCACGCCCCGCGTGCCTCACGGCAGCTTCTTAGACGGTGTGCTGGTCGCATTGTTGAATGCAAGCAGGTTTGGGCTCTCGGCGTCGAGGTCGCTGAGGATGCCGCGCGTCGCAAGACCGATGAGCGCGCTCTTCATGTCGGCCGGGTGCAGCACGCTAACGATCACCGGCGCATCCGCAGCGCGCGTAGGCGCGAGCAGGTACTCGAACAGTGTTACGGGGAGCAAATGCGCGAGCGGTGCGCTGCTCAGCAGCGCGTGTGCGCCGTGCGCAAGCTTCTGCGCAAACGTCCTGGCCGCCGTCACCGTCTGCTGGTGGTACACGGCGTGCAGCTGCTGCAGCGTCGGCATGGGGCGAGCGTCCTTGATGATGGCAAAGTCGTTCGAGCCATAAATGGACAGGTAGTACGCGAGCATACCGACAATGTGTGGCGTCGCCATCGATGTGCCGCTGATCGTGTTGGTGCTGTCCTTGCCCGTGTTCCAGGTGCTCTTGATGTTGAGGCCCGGCGCGAAAATATCGACGCATTTGCCCTTGTTGGAAAAGTACGCGCGCTTGTCCCCAACGTCCGATGCGCCGACGGTGATGGGGTTCTTGGCGCCCGCGGGGCTCGTGTTGCACGCGTCCTGGTTCTCGTTGCCGGCGGCAACGGCAAAGTGCAGTCCGTTGGACACGGCGCCGTTAACGGCCTTGTCAAGTGTCGGTGACTTGCCACCGCCGAGGGACCTGTTCGCAATGCATCAAAAAGAGAACCATGTTAGTGTGAGTTGACAGCTTGCGGGGAGAAGCAGCGCGCATGCCCAACTCACATGTTGGCGACAAAGCCCTTGTGCTTCTTGGCGGCGGCACTGTGCGGCTCGGCTGCGAGCTTGGCGCTGATCTTCTTGGCGTCCTCGACGGCCCAGAGGACGCCAGCGGTGACGTCGGCCATGCTTCCGCTGCCGCCGCTGCCGAGGACCTTTACGGCGACGAGGTCGGCGCGCTTGGCGACGCCGTACTTTCGGCTGCCGATGGTGCCGGCGCAGTGAGTGCCGTGGCCGTTGCCGTCGGTGTCCGTGTCGCCGACGGGCATGGTCTTGCCCCAGCGGGCGCGGCCCTCGAACTCAGTGTGGTTGATGTAGATGCCTGTGTCGACGATGTACGCGGTCACGCCGTCGCCGGAGATGTCGCTGTAGACGTACTTGTTGAAGTTGCCAAAGCCTAGCTCTTCACGGTGCGAGATGCGGGCGAGGCCCCAGGGCGCACCCTTTTCAATGGCGTGCGCATCGCGCTCACCTGGTGCAGAGGTGGCAGCGGCGAAAGAGTAGGAGCCAAATGCCTCAGACCAGACTTTGCGCGCGTGTTCGTTAGCGGGCTGGCGGATGTCCTGGGTCTTGACGATTGAGTCGCGCTCGACATACTCGACCTCTGGTTGGGCACGGATGTAGGCGAGCACGTCTTCAGAGAATGTGCCGCTGTAGCCCTGGATGTGGGAGGGGAGGTCGTAGACATGACGGATGCCGTCATGGGACGAGCGGGACGATGTGGCGTGGAAAGCGTTGGCGGAGAGCTGTGCGGCGCGGATGAGCTGCTGGTGAGCGAGAGCCGCGGTGGTGGGTACGTCATGCTTGAGGATGACCATGTAAGAGTTGGGAATCTCGCCATGGTGTCCGGGTGCGCTCTCGATCCGAGCGGGCTGGGCGTCTGAGCCCGTGTAGACGTACTGGCCGGGCACAAACGGGGTGGGTGCCATAGGGCTTGGGAAAGCCATGGCGCTACCCACTGCGGGGAGCGCGAGTGCAAGGAGCGAGGTGAAGCGCATGGTGGAGAGCCTGCTTGCTTGCTAGCTTGCTAGCTTGTACTAGTTTGCCAGGCAGCCGAAATGTGTGTGTGGGATGGAATGGAATGGGATGGGATGGGTTGGGATGGGTTGGATGAGATGAGGGTTATAGAGATGGGGTTATAGAGATGGGTGGCAATGTTTGGGGGGCGAGGGGTTGCTGCTGATGGGACGGGTTGATATGGGGACCAGTTGGGAGGGACACACGGGCGAACAGAGCCAGTCAGTTCGCTGTCCCAGTCGGCTCATCATCCCTGTTAGAGGAGACTGCTCATCTGACTGAGCTACTGGCAGACTGACTGACAGGCTGACTGGCTGGACTCTGTTTGGTTGCATCGTGGAGTTGTGAGATAGGGTGTGACGCGGCCCTCTCCAGCTCCGTTCCGCGCTGATAAGATATGCACACTGCTCTGGTGCCCGCTCGTCGACTATGTGTGTACTCTCGGCTCTCCGCCACATCCGCATCCGCACGCACGCACGCACAGGCACGTCACTCACACCCCACACTCACCCACACAGAGCACAGGGGAGGGAGACGAGCACGCCACACGGCCGCGCTGCAGCACAGTGAGTGGCACTCTGAACTGTCCGCAGGGGGAGAGCCACACACACCCATGCTTGATGGCATACGCATTATCGTGTGTGAAAACAGAAATCACCGGGAATCATTTGCAGCTCGCCATCGCCGCTGGCTCTGTCACCAGCAAGAGCGCTACGTATTGACTTGCCAGCTAGACCTCAGGCGGTGCCGCAATCCGCACACTTGCACCACTTGTGTTTATAGTAAATTTTATAGCATGCACTGTATCTAGACACGAAGCACGTGTCTCTTCAACAATATTGCTTTGCGCCACCGCTCCAGCCGGCTCGTCGTTTGCGCCCCGGCCCTGTGCGCAAAGACTGGCCTGCTGATCATCGTGCGAGGACGAGCCAAGCTCGGCGGGTTGCAAATGCACAGGCGGACGCGCTCTTGGGCACTGCCTTCCTTGCCATGACCCGCTCTGATCAGGTGTGCCCGGTGAAACTTCTCCCTGCCGTGTTGCACATCGAGCAGAGTCAAACCGGGCGCTCAGGCGCACTTCGTGACGCGTTCACGGGCGCAGAAGCTGGCATCTTTTTGTCGTGTGGCGCCCGCTGCGACTTCTTTCCCGTGCTCGACGGCGCGGAACTGCCCAGTCGCAGAGCTGAAGGCATGCATGAGCTATACATGGGCCCACGCAGAAACAGCCAATATGCTCGTGGCTCGCGCAAGGTTGAGGCGGTAGGGTTACGCTTCCACGCTGGAAACTCGCATATCTGTTCCCTCGGCTTGTTGCGCAGCAATGGTGCGAATGTCGCTCATTTGCTCTCGAGACGCCCATCTATGCAGGCGGATACCAGTAAAATTACTCTCGTCATGCGAAGGAGCCCATGCAGGGCGCTGCCATTTCCATAGCTCATGACTTGGCGGCGAGGCTCTTGGTCACGCTGTCGATGTACGCCTGCAGCATCTCGTTGTCTGCCTCCGCCTTAGAGCATTCTTCTTTGACCGACGTGACGCGCCAGAGAAGGGCTGTGAGCAAGAGAATGACAAAGGGGGAAAGTCAGAATCGAGGTCGAAGAGCTTTGATCTCCTTCTGCTTTCTGCCAGTTGCGACGCACCCTTCAGACCGTCTTGCATGGCTACAATCTCGCGCACGATCTTTTCCTTCTCGAGCACTTCATTCGCGGAAATGTTCGCTTGCGTGCCCTGCACAAAGGGCGGTTGTAGATTTGAGTATCCGCGACCATGAGCCATTGAAGTTGTGCATCAAAGCGACGCTCGCTACACTCACCCACGTCGCAAAGTCCGTCTCGGGCGGTGCCGAGGAGCGGGTGTTGGCATTAGACATTACCGCTTTCTTCCAAGCGCCGTGACCGACTTTGCCATCTGCCGGGCGGTTGCTGCCTCTCTAATGATGAAGACCTTGTCGCAGAGGACTGAGTTCCGACGATGATCAGCTGGATGGCGAGAAGGGAAGAAGTTGAGTGGAATCAACACTGAGCCTCACGTGATTCGCTAATGTAGGCTCGAGTTAGGGTTGTGCCTATCGCCCCGGCTAGCTTCCCGACGAGCCGGCGCGCTGGTCCGATCGACGATCGTGCCCCACACAAAACACCAACGCATACGTACCCCCATGGATATACCCCATCGCTCGACCGTTGACGCTCGTCAACGTTTACGGTGAAGAGCATCACCACGGCTTACGCGCATCGTCCGCTGAGTACTGAACGTGACGCTTCACACCTGGGTTACATTCGCAGTGCTCACAGACGCTTGTTGCATTTGGTCTCTGCGTAATCCGGACACCGCACACGACACAGCCTGTTGCCCAGACTTGACCCAGGCGCAAGATAGCGGATAAATCATGTCGGACTCGGAGCTGCTTTCCCGCATCCTGCAAGAGGTGGTCGACCTCAAGTCGAAGAATGCCCAACTCGAATCCAAGATCGACAGCTTGGCCGCCGCAGCCGCGGCAGGCGGTGGCAGCATCCCCGTCGGTTCGCCGTCCTCTCATGCCCGTCGAGGCAGCCATTCGTCCGGCTTGACCCCCATCTTGCACGGCGTCACCGGAACCTCCGGGACGGTAGGCGGCGCACAACACCCCGTTGAACCATCATCAGCCTTGCTCAAATCGCCACCTCCACAGCCACTGGGACCCTCGGCTCTAACTAGCAGCTCGTCTGCCCCGTCCAAAGAGCTGCCCGCAGCGACCACGAACTCGAGCGCTGCTACTGCTTCTGCTTTTGGTGTGGAAAGTGGCGAAGTCGCCGGGAAATCCGCTAAGCGTAATGCCGACATTGAGGCGTACTTCGCCAACACTCGGGTCATCTTGACGTCTTATCCCAACCAGGTCAGCGTAGAGACTTACGAGCTGTAGCTCTCCCTTGTATCCTGAATTTCTTCTTAGTCTGCGCTTACAGGTTGGTATCGACCCCTACCCGCTCAGCTTCGGGCACCCGGACCCTCAAGTACGTGGGCCTGTCCTTGCCAGCCGCCACCCCGGCTCGATCAAGTTGCGCAACGCCATTGGCACTTGTGAGTACTCATGGAGACGTGTCCCAGGACACTCGCATGTCACTCACGGAGCAATGAAAACGACGCATGTACCTGCTGCTGCTTCTCTGTTCAGACGGTGGATCGTACATGGTTTACCGAGCGCTGGCTTCCGCCATCGGAGACCTCTCCCCCGACTTTCGACCTGACTTTACCAACACTGAGCCGCCCTTTGACATTCCACAGCAGCCCGAGTGGGGCGACCCGTACAAGATCTGCACGCTTGATCCATTCGGGCACATACCACAGGTGTTGTTCAAGAAGCAGATCGATGAGGGACTCGATGTCAGGCCTACCATCGCGGCGACCAAGGCGCACATCAGTGAGTACCTGGGGGAAAGAGCAGCTTGAGCGTTGACTGATTCCGGTCGCCCCGTGCACAGAAATGCCGGAACTCGATGACGCACTCAAGCTTGGCCGGCTCTCAATCGACGGCAAGATCGTGATCGCGAGCACGCACCTGCCCGGCATGGACCCACGCCAAGACCCCGGCTGCGAGGTTAACACTTCCAAAATCTCCGTCGAGCCGGTTTGGTACCTACCCGGCGTGGCCCACCGTCTCGGCATCTCTGAAGGCACTCTCCGGCGTGCACTGTTCGAAGAGACAGGTGGGATGTACCCCGAGCTTCTCACACGCCACGATCTGTCCGTCTTTCTGCCACCGATCACCGGCGCCACGGTGTACATCTTTGGTGATCCGGCGTACCTTTCCGACCCGACTAAGGAGCTCACGGCGCGCGTGCACGACGAGTGTAACGGCTCGGATGTCTTTGGCTCTGACATTTGCACGTACGTTCATGCACTTGAACCGCGCTGGCAGCCAGACTGAGCGAGAAATGCTGACCCTCGAACTTTCTCTCTGAGTAGATGCCGCCCGTACCTCCTCATGGGTGTAAGTGACCATCACTACGTGGAAACACATATTCACGGAGCATTGCCTTAATTACCACCTTCCCTGCACCCCTCTCACAGATCGAAGAAGCTGTGAAATGCGCGCAACGCGGTGGTGTCGGTCTCATCGTTTACTTCCGCAAGGAAGGCCGTGCGCTCGGCGAGACGATCAAGTACCAGGTGTACAATGCGCGCAAGCGCGGCAACGACACGGCCTCCGAATACTTTAATCGCACGAGCAGGATCGCCGGCGTCAAGGATAGTCGCATGCAGCCGGTGGGTCCGCTGGCGCAAGGCTTCCTCCATGTCATTTCTTGGGTACCACTGACAGCATCGCCCTTCCTAATCTGTTCATCGCAGCTCATGAGCGACATTCTCGTCTGGCTGTGTGGAACAAAGCGCAAGCTCGACCGCCTCATCTCCATGTCGGATATGAAGTACGACGCCATCACAGCAGCCGGTATTCAAGTGGGCACACGGTAAGTTTCTCTCTTTCCCCAAAGGACACCCCTTTCATGTTTCATGCTTCATGCGTGTTGTTTTGGGTGGCAAGCGCTGCTACTGCTGCATACAAGTTGCACTGACACGTTTCCACTCCATTCGGACGCAACACACCATGCGTTGCAGTTACGAGATCCCGGAGGATCGGCTCCCAGCTGATTCGCGCGTCGAGATTGATGCTAAGATAGTGCGTGACGCATCGTGCCTCTTCCTCTTGCTGATATCAGGGCGAGGCAAACACTGACCGCATCATGTTCGTCATTTCCGCTCTCCCTTCACTTTGCCATTGCGCTCCGTCTTGGGACCCTTCACGGGCCGTCGAAAAAATGGCTGCACCGCTACACAGCAAGCCGGGTACTACAGCACGCGCGCAGTAACGGAGGAAGATTTGAAGAAGGTTGTTGGTCGCGGTTGGGAGAATGTGCATCAATAAAGTGGTGTGCATGGAACGATGGCGATCTAAGGGATCGGTTGTATGACGAACAAGGAACTATTAGCTTTGTTTGCAATCCCTTTGCATCTCCGTATTGTGCCTTGATCATTCTAATGGTCTCGCAGATCTCAAGAATCTGATCTCAGATGCCAATGAGACCCGGTCCGTGTCATAGGAAGAGACCTGACGCTTCATAGTTCCCGTTTTCCACTTGCTGGGAACCGTCCGGTTGTGCCGCAGGCTGCCGTCCCTGATTCGTTGGTAGATCCAAGCCTAGATCTTTCTCTGTAATTCGGAAATGCCCAGGCTCTATGCCGAGCTTTTTCGCGAGTTCGTCTGCAATGCGATTGTGCCTCTCCATCTGCCGCGCGAGGACACCCCAGTTTTCGTCTCTCGCTTCTTGCAACGTCTGACGGTACTCTTCGTCAGGCGATTGGGCCTGCGCTTCCGCATCGAGTTCCTCCTGAAGCTCCTTCTGGCTCCGCTGGAGATGCCGCATGGCGTGTCGCGTCGATTCCATCTCGATACGCAGAACCTCCGGCTGCAGGTCACCGGCGGCGGCGGCTACGATGCCGTCAATCGCCGGGGCGTGGCTCGCAGATGGCTCCTGCTTCTCGCGTGCCAAATCCGCAGAACATGCAGCCTCGTTTGTCGTCGACATTGCGTATCAATCTCAGGCTCTGCGGCGTGATTTTCTCTATGGGCTTGACCCTCGCTCATGCAAGGGAGGCATAATGTATAACGCATGACGAATGCGCACAAGTAGCACAAGTGCAACCATGGTCGCCACCAGTCTCGCTCTGACTCGCACAGTCGCATACCTTCAAGAAGTCAGAGAGCGGCCCAAGTGGCGGACCTTTGCACCGAGCCTCGCCGAGTTATAGTTCTTTCTTTTTGCAACATTTTTCTGTAGAATGAGATAAATAATAACTGGATGCTGCCTTCTTAGAGCATCGGTCATTTGAACGGTGAACCTGCCTTGCATCACACCATACTTTCCCAGCATTTCGCATCGTGATACGGATAGCTCATAACCTCCACCAACCGTGTGACTGCGAATCAGAAAGATCCGGTGATAGTAAACAGCCTTGGAACCACTATGGCTACAAAGTTGCGAGTTGCGACCGTGCAGGAGCACTTCTGCTCGCCCCTCTGGCAGCTCGCCGAGTCAGACTGGGGCCGCGCGAACATCGAGCTTGTCTTCAACAACTCAGGATCTGGGCAGATGATCTCAAACCTGTCCAATGATGGAGACGGAAGAAAGATCGATGCCGCTGTCGCGCTGACCGAGGCACTCATCGCCGGCATCGCTAAGGGCCGCAGGGATTACAAGCTTGTTGGTTCTTACGTCCGCTCGTCCCTCAATTGGGCAGTTATCACCGGGACCGACCCAAAAGCCACCAAGTACCAAAACATCGATGATCTCAAAGGCGAGACGATCGGAATCTCAAGAATTGGGAGCGGGAGTCAAACGATGGCGTACTACATGGCGATGCAGCAAGGCTGGGGGGCGGATATAAAGTTCAAGGTGAACGACACTTTTGAGAATCTCAGAAAGGGCGTGAATCAAGAGCCGGGGTGAGTGTGTCATATGAATGAATCTTGCTCTCTTGTAAAATGCTTCTATATTGAAACAAAGTTCACTTGTTCTACGCACAGCCTCGAAACAGCCGCCTTCATGTGGGAGTGGGTGACCACGCTTCCATACGTACACAGTGGCCAGGTACGCTACATTGGCAATGTTCCGACGCCGTGGCCCAGTTGGTCTATTGCCGCCTCCACTTCGATCCTCGTCCCAGGGTCCGAGGACCAACAGCTTCTCGACACGTTCCTCTCCAAGCTGCAAGAGAGCATCGCGACTTTCCTCCACCCCGATTCGATCTCACAACAGAAACCCCAGCAATTCGTACAGCAGCGCTTCGAATACAAGCCCGAAGACGTGGAGACCTGGTTCAACAGCGTACGCTACGTGCGTGATCCGAGGCCTGATTCGAAAAATGATACAGCCGTAGCACTCGTGCCGACTGGGCAGCAAACTTGCACGGAAACTGTGTCAAGAGAGACAATCACCACAACGCTCAGCATACTCGCAAAGGCTGGCGCGATTCAGACGCCTCATGGAGGCTTTGATCTCGCGGACTTTGCTCGCGAGCAGTCGCTTGTAGATTAGCTGCAGTTTTCAATGCAAAGAACCGCACAGCGAAGGTGCAAGCCTCCGGCCCATCGGGAAAGTGGGGACTGTCATTGAGGTTCTAGGGACTAATATGCATTTTGCGCTCCAAGTCGCTGCAAAAGTTCATGTACTTGAGATGAAAGGGTGGCCTATTATGCGCACAGGTATAATATCGGTGCCTTTCGTGAACACCCGCACAGGTGCATGCCAGGGACTTTCCCTTAGAGGCACTACTGATTTTCATTGTCTCCTCCAACTCCATCATCCCCTCCGTCGTTGCTTCACTGCCATCTGTAAGCGACGGCGCCTCATTGGAACTACTGCCGGTGCCATCGGCGTCTGACTCGGCTTCTCCTGCTCCACTGTCCTCATCAGGCGCGTTAGGAGCATCCGAAGTGTTAGAAAAAGTCAGGCGCGTCTGATGCAGCCCCATTCGCACCCCCGTCGAGAGCGACCGGTTGATCTCCCTCCTGCTCATCCGGCATGATAGTATTTTTCATCGCGACGCTCACTGCGTCTGCGACAGGAGTGACGAGGGTGTTGACATCGTCAAGATTCGCAGCTTCATTTAAACTGACGACTGTGTTCAATACCGCTATCAAAGCAGCATCACTGATCGCACCAATCAAGTCAACCAGATCGTCGCTGCCCAGGTCGGCAACAGAATGGGTGCCACCGCCGCTGCTGCTACTGCTGCCGTCACCATTTACAGAACTGGAGGCACTTTCCCCTCGGTCCCTTCCCTGTCTGTGTCGCTGGCTTCAACGTCCCCACCAGCAGTGCCTTCGTCAGAGCCTGCGTCAACTTGGCCCGAGGCAGCGACTCCAGCAAGCGAGGCGATCGACTGGCCATCGCCTTCAGGAGAGTCGCCTGTTTCAATAGCAGCGTCACTTGCGCTACCAGCGGCACTGTCATTCTCAGCGGCATTCCGTGGTGAGCCCGAGGCGCCTGCAGCCTCATTGCTGGCTGGGGCCGGTGTAATTGAAGCCATGGGCTCACCTGCAGTCACAGTGTCAGAAATGCTGCCATTAGTACTGCTGCCGCTGCTGGGTTCGGCGTTGCCATTGTCATTGCCAGCCAAATTGCCACCGCCAGACCATGAATGGACCACGGACCAGCCTGTATGCACCGACGGATTCCGTCGTAAATGGAATCATAATTCCGGGCTTTGTTTGGCTTCGTGTCTTTGTGCTTGGCTGAGTGATGCTTATCGGAATGCTCAGATGCTGAGCCTCCATGTTTGTCATACTTTGTCTCTTCGGTCGTCTGCGGGTATTTGTTCTGACGGATAAGCTCATGTTCGGCCTTTTCCCCGCGATGGCCGTTTCTTTATTGGATTGCCTTTTGCGGACGTGCGAGTACCAGTCGGATTGAGCCGCAAAGTCGGTCGAGTTAACTCCCAGATCCTCACATGCTGGTACCATGGTAGCCATTGATGCGAGGGCTGACTTTCGCTGCATCCGGTTCTTGCGAGTGTCTGAGCAGTGAGATGTTAGGGAGGAGACCGCCGTCCTGTGAGCGGAGTCAAGGAAGCCCGTGTCTCGACATTGGGCGACGACTTTGCCGTAAGAGGCTCAAGGCCTATCGAACCGATAATCTTCGAGTCTGCTCTCGCTCATGAGTTTCGTACGCAGCTGCTTTCAAAGCGCCATGATGACCTTGACTCCGGGCGAAGAGAAGTAGCGCATATCTGTTACCGGGAGCTAGCAATTGGACTTGCTCAATGGGTACGGAGGTCGGCGCTTCAGACGTAAAATCCGATGCGACACCTATAATCACGGCAGGAGCTTAGGGCCAGTTAGCCACACTGTTCCAAGTACAATGATGAAATGCCAGATTCTCACCTGACAGGTCCCCAGCCTGAGCATCTGGTTACTTGCCCAACATCTGCGAAATGAGGTCTTGGTCGTGCCTCGTCAGCGCTTTGGGCGACGAGTTCACCTGAAGCTGGGCTATCAGGAAGGTTGTCCAGGGATAAATCAGATGTGGGTGTGTTCGTTTTGGGCTTGTTGGGCTTGTTGGGCGGAGAAGCCTTGGCCTAACTTCGTCTTCTCGTGTGCCCACAGAACTCTTTCAGCCCCGGTAGGGAGATGGTTGTTGCGGCAGCACGATGACGAGAGCGATGAAATCCTTGCACGTCACCAAAGCATCAAAGCGTATCCTTGCAAGCCAAAGCGTGCCGCCTTTTGAACTCTCATCACAAGCCTTCTACCAGGTAAGCATGTTTGCCATGATACGAGACTGCATTACGAGGAAACCTTGATGCGTATCAAAAGCTTACACCAAGGGTCGCGAGCGAGCGACACTGCGAATTTCTAAGATGAATAGCATGCATATCAAGAGGTATTGCGCAGTTTAGGAGTCTGTACCCTTTTGCGACCAGCACAGCCAAGCAGATTCAGATAAAACGGCGGCTTGATATCCTCAGTCTACGGCTATGTGGGCCATTCATTGTAACCCCATCTGAAGCTAATCATGTGTCTTATACCTTACAGGTTGCGAGGTGCGATAGGGTCTGAATAGGAGCGGTCGCACAGATGGGAGGTATGGGCTGTATCGACTGGCAGCCTGCATATGCCTGCATTCGCCTGCATTCGCCCCTGAGCACAAGCTGAGATGTGAAGCAGTTCGAAATAGCTTCCGGTGCGACGGTTAGCTCACTGGTGGACGAGAGATCATAGGAAACCAACCGCGCATCTGATGCCCAAGAACGATGTCAATTTTGCGGAACATTTAATGTTTGTTTGTGCCCCCAATGTGTCTGTAGGCCGGAAGAGGCTAACGCAGATTCGTGAGCTGTCCACAGTGGGAAGAAAGGCTACTGATCAATGATAGGAAGTGCCGTGTGTCGAAAGAGTGAACGATGTTCCACGCGTTCAGGAGTCGCAACGATGCATGAGCGAGGAGTGCGAAAGGCCAGAGACGCCCGCCGACCTGAGAATGGAAACGCAAAGCAGTTGACAGTTGGGGGAGGTTGGGTGACTTTCAGTCGGAACCGAGGCGGGGATTTTTTTGTCCACCCCTCACGTGGCAATAAAATACCGTCAATGGGACTCACTGCGGCCTGACGCCTGGCTATCTGACGAAGACAATCTTTGTTTTTGTCTCAGAACGCGTATGCGACGTGCATCCGTTGTCTGCATGGAGCGAGAACACAGACAACCACTCTTTCTCAGCCCTTTCTCCCTTCCCCCCCCACGCACAATTCAACGGTCGAGGCGAGAAGTCCGTAGGGTTGTAACGTGCAAACAATCGTCCCTTCTGATACGCCTGCGCACTGCTGACCACCGACCGCTAGCAAGTTTGCTGCAAAAGCACACACCTCTCGCTCTCTTCACTAACCCTCTGCCTCCCCCGGTTCCCAACCAATGTAGACCGTACTCTCACTTAACGTACAACTTGCCTGCAGCGGCGAGACGCCATAAAAACATTGTTCGGACTCAGAACAAATCCGATACTTGGCAGCAGCAGCAGCAGTAGCTGTCCTGTACGAGGCTGTAAATGGTTGGGTAGCGCTCTAGGAGGCAGAGCGCGTATCAGCCTGCTTCTCTCGTTCCTGTACCTACCTCTCCGGACGTCAGGCTGGATGCTACTGTGCTGCCACCATCCGGAGCCAGTCGGAAATATCTAGTAGGCAGCCTATGGACCCATTTCCACCTTTTATTACCCCAGGGAAACCCCGGCGCAGGATAGTCTATCTTTAGTCGAGCACGTCCGATTAACGGTCATGCAGTGCGCTGCACGGTGGTGCTGGCCCGTCCATCCGTACATGCTGGTGAATTCTCTTGCTTCTTTGGACCGGCCTGCATGACTTCATATGACGAGATCTATCTGCCGAATGTGTGCTTATTCAGCAGCTCGGTAATCCCATAGAGGAGAGATTGATTCATGAATGCCGACAGCCAAAGGCCGTCATCGAGTACGAGCTGTAGCAAGGTGTAGCTGTGCATCTCCCTTCAATTGTAAGCGCCGAACTTCTTTCGGCTTTGACAGCAGAATCACTGCATATCCTGGACCAGCTGGAATTGCGACAGGTCTTGTTTGGAAATTTGGGCACCCTGGCTGGCGTCTGGATGCATCGGCACGATCTACGAGTGGGTAGGCGTGTCGTGAATGATCCCCATCTCAAGCTTCATCCTCGACGAACTCCTTTTCGTCCATTTGACTCGAGGCAACGTAAGCCCCGTCCCACGACTCCGCTAAGACCTTTAACTGGCAAAATCTTGACCACCAGCACTCTCGCTAGCGCTGGGTAGATGCGGCTGTTGCGCTGGGGGCAGCACTCGCAACTCATCCTAGGACTCGGGCAAGAGGCTTGGTCGACCACGTAGCTGTTCGCCGCGCAGGAGTCCAGCATCGCCTCCCTCTCGCCAAAGGCGTTATCACTGCAGGATTTCCCCATTGATCATTTGCAGGCATTTGCAAGGTCCATCAAGAGCGAATGTTCAAGGGCATCGGGCCCCTCCCGCCTCAGCATGCACATGCGACTATTCGCAATGACAATGCTAGGTCTGCTTACCTCAAAGTCGTTGGTCAAAGGGCAAGCTGGCAAGAGGGATGCGGTCTTGATATCATACGCGCCTACTGGGCACAAGTCACCGCCAGACCACACATACAGCGACAGTGTACCGATTGTTGGAGCCGGTCACTCGTGCCATACGCATCATGGACAGAACCACGCCTGCGTTGCGAAGAGGGCTTCAACACATATCAGCTCTACAGTAGTCAAGGCGACTACACTGGTCGGTGGATCATCAGAACCTAGTCCTGGATCATTGGAAGGAAATGGAGGTGCAATTGTTCAGGCGCTAGAGAGCGCTTCGCCAGGGTCAGCGGCACAGATGGAAGCTGATGGCTCACCTGAGGGCTCCCCCGCAGCGGCGAACTCGGCTACTACCCTCCACAAAGCCATTTTGCCGAACAGCGAGGATCCATCGCTCCCGCCAGAAATGGCCATGACCCAACCGAGCAGCGATGCACTAAACATGACTGTACATGGTTCTGCTGGGCCGTCCCAAGCGAATAAGAATCAGGATCTCGACACAGCAATGTCCAGACGAGGGCCTTCGACTCCAGCAATGCCGTCACTCAAGCTCCCACCGCTGGCTGCTGCAGTGCAAAAGAATCTTTTGACCCGCATCGGAGAGCCATTCAACGTATCAGCCCCTAATTCCACCAGAGTGGGGGTCATAACGAATTGCGATACAGATGTTGCATACAGCTTTGACGATGCACCATACATCTGGCACCAAGAGCTCAATCAGCTGTTTGCTCAGAACAACGCCAAGGCGACCTTCTTCGTCAATGGTAACAATTGGGGGTGTATCTACTCACCCGAAAATGTGAAGGCGCTGCAGGACAGCTATGCGGCAGGACGTGAGTGGATGCTCGAATTGGATTGATGTGCCCCTTTCACGTTGCTAACACCGTCACTTGCTTCATCGCGCAGACTTGATCGGGAGCCACACATGGGGACATGTCCACATGGACGAGATGACGCCGCAAGAACTGGATGAGCAGATGGACTTGATTGAAGAAGCATTATGGAAGATTCTTGGTATCGTACCCGCCGTCGTGCGTCCACCGTGAGTCCTAACCATTCCCGCCCATCTTTTCGAAGGCTCAATTGCTGAGAACCACCCATGCATTCGTCCATACTTGTTCGCAGATATGGCGAGGCAAATGCTCAAGTGGTGGCGCAACTCAATGCACGGTGAGCAGGCATCACTTTCCGTACATGTGTGAGACCATGCTGATCCTCCTCGGGTCCAACCGTCACGCCTCATCTGCGTCAGGGGTTACACGGTGGTGACTTGGGACGTCGACTCGGGCGATAGCGTAGGGGTTGTAGCAGCAGACAGCATCGCGCGCCTCCAAGCGTTCAAGTACCCGCAACCGCATATGCCTCTCAACCACGAGATGTACCAAAGCAGCGTCGACACGGTAGCGCCGGCGATGTTACCATATTTGAAGAAGCAAGGCTACAAGATGCTCACCATCGCACAATGCTTGAACGGCGTCGCTCCTTACAAGATCGTCGGCAAACCACAACAAAGGGACGAAACATGGACATGCGGCAAGGACCACGCTCCTCCCTCCGCATCACGGTAGATTTGCCACTATTATTTTCCGACAATTCTCGGAAGCATGCCCTGCAACGGCCGTCGAGTCAGCCTTACCGCCTCTGACGGGCCGGGGCCGACCAGTGATCCATCATTCGCACTAGAGCGCAACATGCACGACATTATAGAGCTTCAGCAATTTGGTACGCGCGCTTGTTCGAAAGCGCCTTCATCATTGAACATTCATTCACGCTTGCGTTTGGCATTGCGCCGAGCATCATCGAGCATTCTCGATCATCACCTAGCATAAGCGAGCATCACCCATCACATCAGCCACCATTCTTCTATAATTTGGAATTTGGGGAGACCAAACATCTGCAGCTGATAGCGAAGGAGCGCTCAGCAAAAGTAAGTAAAGTAGGGCTAAAGGGAAAGATCAACGGGCGATGAGGATGCACCGACTGAACCATTATTAGCTCGGGCATCTGTAACCGCATCGCACTGCACAAAACCCCAACAATTGAATCCGCTTGACAATCACGTTGTGACTCTTTTTCTTACCGCTGAGCGTCTACTGGAAAGCATCTTTGACCTGCCTGGGCGACCACTCTTTAATCTGCGAGAGGAAGTTATTCAGGTCCGAGAAGCGGAGTCAGTCTTCGTTCTCAATATCCGTACCGTACGTGAGACCGCAGCCGGAGCGGCGCATGACAGCAAGGCGGACGAGACTGTGTATGTCTTTCTATCCGACGGGATACAGACGAGGACGATCTTGCCGCCATGGCCGAGACTCTCGATAATCGAGTTGACAGCCTCGGCGTTCGGCACGGGGCCAATAATCGCTTTGGCGCTGCCGAGCCTCTGCAGCTCGCCGACGGACTTGTCGGTGAAGTGATACGATGCGCCAATTTTTTTTGGCCAAGTCTGCCTTGTTGATGGTTGGAGAGATGTCAGCGACCTACAAACCCATTACGATGGCGTAGTGGAGGGCAATGTAACTTGTACATGAATGTGTTAAGAATTTAGCGGCAAGTTTTGTGTATGCATGGCTGGCCTGCTCAAGCTTCCATGTCCAATTCAAGACCACCAATTCCCTGTACAGTCACAAAATCGCCCGGTTTGGCAACATGTTGAACATAGTTAATTGTGCCAAAGGTAGACACACACGACCAGGACTTCCTCTTCAGCAGGCGACGATATCCTTCGTCGGAGATACCAGAATTCGGGTCCGAGTCTGGCGGAGCTCACAAAACGCAGATGGCTCAGAATTGCAGGTGCTTACGCTTGACACAGTCGTGTATGCTACAAGTGGATATGCCACAAAACTTGAAATGAGAACTGTGAGATGCTTCAGCCATTTCTCCTAGGCGGTAGAATGCCATTCAAATGGTGTAAAGGGAGCGTTGCCTTTCTGCATCGGTGAGAGGAACGTACTGCATGAGTGATAATTGCTTGTTAGTTGGAGCCGTATACACCATTCAGCAAAGTAACGGGCGCGGACGAGAGCAAAAGCATCGCCTTAGCAAACGTACCCGGCCGCCGCCCAGGGGGGGGGGGGGGGGGGGGGAAGGAAGAGATCCGCCGCATCACTTACCATCACACCCATCACCTTACGCTTACGCACCACCCCTTGTTCGTCCTTCTCCACTTCCCAGATGTACTGATCACCCCTTCCGAGCACTGCGTCCTCTGAAACAGGGATGAACATCTTGCCACCTTTGTCCAGCTGCTGCACAAGCGCCTCGGTGATGTTCGGAGCGGCGGCACCGACATGAATAGCACCGTACGGTGCGTCTTCCGGCCAGCCGAGCCTTCCGTCGCCACAGACCATCTGTATATGGCCTTGTTCGAGCTGCGGTGCTAGTCCATCGGCTTTCAGGTTTCTTTTGCTCTGTTCCACGAGTTCTCGTATGTGCTCGATCCCAACGACCTTGCCATGTCCGCCTTCACGTTCAAGCATGCGGTGGAAGATGGCCGCCGTGTATCCCGACCCTGAGCCGATGTCGAGCACCGCCTTGCCCTGCCTGATAGAGGACTGCAGCGACTCGGCAGCGTACGCGTGCATGTGCGGTGCGCTTATCGTCGCGCTGTATCCGATGCTCGATGGCGCATCCTCGTACGCCCTACTGTGCTCTTTGACGTAGTGCGCGCGGTCGGTCTGTGCAAAAGCTTGCGCGACGCATGACGACTTGATCAGCCCTGCGCTTTGCATGTTTGCGACCAGCTCGGCGTTCGTCGCGCCGGTGGAGCGCCAGGCCATTTTGCTAAACCTATTCCTTCCGTTCGCAGGGGAAGAGGTAGGTCAAAGGGCAGCAATTTGTCCCTATCGTGCGCCTCGACGCCGAGTGCCACGACAAGGTGTTGGGGCTGGCAGCGAGTAGCGTTGGCTCCGAGGGTCCGCTCCGCCTCTTTTGCACGTCCACCAAGGAGCCTCGCCGCTTGATAGCGGTCGCGACCATGGACCTCAAGTCAGAGGGTTGAACAGGAGGCGTAAGCCAAGGGACGACTATGCCCCACACATTGTGTACTTGCGCAGTAACCAGTATGACTCTTGGTGCGAGGTACCTGACCGGACGCACCCCAGATGGAGGATCCCATGTGTGTACGGCTGCACCTCCACGGAAGTAGCGGACTCGGTGGTCCGTGCACCCGCGCAGCGGCGCGTCACTGCTGAGGTGCGCCGTAAGGAGAACTGATCCGTGCACGCGGCTCACCTGGGTCTCGCCACTTGACCAGTCGCAAAGCCAATATTGCGCAACCGCCAACCATTCCGCCCTGAATTGGCTTTTCCAAGCCAGCGAAAGCGAGAGTTTGAGTACTGTTTGAGTGTACAAGTCGGCCCATCCTCTAACGTTCTGCCTGGCGGCGGTCTGCTGACTCTCAGTGTCAAGTAGATTGGAAGTGCAGAGGAAGAATGAACACCCGGAACCCGAAGCGGGCGCGCCCATAGGTAATAGTCACTGGACTGTACGAGTATATTGAATACACTACGTACAATAACAGGTTGGCGCTCCCCTATTGCCTGTCGCCAGACCCTCATGTTCATCAGTTCTCTCGGTATTGCTGCAAGACCCTCAGGTCAACACAGCAACGGGTTATAATCTCCACGTCTTCGCGACTCGTTACCAATCCCGCCACGAAGACCGTCTATTTCAGCATCCATCCATGACCTGATCGCGTCTCTTCTTTGGGTCGCTCATCTATTCATTCATCCATACGTCGCGAGTCACGTTCACGTTTGCACACGCATCGCCCTACTCCATCGAGAACGCACACCATCATGGCATCCACCGAACCCACCCCCGACCCTGTCACTGAGGCCAGCGCACAGGCTGCCGCAACCAAGGAGCAGCCGCGCGAGTCGGCAAAGGAGGCCGCGCAGAAGGCCGGTGAGGATGCAAAGAACGAGCCCAATGGTGCCGATGAAGGCGAGGGTGAGGAGAAGGAGGGCGATGAGGATGACGAGGACGAGGTGAGTCTGCGTCACAGAAGGGCGGACGCCCCCATCCAATGGTGCAATCATTCGCAGGAGAACTCATCGCTTTGCACCCGCTCACTTTAATAGGAGGACGACGAGGACTTCGTCGAGAACCCCGAAGATCAAGACATCGAATATGAGTGAGCAAGCGCGCTCGACGCGGTCACATTTCTCTTCAGGCACGCCTTTTGCATATGGGTTACTGAGCGCACCTCCCCTCCTCATTATGCTTCCTTCAGCGAGAATGAGGACGATGACGAAGGTAAATTGCGAGAGAGACTTGCTTGAGAACAGAGCCATGTGGCACGTGCTGACGAGTTTCCTTAACAATTTTTGCTACGCGACACTTTCGCTGACAATCAGAGGGCGATGAAGGTGCGTGTCGCCTCCTATATCGTGATGCTCATCGCGTAATTTTTACCCGTCCTGACGCATCTTTTCCATCCCACCTTTCAGAAGAGGATGACGGAGAGGACGATGAAGAGGAAGATGAAGAAGACGAAGGCGAAGACGAAGGCAAAGGCGAGAGTGCAGGGTACGTCTGTGGAGGCGTGCTCAATTCCAAGATTTGGTTTGCGTCTGACTTTGTTTCTCTTGGCGTCTCCCCCCTGTCGGTGACGACTGCTTTAGCATCAAGCGGAAAGCAGACGATGAGGGTGACAACGAAGACGCGCGCAAAGCCACAAAGGCGGACGACTGAATGTAGGCGTTCAGTCAGTCTCCCGCCGTTGGGGAAGTGCCCGCGTGAGCATAAGCTAGGTGGTCGTTGTGAAAGCAGGCGAAAGCGCTGGGAAGGCGTTGTCATGACGCGACAGCGAGGGATGGGCTTCATACAGCTGGATAGTGCTGCGGCCTCATCTCACAAGGGCGTCATCTCACGCTATCTGCACAATGCTTCTATCTCTTGCATGTCAAGTTCCTCCATTTCTCAATCGCGTCCAATGCAACGCGTACCCAAACTCTCAATTCAGACAATTGGACCGCAATCCGACACTGTTTCTTGTGAATTGCCGGCTGGTTCAAGAATGTGCGTGGGCGTCTAAAGTTTGTCATGGCGAGCAACTTCGTGCAGGGCTATCGCTTCATCAGTGAGCAGTGCCAGCCTTCCATCTAGGAGTCTCAAGGCTGAGCCTGTGTCCGACCTGACCGAGTACCTTAACTCTAGCGCTCTTCACATGCGCTTCGTCGTGTAATCCCGCCGCGGGCCGATCCTGCCGAATACCTGTTCCCTCAGTCGCAATTACATCAGTCGTGCCCCAGGTCGAATCGGACGCAAAGAGTCGCCACATCCCCGCGATTGCATTCATCTTGTACCATCATGCGAGCAGCGAGAAAGCTGACCCACGACGCCATGTTCTCCAGGAAATCTCGCCAAATTCAATGCTGAAGAGGGAAGCCGTGCGGGCGAGGTCGACCATGTCGGTTGAACGACCAGCTTTCTCGTGTTCAGGAAGGTTGCGGGCCCCGCAGCCTCAAATGACTGCGTCATGATTCGTGTACAGACGTGTCCTTGGGAGGACCCTGTGAGCAAAAAGCTTGGAGTAACCGAAATAGTCGGGTTGATCATGTGGATGAGTCACTAGTCACTCTCTTCTATACGCTACCTTACTCAGACATCCAATGGCCCAAGAGAAGAAACGATATGAACAAGGCCGCCGAGGCGGAACGTCGCTTTTTGTCTCTCATCCTTCACACCGCCGCATTAGACAGTAGACTGGCCGCCATCTCTTTTCTCTCCCTCTTTTTTCCTCCTCCCTTTCAGGTAGTGCCTGGCAACCGGATGCGATCGGTCTCTTGTTGTGACCGTCAGCGCTGAGAGAAGACCAATCCGCAGAGAGGCACTCTATGGAGGCAGGAATATTGTCTAGATTCATTGAAGTCTGAGGAACATACAGGTGCATATAATAATATAGTCGAGCATGAGGGATATTGGGGGGAAAGAGGGGAGAAGATGGTGGATGTACCGATTGTGTGCCCCATGCCGCGGCAGGGCTGAATGCACCGTCACGTGATCCTTTCATTTCTTTACAACACTCGATTATCAGCCTCAAATGAAGGTATTCTCAAGAAGAACATCTTCAAACTTCAACTACATCGAATGCTCCTCATCGCTTGGCCTTGACAGCTCTAGGGAAGTTCGCCGAAGAACGAGGAGAAAGAACCCGTCCGTCAGAAGAGTGTCGATCCAGTTCAAAGGATGCCAGACTCTTCAACTTCGGCGACGATTGCCGCAAAGGGCACGTCAGTCACTCAATGGGCCTGGCGAGCTTCCAAGTCCATCGGCCTCAACACCGGTACGCCCTCCTTCTCGGCCGTCTCAGGTTTCGAGCAGGTCACGGGCCCGACTAGGGTGTTCCAGTATAGCCCAGATGGCAGCACCTTCGCGGCTGCGATGGAAGAGTTCACCCGACTCGTCGACACGCGAGAGGCATCCAGCTCCAAAGTCAAGCTGGACTTGCCTGCTTCCAAGGTCGTCGCGCTGGAGTTTAGCCCCAAAGGCAACTACCTTTCCACGTGGGAGCGTCCAAATAAGCTTGAAGATGGTAGCATGAGCCGGAACTTGCGAATCTGGAATTCCAACTCGGGGGAGGAAATTGCTTCCTTCGAAAGAAAGACGCAGGAAGGGTGGTGAGTAAGAAACGCACGCGACGTCAATAGTGAATACATGCTCACGTGGGCGCTGCTTTGCAATTTTATGGACCGATGGCAGTTTCTTCCAATTTACTTCCACCGAGGACTATTGCGTGCGCCAGGTCACGGGGGAGCTGCAAGTGTACAGCCCGAAGACGATCTCCGACGGGGTCGTCGGCAGGCTCAAAGTGGACGGGATGACTTCGTTCCAGTTGGGTCCAGGCGAGAAACCAAGCATAGCGGTCTTTTGTGGGGAGCGCAAGGTGAGCATATAGGCCTTTCACCGACATAATTCACATTTTGACAATGAAACGTCGTCTGAACTTGGCATTCATCATCACCAGGGTGCGCCCGCTTCAGTACGGATCTACTCCCTCGCCTCTCTTCTATCCTCTACAGATATGCCCGCTTTGCCACTCTCACAAAAGACATTCTTCAAAGCAGACAAAATTCACTTCAAATGGAATCGTTCAGGATCAGCATTACTGTTCTTGACTTCGACAGATGTCGACAAGACGAATGCAGTGAGTATAGACAGGTAGCCTGGCAGCGCTTCTGCTTCGCGTGGCCCATTGCTAATGCCGACATGCTGTCACCATATTCAGTCATATTATGGAGAGTCGAACCTATACATGATGACGGCGAATGGGTCGTTCGACTGCCGAGTTTCCCTAGACAAGGAGGGGCCCATTCACGACTACGAGTGGAGTCCCAACTCGCGCGAGTTCGTCGTAATCTACGGCTTCATGCCTGCCAAGGTCGTCCTCTTCTCCTACAAGGTCAACGTCATCGCCGAGCTGGGCACGCAGCCGCGCAATTTTGTCGCATACAACCCGCAAGGAAGGCTGATCTGCATCGCAGGCTTTGGCAACCTCAGCGGCATGGTAGACGTTTGGGACCGGGAGAACTTGGCCGGGGGAAAGATCTACAGCTTTGATGGGAGCAACAGTAGCGTCTGCCAGTGGAGTCCTGACGGCCACTTTCTGCTCACCGCCACGCTGAGTCCGCGCCTCCGCGTCGACAACGGCGTCCGCATCTGGCACTGCACTGGCAATCTTGTGCACATCGAAATGATCAACGAGCTGTATCAGGCTGGCTGGCGGCCTGCGCTCAACATGGCCGCGGCATCCTTTCCGCAAATTATTCCTCCGGCACCAGCGCCTTCACCCGCAGCGGCTGCGTACATTGCTGAGAAAGCAGCCAAGCCCAAGGTGACTGGCACGTACCGCCCGCCTGGCGCGCGCGGGACGGCGACACCGGACATTTTCAAGCGCCACGATCTAGAAGCTGGCGGCTCTGGCGCTTCCTCGCCTGGAAGCCTTTCGCGCAACAACTCGATTCCCGGCGCGCCGAGTGGAAAGGGACGAGGCGAGGGTGGATCATATACCGCGCCTGGTGCGGGTAACAAGGGTCGGCGGGCCGTCCCTGGCGCGCCTGTCCCCGGCGCACCGCCCAAGAGCTCAGGAGCGGCAATTGCGGATAAGAAGGTTAAGCAGCCGAAGAAAGGTGCCGGCGCCAATGGCTCGCTGGCGTCGACAACGACAACGGCAGCTGCGCCAACTGCAGCGGAAGAGCCGTATCCTGCTGTCTCTGGCGCTGCCGAGGTGTCAGGCTCGTTCAACAGCGCGCAGGAAAAGAAGGCACGAAACCTGACTAAGAAGCTTAAGGCGATCCAGGAGCTGAAGGAGCGACAGGCCAAAGGCGAGAAGCTCGAGCAGACACAGGTGCAGAAGATCCAGGCAGAGGCGGAAATCAGAGCCGAGTTGGCCGCGCTTTGACCCTAGCCTGCGCTGGGCTTAAACTTTAGATACAGTCGACATGTGTAGCATAGCCAGGTCGCTACTGGTGCCACCGCCATCTTGGGTGGAACATCGTACAGAGTTCATCTATGATGAGTCATATTGTGTTGCGTGTGTATGCATATGATACAGAATGCTAATCGAGTGTGCAAGTGCGGGTACAAATGCGCAGTGGTCAAGGGTCATCGTGCACGTCGTACCAGCCAGAACGCAAGGCATCGAGAATCTTGAGTAGACCAGTGGCGCCGGTCCTTGCGCCCGCGGCGGCATCTGCGTCCGAGGCTAATTCGGCCTGTATGCGCACAACTTCGGCGCGAGCCTGCACATCGAGTCGTCGCAGAACGTCGCGCGTGTAGTTGAACGATTTGGTCGCTTCGCGCATGTACGAGACGGCATACGACTTAGTTGCCAGATCAGTCGGACGCTGCTTGAGGACGTTGAGGATTTGGCGATTCGGCGCTGTGGCCATGACTGAACTGGAGCCAAACGGTGCTTCTGCTTCGTCGCCTGCAATTATGGGCCTGAACGGGTCTGCAAATGATACCACCGGAGGAGTTGACGTTCCGGCTGGTGAGGTTGATGAATCGAGCGCTCTGGAGACATGAGAGATCGGAGATATAGCGACACTGCTGCGAATGGCGTGAATAATTGGGAAGCTGAACTTGCCCTCTGTCAAGTCCTCGGCGAAACCCTTGTTATCAGCGTATTCGGACGACTGCAAGTTCATGTAGTCATCGCGGATCTGAAAGAGCAGGCCAATGAGGTCCGCGAGCGGTAGCAGATTCGGCGGCGATGCCCGCCTTGGCTTCGGCGAAGCATCGTTAGAAGCAACGAAGAGGGGACTGTGTGCCATCATGAGCTTGAGCGCTATTCGGAAGAGTCCACCCGTCTTGTTGATCACCATCTCAACATATTCCTCTTCAGTCGGGCAGGTGAGAGAGTCGCGCCAGAAAAGATCCATGCCTTGGCCTCTGTGCAGATTAATCATCTCTTCGGCAACGAGACGCTCCACGCGACCAGCTGCGAGCGGATATGCCGAGTCATGCGAGGAAGACATCTTGAAGATCTCTTCGAAGACTAGAAAGTAGACGTAATTGGCCGTGTTGATGGTTTGTGGAATGCCGTAAATCCGATGTGCAACGGGTATACCGCGACGCAAGTCTGAATTATCTTCGACATCGTCCATGAGCAGCGAGGCGGTGTGCAGCATTCGCACCACCTTTCGGATGATGTCCAGCTTTGCGTCAGGTACTTGCAGCCACTCGTTGAAAGCATGTATCAGCTGAGAGCGTACTTCCTTTCCCGGGTGCGCATCAAGGTAGGAGTATGGCTCCATGATTGCCTGTTCGTCAAGAGGATGGTCACTCGTCAGCGAATGCTGTTTCTCCTCGACGTAACCGTGTCCGTGCAGCAATCACCTGCTCCTTTGCCTGCGGCCAGTGCGGCTGCTTGCCGAGCCGCGAAAGGATGTCATTGTACCACGCAGCATTTGCATGCGCATGGGTGCTTGGCGAGGTCGACAGGTTCGCGTTTGAGGTGGCAGACTCAGCTTGATGGACAGCAGGTGCACTGCTGCTGCTGCTGCTGCCTCCGGCTCGAGCTGCCATGTCGATCTGGTTTCAGGTGCATTAACTCTGCACCCGTCATTGCATCGTCGAGCTCACAGACACGACGTCAAAGACAAGTGGGTCAAGCGGCCCGCCAGTATGTTCGCCAGTCCTCGACATCAATCAGTGTTTGATTGAGTAAAGCGATACTAAGGAGTAGTTGATGACGGTGTGTGCGCAATATCTGGCGCGTACCTCTCCTGCCCGGATGATGAGGCGCAAGCGCGCAACAGTCGCAGCAGTGCGAGGACTAATCATCGTCCCCTCCCCATGTGGCTGCGGTCTGTAACGACTTCGACCTCTTTCTATCCAACCTCCCCATGTTCCCGTCACACACGAAATCTGTACATTCGTCATTGGAGGGTCTGTCGCTTTGTGCACAGACGACCACGCTGTCGCAGTCGCAGTCGGGCGTTCATTCGCATACTGTTCTCCATTAATATGACCGAGTCGGTAGGATCGAGTAGCAACATGCATCTCGACCAACGCCACGCTCACATGGGGGCTCGGAGAACGGGCCGAGCTGCCTCCTCAACATGGCGCCGAAGTCTTCTTGCAGCAGGCCTATGTTTCTCTCTGGCATCGACGACGTTCGCCTCCCGCGAGATGCTCCAGAACCTCCCGTTACCGGGCGATGCTCTTCGTCTCGTGCAACCTTCATGGGAATATGCTCCTCGCGGCCCACAAAAACTGCGATACCATCATCGCTACTCGCAGAACACCCTCGCCAGCCGCATCGCCTCCGGCTCCGGTCATGATCCGCAGGAGATGAGCGAAGGGAAGAAAGGGATCGCGGACTCGGGTCTGTCTTGGGAGCAGGTCGCTGCCTTGGCGCCAGAAGAGCCTTTCCCGATGGGTAAGAGCGAGAATAGAATTATCAATTACGGAATGGTACGTCTGCAAGGGTTCGAAATTCTATCATTGCCTCTTCTCGGTCTTATATGCTCATCTGGTTCTTGCAACTGCGGCCTGCAGCTCATTCAGCATCGCCTGGCCCATCCTCAAGAAAGGGATCGATCCCATCAGGCGCCACAGCAGCGGCGCGAAGGAGCAGTGGGTTCTGGAGCGACGGATGCCCCCTCCGGCCAAGAACCCCAGACGGAAGAGAACGCATCAGCACGATCAAGAGTCTCGACAAACAATTCCCCTCCACGGGATTCTCGCCGCAATGTAGATGCTGCCGATGCAAATGCGGCGGCAGACCTCGAGGCATCGGCACCTAACCGCGCCTTAGGCAGGAATGCACGGCGGGCGCAAGAGGCCATGGCGCAGCGACTTCAGACTACCTGAGCTCTCATGTCCCATTCATGAACATGATTTACGACACGCTGGTTTCGCAGCATGATAGGATGCTACCCAAGACACGCATGTATCGGAGGGATTAACGTCTTAATAGATTTCATCTCTCCTCATTAGCGCAACGGCTTTGCACTATCGGCAGCCGTACACATCCTCCGCGACCTTCATCCACTGGCTCCCTGGCACCATGTACTGAGCCGCATAATCTCGTTCCAGCGGATGCAGGCGCTTTCCCACCAACACAAGACTGTGCAGCGGTGCACCGAATGCCTTCATAGCGCGCTGTTCAGCCCGCGCTGCGCGACGCTGCGCCAGCTCGGCCTCACCTGCGTCCGGCACCTCCTCCTCGTCCTGCGCTTCTTCTGCCACCAGCTCCTCGGGCGACGCGGACGAGAGGGCGAGCAGCTCGTGCAGCGTCCCGCTGACGATCAGCTCCCCGTCTTGCTGCTTGCTATGTGATGATGATGGCGAAGAAGAGGAGTTTCCCATTCTGCATAGTGCAATCGCCAACGTTGAATGGGCCAGCATGTATTTTGTCTGATGATGAAGGTCTGCCTCGAGCAACTGCGTGATGAGCTGCGGTATTAGCATGTACCTTGGTGGTTGGTATACCAAGCGACCTCTGTCCAAGGGAAACAGATGAAAGTATTCTCAGACAACATGCAGTTGTACCTCGCGCATAGCCCCACCAACCTTGCCATGTCCTCCTGGCTCTGTTCGCGAACTTTAATGTCACCCAAGCACAGCGTGTGACAGCCTATTCGGAAATTTTCGCCGATTCGCTCGAGCCAGCTGTCGGGCTTCCACTCATCTGTCCAGAATGGGATGCTGACTGTTTGTCCAAAGTTGTAGCCCTGTAGCCCGCTGCTTCCGATTGCCGTCATGATGCTGGCATTGTGGATGACCTTGACGACTACCTTTTGCGAGCGCGCACGCAGGATGAGGTCCGTGTGCGTCGTTGCGCTGAGAGGATCGCCGACGACGAGAAAGGCAACGTTGCCTATCTTGGACTGTTGGATGATCAGGTCATCCGCCTGCAGTTCCACTGTCTCACGCGTGGCCAGTGTCACCGATTTCCCATACAGCTTCTCGAGCCGTTGCTGGTAGTCCGGGACCATGAGGATTGACGTGTAGGCTTCGAGGTAGACATGTTCGCAAGACTTGATTGCTTCCAGACCCTTGAGCGTGATGTCTTGCTCGTCGGCCAAGCCGAGGCCGATCACAAAGAGGACCATCCTTACGCTTCCCTTGGACCCGAGAGATGTGCAGGGTCAGCTACTCTGACACGCCCTCGTGTCTTTGCTGCTGGCTTGACCAGTCTTGGCGCACCACAGAGATAGGTGACGACGAGCACTTTCTTCATTATTTTTCGGCTTTCGGAGAGAGAAAGCGCGCAGCCATGAAGGACGTCGTAGGCGCGCATTTGCATTGCGCCGCAGACGGGTTGTCGATGGCTATCACATCATCACACTTGTCACCTGACTCGCATCCCCGATACATGTCCATCCTCATTCCACACAGCCTCACCTCTGACGGCGTGCTCCTGAGCGCAGCCAACAGGGGCAACACAAACACCTACCTTCCAGGTGACGTGTGTCCTTGCGGAAGAAGCCGACTCGAAGGGAAAGCCCGGAGAGAATCGAGCGCGCAGCACAGCTCGGCTTTTACACATTCAACGCTGCCCAAGCGTCGGCGTACGCTGCTCGGCCCTCTATCTCATCCCCAGGGGCAAGGTGAGAGTATACAGGGACGGATAGGAAGAGTTGCTTTGATCTAACGCTGCGCCGACGTACATCATCTTTCGCTACCGCTGCCGGGCGTGACCTTTCCTCACCCGCCCCACAGCGCCGTGTCATCATGTCAGTCCCGCGTCGTAGCTACGACCCGCGGCGGGTCTGCCTTATGCCGCTCCCTTCCCTACCGCCTTTTCTGCGGAACCACAAGCGGTCAGTGATGATCTACCTGTCCGGCGCGCTCTTCGCTATCGGCTGGTGGCTTTTCATCGACGCCTGCATCCTCTCCAGTGCCACATGGAAACGTGCGCTGCCCCCTGTACCCGGCGGACCGGACGATGACCACACGCCACCGCCCGACGCGCCGTTCGTCTCCATCAACTTTGCCGACTGGGTCCCAGGTCTGTGCGGCACTCTCGGCATGATCGTCGTTAACCTGATCGACAAGTCGCACCTCACTGAAGACGGCTTCAGCTTCGGCAGCATGTCAGGCGGAGCAAGCTGGAGCAGCGACAACGTTGCCTGGCGCGCCCGCCTGTATCTCTTCCTCGGGTTTGCTCTTCTTGCTGGCGGCCTCGCAGGCAGTCTCACAGTGCTCGTAATCAAGTACCTTGTCCCCGCTTACCCAGCCGGATACGACTACTACGGACTTGCGAATGTCGGGCAAAATGCTGCCATCATGCTCAGTACCGTCTTCCTATGGAGCGCGCAAAGCGCCCCGAACGAGTACGAGTATAACCTCACCATCTAGGTTCTTTCCCGTTTGAAATCCAATCACAAGGAAAACCAGGAGTGATGCTGTGAAGACGGGATAATGCAAAGTGTGTGATGCGACTATGCTACAGGGCGACGCTGCCTGGTGTAATGATACAGATTGCCTAGGGGGATACGTTCAAATTTGCTCTTTTGCTCTTCTCTTGTTCTTGCTGCGGCTCTCGCTGCTGCTGAGGGCGCGGCCCTTGCGGGCTCTGTCTGCCCGCTTCTTCATCCCCGCGTTTACGCTTGCTTCGCGAACAAATATTGCAGTAGCATTCACGCAGTGGCGCGCTGACGTGGTACCAGATGTTTTCCATCTTCTGCAGCGTTCCGTTGCCGAGCTGCAGGATGGAGGTGGGCACGCGTGGTTGCCAGATCACCGACTTTGGCGGGTCATTTTCATTGGGATACACCCAGCATACAGGGTCTTGCAACCGCTCAAGGAGATCTGATGCTTGCCAATTGTTGCCACAATGGAAGCGATCCTCTGGAGCGCCAACAGCTTGGATGTGGTTCGCCAGGTTTGTGTATGCGCTGCAATCGGGGAGGCAAAAAGTTCAGACAGAGTGCGACGATAGAGCTTCCCCCTTCGCATGAACGAGTCTCACTTCTTCAGCGTTTCTTCCACCCAAATCCACCAGCGGTGCTCCATCTGGTTCAGCAAGCGGCCTGGTGGAGGCAACGGCGGAAGTTTAACTTCCTCGCTCGAGCCATGTCCTCCTTCCCTTCTTTCTTGATATACAGGCCCGGTGATGCCGAATGCGCTTGGGGGCGCACTTGAAGCCGATGCGAAGCGCTCTACCTGTTCCACGGGCGACATCCAGTGTCCTGCAAAGATCACACCGTTTAAGAGACATGTACTCAACACCCTGCAAGTTGAGAAAGCATTCAGGACATAAAGGGACGCACCTGCATAGAACAGTTCCATGCACCGCTGATCGAGCGCCTGCGCGCGCAAATGCAATTCCCGCTCCACGTCGATATCCTCCTCTGCGAACGGTTCTTCTTCGGATTCAGAGTCCGACCCCATCGCAGCTGCGGCCTCGGAGCGCTTCCTGTTAGCATCTCGCTGTGCAGCATAGCGCTTCCGGAGGACATAGTCTTGGCGAAACCGCTCATACTGGGTCGACATCGCCAGCCAGATCTGTCGAGGAAAGATGCAAATCAGGCTATGTGCGGCTGCAGATCGACGGGGTGATGCAAATGCTCCTCACATCTTCGACAATCCAATGGGCCACCTCCCACGCGCTTCCTTGTCCATATTCGACGTAGTCTTTTCGCGCTCGACTGGCCTTTATCATATTTTTGAGGCTCCTCTCAGAGAGGCGCGGAAAGTGCTTTGCGCTGAAACACGGAGCGACGAAGGCAGTCCTCAGCACGTCGATACACCACGTAGATTACCCGACATCCTTCACTTCTCATTTGCGCTGAAGACTCACACGTTTGGCAAAACGAGGTGAAGGGCTTCGAAGCGACACATGGCGCATGTGTTCGTAGCGGCAGGAAAGCTACGGCGATCTTCGTTCTCTGCCAATGCTGCCCATTCTCCAAGGATCGGCCCTCCCAGGCACACATTGCTGTTTGATCAAAGCAAGAGCATCGCCTCACGCCGGTCAGATGATCACACCACAGGCATGGCACAAGCCAAAGACGGTAGTATAAACGCACCAGCACGAGACTGCTTCTTCGGAATCCGCTAGCACCGGTATTGTATGATCGTCGCACAGCTGCAATCACATGTCAAATCGTACGGACACGCGGTCAAAATCAGCAACTGTGAAGCAGAGGCGCGCTACAATTGCACCCAATTATGCGAACACACCTTGATGACGGACAGTGCAGGCGTGCGCAGCGGAAAGAGCTCGTCCTCCGCAGACTCAGGGATGCCATAGTTGAGGACACAGGCGACACATTGGGAAGAGATGCAGCTGTTTGCAGCTCGAAAGAAACCTCGTTCCGCAACTTCGACAGCCCGTCGCATGTCCGAGACATCGAGGAATTGCTGGTAGACTGTATTCCATCCCGGATGCGCTTTCACTGCAGAATTGCATAGGCATAAGAAGAGAGCATCAGCAATGCAAGGCCTGAAGTCCAGACGCATTCATCAAGCACTCACCTGCCTCTTCCCAAGCTGCGTCAATCTTGACAAGCTCGAGCATATTGGCTCGGAAACGGAGCATCGAGAAGGTCCTCAGAGCCCACAATCGTTCATTTTGTTCCGCCACCTGGTGCAGGGATCTGGGTACGGTAGCTACTTCGTCTAGTGGCCCATAGTAGCTGAGGATCTTGGAAATGAGCGCTGTGGTCAATTTCGGGCGTGTTCGTGGAGCGTCGGTCACGGATGGTGATGTAGCGCGTGCTTTTTGTGCTGATTTGCAGAGCGAGCTTGTCTTGAGGACATTGTGTTGATCTGCCTCATTCGCAGTCATTCCTTCGGAGGTGGACGAGCTGGCGGCTGTCTTGGATGCGCCATCACTTGTGCTGATGGACCGAGCCGGAGAATGAGCCTCGCTGCTGAGCGAGCTATCGCGTGTCCTGGTCGGTGAGACGTCGGACATGATTCTTCGAACTTGCGACCCCAAGCGGCCGGCGATGGCAGGGGCGCAAGGCAGAGTGGATGCCGGGATCGCGTTTTATTACGGCTGCATCGCGGCTTACACAACTGTGGTAGAGACTGGAGCGTCGAGGCTCATGATCTGCGCGGAAAGCGCGAAACTAGAAGGCGTAGAGCTAGGCGATTGGAGGCGGCGTTCCTATGAATGCGACACAAGCCACAGAGGGAAGCGCGTCTGCTCCGGCTAAGCTGGTGAAGGTGCAGAGTAGTTGGCAGCTGCCAACTACTCTGAGATGACATCAATGCGTCGGTGGCTATAGCTGTCCCTTGTCCAGCAGCAGCTCCAGCCATAGATAGATGGAGAGAAGCCTGGGCCGTACGTACGCCGTCGTCACTCTCGTTTCGAAGGTGGCCAGTGCGGGAGGGGAAGGAGGACTGATCCAATGCCCACGCGAAACTCGATGCGCACAGTCAAATGGGCAGTCAGAGACGCGACGCGCCGCGAAACGAAGAGTGGGCCACATAGTACTAGAGAGGAGAGTTCTCATCGGAGACACATCCGTGTTTCACCTACATGTGTACGTGCAGACGTGTTGTCAGAAACGACTCACGATGGTTTAGTGGTTTACACAGCTTGCAGCCTTGCCCGCTGCGCTGGACACGCCGGGACGAGGGAACGGACACGACATTGAGCAAAGGCAATCAAACGGCACGGTGGGTTTGCTGAGCAAACGAGCCGCAAGCACTGGGCGCTGCGTCTGTGTGCCAGCTATTGTACCCTGGACTGTCTGCATACTAGCACGGAAGTTCAGCAAACATCGGAAGGAACAGCACTCTGGATGCGAGGCACGGGATGTTATTACAATGCAAACAAAAGGGCGAAAGAGAAACATGAACAATAACGAAACAACAATGCAATGTTCACTTGGCAGGCTCAGCGCTGGCCTCAACAAACTCATGTGCTTCACTCCGCGTGATGGTGCGGATTGTGCTGATCTTTTGCGCGTTGAACAGCACGCCGTAATGACGCTCGGCCACGGCGACCATCTCAGGGCGCTGGAGCAGTGCGAATATCAAGAGCAAGAGGCGAGAGAAAGAGGCTACGTCAGTTGCGGTGCGCACACTTGGCTCAGCCAACTCCCTTGAACTCACGAACGTGGTGGTAACTGTCGACGAGATCGGATGGTGAGACCGTAAAAATGTCAGAATGTCATCTTCGAGGCTCGAGAAGGCCGCGCGCAACTCACTGAACTGAGCATTTTCGGAGAGCTCGTGAATCATGGCTGGTGGTGAGTTTGAGAAAGTGGAGCCGCAGACATCAGCTGTACTGTGTCTGAGTTATGCCCTTCGATTTAGTGCAAACACACCTGCAACGGCTGTACGGTACTGTGCATCCAAATTGGCGTCGATCTCGTCAAATAGGTAGAAAGGCGCCGGGTCGCATTTCTGAATGGCAAACACTGCATAGAAGAAGCGAATAGAAGTCAGCATTGTAAAGCTTGTGCTGCGACTTTTTGAAGACACATGCCAGTTGCGAGCGCCACGAGCGACTTTTGACCGCCTGACAGTTGCTGGACTCTGATGCCCTCATCCACTTTGGAGTTGAAAGAGACCTGTCGGTGTGCAAATACATCAGCAACGAAACGAGGAGTCAATGTGCTCCAAGTCGTGTACTGTGTCCCCTCACCTTTATCGCTACTCCGGTGTAGTTGTCAATGGAGCTCTTGGCGTCATCGCCATCTATGTCCATCGCATCGGGGTTCTGTCGGGAGAGGGCACTCAGCTTTCGTGCTGCTTGGAAGGGGATTCGAATTGTACCGACCTGGTCCACTCTGCGCTGCATGATCAGCCGCCCACGACCCGTCGGCACCAGCTTCTCGAAAATGTCTTCAAAGTTCTTCGAGACTTGCTTGAACGTCCGCTCGATGGCCTCATCTTTGCGCTGATCCAGGTGCTCGATTAGCTCTTGAATGGACTCCGCTGAGCTCTCTAGCTCGGCCTTGCGGTCATTCAGCTGATCTCTCTGCTTTGTAAAGTTGTTCCACTGCTCGACAGCTTTCTTGTTGACGTGTCCATACTGTTTCAAGCTCTCATTGACCTTGTGGAGCATTTTCAGAAGCTGATAGGCCAATATCATCGTAAGAAGTCTACAAAAGCGCACCAAGCTCGCTTCACCGCAGCTCACCTTGTCCGGCTTCATTGTGGAATACTTGCCATTCTCGAATGCCTCTTCTGGGAGAACGCCCAAATCACGAATATTTTTGTTGCACTTGTCGCGCTGTTCGGCAAGACGCTGCTTCTTGCTAACATACCGCTCAATGCCCTTTTGCTGCTTTCCGACATATCGCGCCAATTCGCCTTGATCTGCGCGTAGTGTCTCGAGTTCGCCTTCGGCATCTCGCAAGCTTTGAGACAGTTCTTCCAATGCAGCAGATGTCCGTGTTGCAATGACTTCTTTTTCGCTGATCCTCTTGGAAAGTGTAGCCAGATCACGCTTCCGAGCTGTAACATCAGAGTCCTGTACAGCGCCCGCATCCAGGTTCGGGCCTATGACGGTGCTCAAGCCTTCGAGTTGCGCTCTGATCTCCTCCCTTCTGCGCTTAAGATCTTCGTCAAGGTCAATCTCGAGACTCGTCTTGGTGCTTTCAAGCTGTAGTCACAATCACGCCCTTCCACTCAGCTTTTACGTTCATGGAACGCACGGCCTGGGACTCGAAACTCACCTCTGAGACTTGACGAGTCAGATGCTTCAGTGACTTGTTGAGTTCTTCGCTGCGAGTGTTGAGCTGCTCGAGGGTGGTGGCCTCTTCAGACGACAGGCCATCACTCAGCGCTGACCTGAGCTCTTGTTCCAACGATTGGACCTGCTCTTGGGTCGTGGTGAGGTCGATCATTTGCTCTGCCTGAATGCGTTCAAGTCCCTTCAGCCTGTCAAAGCAGCTCTCCTCCTCCCTCCTGAGCCAGGTCAATTGGTCGAGCAAAGGGCCTCTGGACTCGGTGAGCTGCCGTCGCTTCGTTTCGACTGTCTGCATTTGCCCAAGATGAGACGTGACCTCTTGCTCGAGCCGCACGATTTGTTGCTTCAAAACATCGAGCCTGTCATTGCCAGCAGATACCTGATCCTTGAGTCGATGGTAGAATCTGGCCGCATCGATTCGGCTGCCCCTTGGGTCGTGGAAACCGCCAGACAGCGCACCTTTTCTCTCGACCTTGTCCCCATCTAGCGTGATGGCGTCGACGCGGTGACTGCGCACATAAGCCCCGGCAATTTCGAGGTTGGGACAGATGATGGTTTTTCCAAAAACCTGCTCCATGGCGGGCCTGTACCTAGCTTCGAACTGGATCTTCTTGATCATGAGCACAGCATCGTTGGCTTGCGGAAAGTCGATGTTGCGCGACTTCAACCTGTTGAGCGGCATGAAGGTGACTCGCCCACTGCGCTCCTTGTTCATCACATCGACAACTTTTGCTGCTGTCTCGTCGGTATCGACAACGATGTGAAACAAGCTTGTGTTTGCAGTCACCTCCACCGCAGTTTTGTACTTGTCATCCACTGTGAAGAGAGAGTATAGCGGGCCGTACACACCCGTCAGGCCCAGACGGGAAGCTATCTTTTCTGCCGCAGAGATGCCGCTTGCAGTGGCCTTGTCCATGGTGCCAGCAAGCGTGCGCTGCGCTACATTTAGCTGATCACGAATGAATCCCAGCTCTGAAGAAAGCTTGGCCTCTTCGTTCCAGATCTCTCTGCGATGTTGACGCGAAATCAGCTTCACATGTTCAATGCGAATGGCACACATTTGGCTTACTTTTTCTGCTCATTTGCAGTGTCCCTCTTTTCCTTTGCAGCGCGCCATTCCTTTGAAAGTGATTGGAGTAGCTCCTTGCGCCCCTCGATGCGTTCACTGGTCTCTCCCCGTCTCTGCTCTGCCTCGTTCAGCTTGGTGCGTGCATTTTGTATCTCATCCTTGGTCTGCTCGATCCGTTGATATTGCGCCTGCGAGTATTGCTGCAAATCGGCGATTTGACTCCGGAGCCATTTGTCGCGCTCGGCTTTTGATTTAAACTGGGCGGCACGGCCCTGCTTGCTGTGTAGCGTCCGAATGCGGGCCTTGATCCTTTCCAGCTCCTCTCTCACACTGCTCAAATCCTTACCCCTTTCCTCCCATTGTGGCTTAATGCTCATCAGCTCAGCCTCTTTGTTATTGATCTGCGCGTCGAGGTATTCAAGCTCTTTCTGTGCCGCTTCACGATCAACGGCAGCGTTGTCGCCAGCCTCCTCCATCTCTGAGACAAGCATCTGCAGCTCAGCTAGGGCTTTGGTGAGCTCTCTGCGACCTTGCTCCGCTTGTGCCTTCTCCACCTGACGTTTCTCAATGTTTTGACGAAGAATCGCTACCCGCTCTTCCAGGTTGAGGGCAACTTTGCTGGCTTCGTTGTATTCTTGAACCTGAGCGCTGGATGATCCTAATTCCTTGACCCGCTCTTCCTCCAATCTCTCGAGGACCTCGGCAACGTCTTCCAGCTCTCGTTGGTAAATGGTGTACTCGAGACATCTACGCTCCTTGTCTCTCTTGTAGTATTCGCGCAACTCCTCCTTGTCTTCGTCGAGCTCTGCAATCTTTCCCTCGATATAGTCCAGCAGGTCGTGGATCTTTGCACGCTTTCCTTCAGTGTCCTCCATGATTTTGAGAGACTCTGACCTGCGCTGTTCGTACACCCTTGTCCCGGCGACTTCTTTGAGCAGGTCCAGACGCTCATGGTCTTTTGCATTGGTGAGGTGAGTGATGCGTCCCTGTGGTACGATGTAGTACGGATTTGCGCGCGAGAAGCCCGCTGCCTCCAGCAGGTTGCCGACATCTGCTTTGCTTGCACTACGCCTGTCAATACTGTACTCGTCTTTCTTCAGTCCGATGGTTCTTCGTAGAATGACTTCTTCCCCGTTAGTAGGGAAGCGATTATCCGCATTGTCAAAAGTAATCTCAACAAAGGCAGACAGCGTCGTTGATGTTGACGATGAGGAGTCATGCAGAAGCCCTTGTCGCTCCTCTCGAGTCAACGTTGCATATTGGTCGGAAAGCACAAACCTGCATGGGCATGGCTGTCAGTTACCTCGAGCTGTCAGCTGCTGAAAGAGAGCCTATATGCGCATACCTGATAGCTGCAAAGACAAGAATAGCTCTTTGATGTAAATACGCTGAGCATAGGATATGATAGCGGCAGCCGCATCTCACCAGAAAAGAAGTTGCTCTTTCCGCTTCCATTTCTCCCTACGATGACATTGTGGCCCGGACTGCAAACAAGCGGCCAGGTAGAAGTAATCAGGCTTCACTGTCTGAGCCCAATTCTGGCCGGGTTTGCGAACGTACCTGAAAGGGTCGACCGCAGTTTGATCCTTGTAGCTCTTGAACCCCTGGATCTGAATCTGCTTGATGTACATTTTGTCGCTGAGCGGTCTTCAAGTGGGCACCTGCCTCGCGAACGGCCAAGTCTGGAGTATCACAAATGTAGTCATACGCACCGCAATGAATGTGGTAGTACGGCGATTACAGATCCCAAGAAGTTACCTACGTGAAGCTCAGGACCAAGACCATGTATGAAATGATGGGAACTGTAAACGGCGATGCTTGCACTGAAGGATTGCGTCGCGTGTCCGCGTCGATTGACTTCCGTATTGGGAAGAGACGCGACAGAGGGACGCGTCGCGTCCCGCACGGCAAGACGCCAAGGACACGACCACCCCACAACGGATGCAATTTAGGGTTACCAGAGAACAGCGATAAGGCGATGAAGCGTGCCAGCTAGTATTAGACTGCTACAAGAGGGGCAATCCACCATACGTAACCCCAACAAGCTGCATGCAAAGCATTCTCGAAATTAAATGAGGCAGTGATGAATGTGAATACAGGAGCAAATATTGCATATGGTGCATGAATCCCATGACGCAACACACCCAAGTGCTGGTGGTATGAATACAAATGACAACAGTGCGTATGACGTAGGAGCTGCCAAATTGGCAATGCCTAAGGCACCGCAACGGTCATGACCAGCACCACGACGGTCAGAAGAAAGCAGATACAGAGCGCGCGGAGTGCTGCTTTTTGCTGTTCCCGTCGCAAATTTTCGTCTAGAACCGGCTCGGTGTGGACGGCGAAACCGGTGGCTTGCTTGACTCGTGTCCAGGCACTGCGCATCGCAGAGACATCCACGGCAACACGCATCCAGCCAGGGTTGGTTCCAGCCATGGACATGACAGAGGTAGTAGGGGTATTATGCGTCTGCGCTTGCTGCGATGGTGGTAATGCGGTCGTTGCTGCACCAGCACCTAGATCAGCAAAGAAGGTTGGCTTGCCGATCAGTGCGACCTCGAAAGGCAAGACCGGGATGCGCCGCGACTTGAGCGAAGGACTTGCAAGAAGTAATGCAGGCGGAGAGGGCGCCATAATGGGGCTCGTCGGCGGACTCGCGGCGGATGAAAGATCTTCGGTCTTTTGCCGAGCTGCAGTAGACCCAAGAGATTCGGCCCCTGAGGCTGCAAATTGCAGCAGCTGCGAGGGTTGGCTTGTGGGTAAAGAAGCAGCAGAAAAAGCATCTGCTCTGCTTGTGGACGACAGTGCCTGCGATGCAGGCCGCGCTCTCCATAAATGCATACGCGTCAGGAGTGACTCCAATTCTGGTGCCATCCAGCGTTGTCGAGCTGATCGATCCTGCTCCTCGGCAAGGATGCGCTCGGAGAGCGCATCTTCGTCACCAGACTCGAGCACCGAAAGGATCTCGGCTCCACGATGGATAATCTCTGGCTCTGCAGGCTCACGCTTGCCTCGCAAGCTGAGCCAGACGCAGATTCCAGTCCAAGCGGCCATTGAGTAACCTATCCCTGCGCACCACAAAGGAGCGAGGAGCAGGCGGTACCACCGCGAGACCGTGCCAGAACTATGAGGACCGACGTAGAGCGGAGACGGTTTCAGCGCCAAGAGGACGGAGAAGAGGATGGCAACTACGGTGCAAGTGATGCCGACGCCTAGTCGCCCACGCTCTGTGTGCTTGCTGAGATTCTTGGCCTTTGAGAAGAAGAACGCAGGAACGACATGACAGTTGAGATACGATACGACCGCTTGGACTGTCTCTCCAAACGCATCCGGTTGCATTGATATGAGAGCGGCGACGCGGGCAGCACGAATGGTGCTTTCTGGAATCAGCCCAAGATCGAGCATCCATGCGAGGCGAGGACTGGCATGATGTCTGTCGGGTTCGTTCCGGTGCGACTGTTTGGGCGCTTCGCTCTCTGCAGGGCCCAGGTATGTGTCGAGAATGCGTAGCATTTCTCTCCGCAATGGTACAAAGTGCGGGCTTTCAGGTCCGTGACGGATTGTGGTCGTCGGACATACTTCCCTCCGATGGAGAGACCCGCTCTTGGCAGAGGCGAGCGAGCTGAAGTACCGTTTCTGCCAGCTGTAGAAGCTGGCCAAAAAGTTGACTGCGTCCAGCTCGTCGCCATGGTCTGCGCTGACATCGGGAGCAGCTCGCAAGCAACGATCTGCATCCGGCTGAGAAGGATGCAGCTGCTCTCGGCTTGCCGTGTCGGTTGGAGCAGACGAGGCGACCAGGCCCACAGGGGTCCTCTCGCTGTCATGCACAGACATCCTGCTGTTGTGAGCTCGGTCTAGTTTATCCAAGGGCTGAGGCGAAGAGATCATTGTGCCACCAAGCATGCTGAAGTCGGGCAAGCATGCTTGCTCCTTTGTGAGCGCGCTGGCTGGCTGGTAGAAACCGGATCGATTCTCTTCTGAGCGCTGGGAAGCTAGGAAGGCTCGTAGATCCACTGCAAGGAAGCCCCACTGAGGCGCTCATCAATTTGCGTTGCACAAGTGGGAACGACAGCTGACTCACTCAGTGATATTGGACGACATGTTCTCCCTTGAATGATGTCAACGATTGTGATTATTTTCCCCCCGATGCTAGTACCGTCCTCGACACCCTCTTCCACGATGCCATCCAGATGCTCTGCATTCCCTTCTCGCTCAAGTGGTGCCTTCTCCAAATCTGGAGATGTAGGGCCGGGCCATCTTATTTCCCCCCTGAGATCGCGTACGATGGTGGCAGGCACGAACGGAGACGGCTGGCGGCGCCCTATCAAGAAGCTCAAGCAGTGCTTGCATTCCAGTTGCTCACTCTGCTGACTGCGATGACTTGCGGAATCAATCATCGGTGAGGACATGGGACAATTGTTGCATCGGGATCCCAACTGCAGCGTCAGTGATTGGCTAAGGCTCATGTGTGGCTTGTATCCCTGTGCGGAGGCGGCTGGAGGCGACACTTTCGGGTACGTTGTGAGGCCCAACGAAGGCGTCGCCTGGGATTGGTCGCGCGTCGAAAGAACCGCAGATAGTGTCAGACTAGCGGTCTTGCCCCGAGGTTTACTCGTCGGTGAACCAGGTTTTTGACCCCAAAGCAGACTCATGGACCCGGGTTCGGCCCATCCCGGTTCATCTTGAGTGCAATCACGTCCATCGATGCCGAGACCATCAATGAGCAGCTCGCCCGAAGGAGCGAAGGAAGCAGATGACGGCTTCCCACCTTGTTCGTGTAGGCGCTGTAAACGCTGCGCGGTGGTCACCATCTCGGCCGCCGTGCTGACTGCGTCTCGAGTGGCCATTTCGGGTAAGAGAGGTGGCTTTGCTGGGTTGTGATGACCGCTAAGTCAGCTCAAGCGCATGCCAAAGCAGGGCATCATGGACTGCAACTCCCGTAAATGTCGAAGGACGAGTGTGGGTTATTGAAGGAACGTGGTGACGCAGAACGATCAACGATCAATGTCAAGCCGATGCGGGTTGTCGGCTTCCTCAACATTGAAGTGGTCAATGATAGCTTGATGGTTGATGCGACGGTTATTGATAATCGCTATTCAAGTGCGTGCGGCTAGAAAGAGGAGGCAGTGAGTTGTGGGCTTTGCATGCTACGACAACAGTCAAGGCCAGCTTTGGATATTAGATATTGGAATCACATAAAACGTTTGTGGCCTGTGTGGTTCGATCGAGAGCACCTACCTGACATTCACCCCAGCGAGCGGTCAATGGATAGGGATTTAGAGGGGCGTAAAGACTATGGAGGTTGGTGCCCAGGCGGGATCATGGATCGTTGGCGTGCTGTGAGCGTGAACGCGGCTGGGAAGAACGGCTGACTGTGCTGAGAGTGCTCGACATCATGTCTTCCCTCTAATAAACCCTGCTTCGACCTTAGACAATATTGGGCTCGATGAAGGCGATGGGTGCTTTGGTTCCCCAGCAAGGACCGGTAACATGGCACTAGGTAGTTGCCAACAGAAAGACTCCGAGAGAGGAGGCCGCCCGCGCCACCAAGGGCGTCGCGGCATCGCCCATTGGCAACCCCAGAGTACTACAAATTGCGCCTGGGCATGGCCACTGATGCCTGATGTCCTGATCGCCATGGCAAAGCGCCAAGGTAATGCCAGCTGCCCAGTGCCCATGCACAGGCAGGCCAGCAGTGGCAATTGAATGGCATGTAATCAATCATACACACACCTATCACTCCGCCCCGAGCCAGGAGCCTTGCGAGGGGGGAGTGACGAACTAGGACGTCTGCGGTGCCCTGTGAGAGGGCCCTACAGTGCCAACATTCATAAATCCTTCTTTCCCACCCCTGCACGGGGTTTCAATGTGGCTTGTAAGCAAGTGCCAGGAGTACGCTCTGGTAGCGCTGCAGACTCTAGTCTGCAATCCTCCAGTAACTGCTCAAGCGCGTCAGTGCCTTATTGTGCGCTGCAGTCTGCTATAATCAAAGAGTCCACTGCAGCCTGTATACCATGTATGTACTTACCTAGGCATATGTACCATTTCCGCCTCAATAGCGGTTGAGGGGTTGCAAGTTGCAGCCGTATGGCTTGCAGCACCTTTTTAGGTTCTGTTTGGCCACTTGGCCTTTAGGGTTGTGCTTAGTAGGAGCGATCAGTGCGTCCGAAGCGCACTCATCATGATCGCATCATCACATCGCATTATTGGTAGTCATTAGACATTCACCACCATCAAGAATCAGGCATCAGCGTCAGGCAGCAGACATCAGCGATCAGCACATCACAAGAAGTCTGTCACCGTCTTTCCTCTGGAAACACGTCCTGGTGACGAAGTAATCAGCAAGGCATTGACGGAGTAATCAGCAAGGCATCATTTCATCATCATCGGCGGTCTTCGGGGGCAAGGCCATCCTGTGTATATGTGAGAGCCTGCATACATAGATTAGCGTCCCATGTTCCTGTTGTACATCCGCCGTACCACCGTGCGGGTACGGCATGGCCTAGCAGGGTATGTACGCCCTAACGCCCAAAGCCCTGACCCTCGACAACCGACGACATACGGACAACTGGCACGCTGACGCCTGACGTACCACCATACTGACTACCAAGTTCCACAGGACTCCGTGACTTCGGACTCCGCTTCGTGCGTTTGCGTAAGGGCGAGTGCAAGCGAGACCCCATCCGTGCGCGTAGAGACTAGTGAATAGAGGGCCTAGTGTCTCACGATCGTAAGTTTATCATTAATACAAGGTAGCACACCGCTCTATATAGTAATTGCTATCACCGTATAGGATGACTGGCGACCGCGAAGCGTTCCAAGGAGTGATATACATAATGACAGGTAGTCTCACCAATCATAATCCACGATTAATAACTAGCGAACAAAGAGCATTGCCACTCGCACAGCTCGTCTATGTGTTTGTTGCAGCAGTAGGTTACAGTGACACGGCTGCTGCTGTCCTTGCATGTACACCTTAGTACTCCTGCTGCTGCGTCTCCCTGCGCTTGGCGACTGCTGCCCGATGTGCCCGATTCTTGAGATGGATCTCAAAGTTGTTCAGCGATTCACCTGGTCCTGGCGTGTACAACTGTGTTGTGACGGTTCAGATCAAAGAGGAACTTGACAACCGGTCAGATTCTGAAGCAAAATTACTGAGCAGCTGCACGAGTGCGTCAGCACCACTCACCTTGCCAGGGCAATCCAAACAACGCATACGCCACTCCGGCGTCACTGATGGGCCCACACCGCCTGCCTGTTTCGGACGCAAGTAGATCTCGAAGCGGTCGTGAGGATACTTGCCTCGCAATTTTTCGGCAGATTTTTCGAGCCATGCTGGCGGTGGAGGTTGAGCATCTTGGATCGCAGCCGGGACTTTCTCGGGCGAGGCTGCACGTACCGGCGCTGTGGCGATCGTGGCCGTTGGCGCTGCTGCGGTTGCACTTGTCGCTGGCGCAGCACTTTGGCCCAGGCATGGGTCATTGGCATGAGCTATACCCGGCTTCTTCCGCGGTGCCGCCATCGAGTCACTCGAATCCGAATCAGAGTCTGAATCCGAAAACGCCCCAAAGTCTTGCAAAGGAAGATCTGGAGAGCCTGGCCGAGTTGCGGGCTTGGCTTCGGAAACGACCGCGCTGACTCGTTCAACAGCCTTACCGTCGGCGAATGCGTCTTCGTCGTCGTCGCAGGTGTTAAGGAGTGGTGCGCCGAGCGCATCTGGTCCGGATGAGCTGTTTGCTGCCAGGAAGAGTGGTTCTTTCGGGTCGTCCTCCAGCTGTGCAATACTTTCGTCAGCACCTGCTCCGTCTTCCACCGGAGGAATTTGGACAGGGCTGTCACCGGCAGATGTTACGTTGCTGCGCGTGGGCCCGGGCGCGGAGACCGAGAGTGTGCCATTGGTACCCTGAAGCACGGATGACGGCTCAGATGACGACTTCGAGAGTCGGGCTTGATGGACCGAAAAATCGCGCGTGTAGTCTGCAGCAGGAACGCGTCGGTGCTTGTGCCAAGACTTGCCGCACGGACCACATAAAGACTTGTCCCCGATCGGTCCTTTCCTTCGTGATGGAGCCAAACCTTCGGGTATGCCACAATTTGAGCAATGCCACACTCCATCGTGCCAATTGGGGTGCTGTCCTGGCACCAGAGGCTGGGAGACTCGCGTGGATGCTCCACGACTCGAAGTCCCATTCTCGCTACCCGCCAATCGGCCTGAGGCGGATGGTCCGGAAAGCTTGGCCTCCTTCAATGTATCTCTGGCGTCTGACGTCTTGCTACCGCCTTCACCCTTGCGCCTACCCAATCCACCCGGGTATTTGAAGTACATCCTGTAATTCTCAACGCGGAGGCGCTTTTCGTCCAGAGCAGGTAGCTCTGGTACGGGTGGTGGAGTTCCGTTCATATCTTGCCAGGCTGGTCCTATGCTTGCAGCAGCTGCGATAGCTGCTGCTCGGCGAGCAGGGGCTGCCACGACAGGAGCAGAAGTATTGTTGAAGGCCATGCTGAATGCCAGGCTTTCACTCGCAGAAACGTTTTGCAAGCCGTAGACGGCAGGCGTTCGCTGAGTTTTGAGGGGTTCTCGGTCGGGCAATGTAACTCCTCGTCTGCCTCGTGTCTGCCTGCGTTTGCGCCGCGCCTCTCGTTCTCGCTCGCGATCAATCCGATCGATTTCGGCCTCAGTGAGCTGTGAAAGACGAGGGGTGTGGTTGTCCGCTTCGACTTCCGATCGAGCCGGACTGATCAAAGCAGGCAGGAATGCTGTCCGCAGCTCATCATCCACAACAGCACTGCCGTCAAACGCATATCCGACCAAGGTGAGTGATCGAATGTGGGTCTCAACTTGCTCCCGGATTGAGTGGGCTATCGCAGTCTTGAACTCGCCTGCCAGACCAAGATCTGCCGCAAACGTGTCTGCGAATAATTCCGGCGAGTTTTCCTCGTCCGAAATGTCCCATTCGAATTGGTCGACAAGTTGCATCCCCCCGACAGTGATGTCGAGCTGATGTCCAGGTTTGAGCAGCGTTAGCTCGGTTCATTTCCACTTGAGCTTATGTTAAACCCTGACACAGCACCTACTTTGATCGGTATCCTCAGGTCCGTTTGCCAGCCATCATGGTCCTCCATCCTTCTGCGCGAGTAGCCGGCGTCTTGCTGTCCTGAAATTATCTTGTCCCGCATCTCTTCCCACCACTTTCGATCCGCACATCCTAAAACCCCAGCCCCTGCAAGCTTGGCTGCGTCTGGCAAAGACGCTTTGGGACGGAGCGCTTGCATCTGTGAGTGTTCCTGGATCTGCGACTGGACTGATTCTCGAATTGGTGCTGCGAACACAAAGGCAGGCAGCCCTAGATCGTCACAGAGGACAGCTGCAAATGTCTCAGCAGACACATGGTCGTCTGCGGCGTTCCACAAAAACGTATCCCGCAGCCGCAAGGGCTCGACGTCAATCTCCAATCGAATCGGGACCACGTCTTCGTATTGCTGAGCGACTCTTCGACGAGCGGCCTTGCTCATGTCGAGCTCGATTCTGGCTCCTCGCAAGCTCGAGTTTTCTGTGCTACGTCTTCGATCAGTGGGGAAGATGAGTCGGAATGATTCGTGGTCTTTCCCAATGCTGGACAGGTCTTCGTCGCTGGAGCGCTCCCACCAATGCAGACCTGTCTGTGAGTGAACGAGCTTGACACGTTTGGCTGGCCGCATGGCTTGCGCATACTGATGTAGCTTCGCAGTGGTCTTGGTTTGATGCGCCTCAAAGATATCTTGGTATTCGATATCTTTTCGCATGATCTGTAGCAACACTTGTTCGTCTGTCTCTGTGAGAGGCGCGTAGTGCGACGCGTGGGACTCTGCATCAGTTCCGTCCGTTGGCAGAGGGATGACGCGAGTGTTGTACCGCGTCAAGAGCGTGCCTGCTGCACTCCGCTCTGGAAGCGGCCCTCCAAGCAAAGGAGGGATGTCGGGGTCATCAATAGGACCAGATCGCATCAAACCTGGCTGAAAAGGCCCATGCATGCTCGTAGCGCTTGGAAGCAGCCGATGTGGGGGGTGCGGGCCGGTGCCGCCGTAGGATGATACTGATGCACTACGACGTGCACCAAGACCGAGAGACCCAGATCCGTTGGCAAGTGGCTCCTCCTTTGGCCCTGTGTGGTAAAAAGATGGTCCGCTCGGGGACGACCCTTTGTTCATGACGGAACCAGCATGGCCAGGCGAAGCGGCGAAGTGCGAAAGGCCCGACATGCGTGGAGTCGTATTTTGCGGGGCAACCGCGACATGATTGTACGGAGAGTGCTCTGCGCCGACAGAGCTCCCTTGTGGTGAGCCGACATTGGTCGCAGTGGATGGACGTTCCCCAGCGTTGGATATCGCCCGTCCCAACAACACATTCTGTCCCATGTCTGCACCATAGGGCGCGAATGGCGGGATGAATGCAGCTTGAGGCAGCTGAAGAGCTGCAGCATGGGCGAAAGAAACGATCGCATTCCCGTCCGGAAGTCCCCCAAGGCTCGGATCGGGAAGGTACTTGATATCCGCGCACAGATAGCCTTCTTGCATTAGCACCTGTATTGGCGTGCTCCCTGGTCTTGAAGCTGCAGTCATAACTGCGCTTTGAAATAGGCGCCTCTGTTCAGTTGCATCTAAGAATCGCCCCAACGTTGTGTTGCCGTTGGGAACACTAGCCGAATGTGCCTCGATTCCGTTGACGCGAGCTGCGCCATGCGCGTGACTAGATCCTCGACGAGCCTGGGAATGCTGCTGATTGTTGACCACGGCCATGGATGGGCTTGAAGGCTGTGTCTGCTGAACATCGCTGGCAATACTCTCCGCTCTTGCGTGATGCATTGGCGCCTGAAACGCCGAGCTGCCGTTCAAGTAGGACGACGGGGCGACCCCGGCTGGCGAATTGAGCCATGGTGCAGTTGGGGCAACTGACGCGCCTGACATTGGCATCTGGTATGCCCTGCCAGGCCCACCCATCGCACCAGGAGTGTAGGCTGTTCTAACTGCACCAGGGAAAGAACTGCCGTTGTGCCCATCCGGACGCACCGGTGTGGCGAGCGCGTTTGGGGCGACCCCGGTGCCATTGGGACCGCCATAACTGTCCAATCTGACGTGGCCATTCATGGTCGCTGTCGCGATGACTGGGTCCCCCTGCTCATCCGTGTCTACAACACCACATGTCTGTCCAAAAGTCAGCCTGCTGCTCTTGTCGCAGGACATGTGTGCCCCGATCGCGTCGTGGATGCAGACTGTCGGCCAAGTGTAAGCTTGTCTTGGAAAGAAAGAATCAAATGGAAAGGCGACGTCGCTCAGACGTGAACACGCGCCTCTCGTTTCCCTTGACTGTCTGCGCTGTGAGCCTGACGCGGTTAGGCGCGTGGGCGGGGCGGTTACTCTCCTGGCGTGCACTGTTCAGGTTAGTGCGCGCGCTCACGAACTTTCTTGTGAGCTTACTGACACTTCTGTTTTAAGACATCTATTGATGGATGCTAATATCATGCTACGACCGTAGGTTTTCTGGCACGAGCATCAATATCAAGCATCAACGCCAGCCCGTGGTCACGATTCGGAATCAAGGCTCTCTCGACAGCGGAGCTTCCACGGTACTGCCAGGAAGGTCACAAAAGGGCCGAGAGTAAAGGAGGAGGAAGAATCGCACGTCATCCCCATCATCAAAGCTCGCTTCTCATCCAAGGAGGAGCGCTCTGAGTGCCATCCGAGGAACCCCACGACACGAAGCGCTTGCAGTTGGCAGATTAACGGCAGAGAGAGGATGCTGGCATCCGCGTGCCCCTGCCTCATGCGCCTGCTCGCATCCGCCGCACTGCTCCTGTGGACAACATCCATCGTCCCTGTACTCGCACAGTCCGCATCCAGGAGCCAAGAGCTGGCCTCGGACGCACTGGTGCCTATCAGGACGCACTCAATAGCAGCACCATATGTGGACTCTAACCTCCAGAACAAGTTCTGGGACTTTGGTGGTGACACGATCGTCGACACAAGCAGGGCCGTGCGCCTGACTCAGGACAAACCCAGCCAAACCGGGTGGCTATGGAGCCGATCTACGCTATCACCCGTCAACTACCAGATCATAATCGAATTCAAGATTGATGGACACAACCCTCATTTGTTTGGCGATGGGTTTGCCATGTGGCTGACAACCGAGCGGGCTCTGACAGGTCCCGTCTTTGGCTCGAAAAATCACTTTACCGGTGTCGGCATCATCTTTGACACATACGCGAACACCAGACACGCATACTCTTTTCCTCGCGTCATGGCCGTCTCGGGCAACGGGATCGATGCATACGTCACAGCTCAGGACGGGGCTAATCTCGAGGTTGGTGGTTGCAGCGTCGATATCAGACGGGCGGCAGTGGCAACGAAAGCCAAACTCACATACGTTAAAAGCGCGTACCTCGAGCTGCAGCTCCAATATAACGATTGGGACGAATGGGAGACATGTTTCAATCTCGAAAACATTGCCATCCCCGAGCATCCATTTTTGGGCTTCACCGCGCTTACAGGGGATGTCAGCGATAACCACGATATCATCTCTGTGGAGACCCACACAATCGTGGCCAAACCAAAAACATCGCCTCAGATGCGTGCTGACCGTGAGGCATCCAAGTCCAAGGCAGAGGGTCGCAAGCAAAGGCACCCATCTAGCAGCAATGTCAGTGGCGGATTCTTTGCCTTTTTGTTCTCTTTTATCTTCACCTTGATCAAATGGGCGATCATCATTGGGGCTGTTGGAACAGCGGTCATGTTCGGTCTTCGGTACAAGAAAAAGCAAGATGTGAGTGTTCGAGAGAATGGTTGCCGAGGCTATGGCGCAACGCTGAGCCTCGCTTGTCACACTCTTTACAGGCAAAACGCTTCTAGAAGACTTTGCATGTATCTTTCTTGTTGCACAACATTGACCACAGTGGTGTGTCTCAAGGACTTGCATTCGCGAAAAAGTTGCTGCGATACCAGCGCAGCTCTGGCCCACGGTTTTGGTTTGGTCAGCGCCAGAACTCTGCAGTAATCTCTCGCACCTTGCTCACCGTCTATAGATCCTCGTATATCATCCAATGCCCTAATTCGAGATTGCTGAGGTCAACCGAAAGAGACATCGCTCTCAATATGTGCACAGTCCGGGACACACCTATGCAATCCTTTCCCCTGCTTCCATTCCCTACCGTGCCATCGCTTGACCAGCTCTTTGATCGTTGAAACATCCACTATGCGGTAGTGGAGGTAGTCGATGAGCTGCAGGGAATGGAGCCTGTCAGCTAATGGCACTCAACAGCAGCGATTCCTTGTATTCTCAGGCCAACCTCAGGGATCTCGTTTCTCAGAAAGCATTTGTCCATGTGTACACTATTACCAGCCAAATGCGCAATGCCTTTGGTATCCACTCTTGACGTAATGTAGGCGTAAATCGCTTTGCGTACATCATCCAACGGGAGGGACTTGGCCGGGTCTTTGCACTCCGCAGTCAGGCCTGATTTCTCATGTTGACCAACCTAGCAGCAGAAGGATTATTGTCTTGCTTCACTGGTCAGACGATGGTGCGTAGCACTCACACACCTTTCATGATATGCTCGTTAGTCAGAATGGACATATCCGCGCTACGGCATAAAGTTGATTCTCACCATGGGTTCATTCGATCCAAAACCTCAGGCTGAGTCCTAATGACATATGACACCCCTTCGTCTACGGTGTTGAGATCCCCATCAGTCACGATGACGGCAACCTCCAGCAGCCGATCCGATCTTAAATCTAGGCCCGTCATCCTGCAACGCGCACGGGAGAGGGAACGTCATGCACAGCCTTGAGTCTTCTGTGCTCCACCGTGCTGATTTGGTTGCCACGTCTCACGCCCCACTACTCACTCGCAATCGATCCACACGAGCGGTTGATCCGCTGCGCCCAGGATTCGCTGGGGCTTCTTCGGAGGGTAATGGGATATGGTCATGTTGCATTGGCGTAAGGCTGCGAGAGGGAAGCGAATGTCTCTAAACACTGAAGACGTTTGCACGTATGCCGGAAGCAGAAAGCATCTCATATTATTTCTGCAACACCGCTCTGTTGATCTTAACTGCATTTGACTATGATGCACACTGCTCACATGGTGCGCATTTGAATTGGGCTGCTAGAGGAACGCCCTTCGGGTTTTCCGCGTCCTCCGAGGGCTCAACTTTTAGAGCTGCGAAATGATCCCCTTCACGACTCCATGTCTCCTTTTACAGACACCTTGGATGCGCCTCCATTGCTAGGGCACATCTCTGCTCTTTTAGCCACAACTCAATACTCACCAAAAATGCTTCGACAGCGCTTCGGGAAGCAAGTGAATGGGCAACCCGAAGTCCCGCCTCTCTTCCTCACACTTCCTAGGATTTTCCGTGCTGCGGCTCAAAAGCTTCATAACCACAGCGAAAGCTCGGAATGGCCTGCTGTCACCGCATGACGACTTAGATCTGGCACAGCACAGCTTTTCGAAATCAGCCTGCGAAATTGCCAGAAGCAAGGAGTTGGAATGAGTGGATGCTCTTCTATCCTAACTCGACGCCGAATGCCTATGCCGCAACCACCTGCCAAACTTCAAACGCCAGATTGTTTGAATGCTGCCCCGCGCCCATGCCTCATGTCTCGGCTTTCTCATTTTTCTTCTGCGCTATCCTCATTTACAGCTTGTTATACTGTTCGGAATCAAGTGGGGAGTATTACATGAGGAGTATCATTTGAGGGAAGGCCGTAGAGCATATGCGATTGCTTGCATTCATTTTTGCGTCCATGTCCATGGATTTGCTCCAAGGCACATCCGCGCAGCGGTGTTATAGTCGAAGAGGTTCAATATTGCAATGAACTCACATCCTCGCACTTCTGGAGGAACTGCAAACTAAATTGCATAACATGGAAGCGTGGATATTCCCCGCGCGATTCAACTCGGCACTGCACCACACCAGATTATCTTGAAATTAAGATTGCCTATTGAGCCTCTTCCACATGAGTGCGCAAGCAGCATTGGTTCGCTGGTGTTCGGGGTTGAGGAGAAGGGATCGCGAGTCGTGTGTGCAAGCATAAGTTAGGCGTTACGGCAATACTTGTGCATGTAAGAAGTTTGCCTACTTCTGTTTTCTCTCAACATCTTGCTTTCGCTACGGAGGCTGTCACATTCTGCTGCAGCATTTGCATTGCAGCGAATCGAGTAGATTATCGCGAGTGCGTGCTGTGCATTACGACGGCATCAGAGGAAAGGCAGCCATGAGGCGTTGCAATGCTGATACCTAAGCTCATTGTTGGTTTCCAGCCAGTAGAAAAAAGCCTGGCTCAGTATAGTGCAAGCAAGCTGCACTTCTTCGCAAAAGTAATGCGGAAGTTGCACAGATGGGGAACATCCCAGATACATTTGTGAAAAGCAAAGGAACGAGCTTGACGAAGTTGCATCGCTTCTCGAATGGTTGGGCTGCAAACAGCGATTATTCTCATCGATTTTGGCGCAACCAGCGCTCAGCACGTTGAGCAGGATCTACGAAGGATGTCTGGGGGGCAGCTTGCACGCGGATGCACATTTTAACAACTTCGTTGAGGAGAAACATGCTCCTTTCCCTGCCTCCTCCATTTGTGCTTGCACGAATATTGACCCACTATCTGTTTGTGACGTCAGTAACGTCATATGGCACATGCCCGCGGACCGCCAACTCCCACATGCAGTCCACTCGTAGACCTACTATCTTTTAATGGATTATGAGCTCAACTAGCTTTCATCCGAATGCAGTCATCAAGCTGGCGGGTCAAAAGTTTGCCGTTGGTTACAAAAGTGGCTCGCAGACGAGCTTCAGGAAGGTCACCAACGTTCTCGGGCGTTTACCCGTATCCATAACAGCAGTGGGAAAGGGGCGAGGGGATGTTCGGCTCCAAGAACAAACCCCCTCCGCTATCGTCCCTTTTGAGTATGCTCAGGACCCCGACGCGGCAGCTTAGTCCGTCGACCCCCACAACATACTCATCGAGACCCTTAGTCACGAGTTCTGTACATTCTTCGGCAGCGGACAATACCGTCACAACCAGCTTCTCGGTAGCATCATTTGAGAGCGTGGGCGTATCGACATGCAATATGAATCGTTCGATCCTGGCCGCATCCTCGACGAAGGGTTCGAGCACCCCAACCACCGCACTCCCGAGCACTTGGACGCCGAGGACAAAGGACGGTTCCGTCTCCGTCTACCGCTCAAGGACATCTCTGTCGCAGCTCGTCCAATACGACATGCATCAGAGCTCTGCCGTCGGTAACGTGAATCAGCAACAGGCGCAGCCCTACGCCAACGCTGGTTGGCCCGAGCATCAACAGGACAAAGTCGGAACTCGGCCGCCTAACTAACACTCTTAAGGGTCATTGAGCAACGGATGACAACCTTGACCCGAGAACAGGTCGCTCACGTAATGGAAATGCTGCCTTAACATCACCGCCATGCCCATTGTGCGGGCGATGGCAGTTCTCGAAGTCACCCAAGCCATCAATGAGCTTGCCAACAGGCTCATACGCACCGTTGTCTACTAGTCCTGCTTGAAGCGACTCGAATCCAAGTTCATCCGCGAGAACGGCAATCCTACTCTCATGACGTCTGCGTCGCTCTTCCGCTGGGTATGCGACCATTGCATCGCAGCTTCGCGCTCCAGGAAGACCTCGCTTGAGTCAATGCTTGCACCAATGCGTTGGGATGGCCGGGGCGATGCTCACTAGTTCATTGGCAACTGGGAGCGTAAGATGGGTGACCTGCAGGAGTAAGTTCCCAACGAGTTTTCAGTTAAGCAGTGTTCCAACTCCCTCCGCCACACAATCATAGGAGCACACATCCTCTTCGTTTCCGTCTACGGGTCCAAGGACAAGGAGTTGCGCCGCGCCGAACGTTCTTTCGAGATGACCGACTTTCACCCAGGTTCTCGACGTGTATCAGGTCGCCAGCGATGCTCGCTACACCTAGGAGGATGCAGTTCCAGCTAGCGACGACACAGCCTTCACTGCGGCCGCCAAGCCGGCAGGAAGCCAGGTCGACTGCTGGGCTGGCGTGAATGGGGTCACCGCAGCAGCCGGTGCCCGGATGCCACGGAGAAGCAGAGCTTTTAGGACGACTAGTGTCAAACATAGCGAAGTCAAAGCCTCGTTCCAGCTGCTTCGTTCCCTACTTCGAGAGCCCCATCACGTCCGAGGATGAGGACTCGCAGGCGAGCGACTAGGCGTTGCGTCGCCGGTAGCTTTCTGGGGGAAGTCGCCGCTGGACGCAAGTTCAAATTGGCACCAGATCTATATAGGGCCAAGGGGGTGTCAGTGGCGTTCGACTCCGGAACCAATCACGTGATGGTGAATGATGAGCGGCCGGAAACTATTTGGAAAGACACGAATAGAGATCGCTATATCAAGCCAGCGGGCGACGAACACCTTCCCGTGGCCTTGTAATGGGGGCCCTGTCCGGTTCAGCCAGTTCAACCCCAAGGATCGCCGCTGGAAACGGATGACCTACGCCGATATCATGTACGTTCCAGACGATGTGACAAGCCTTATCAGTACTAGGGTGGCCACCCGGGCGAAGGGAGGCGGCCTTCGAAAAGGACACATGTCACCTTCCAGGACAGCAGTGGCCACATCTGAGTTCCCGGCAACAAGCAGCACCCGTTCACGGCCATGCGCCCCCGGGAGGTTGATATGCCTGAGCCCGCCGTCTCCTGCGCATTCTCTGCAACCGCAAAGTCGCACGAACGTGCCAAGGTTCGGCTGTGGAAGAGACGACCTCACCCATGCAGGACGCGTCGTCATCAGTGCCGCTTGTGAACACGCTCAACGGCAGGGCATTGCGAAGCAGGGACTGACGTAGGAGAAGCGCGGCAGCGCGGATGCGCGAGCCAGCGGAGCGAAGCATGGCAAAGAACGTCGACGCAGCATAGCCCATGCAACGCCATCGAACATCTTGGACGGTTCGAGCGCAAGCAACAAGCTACAGTAGCTGCACGTGAAAGCCGGCACCTTGTGGATGTATATCAGGCTGCGCACAGCACCCAGAGCTCGTGTAGCGTAGATAACAACAAGAGGTCATAGCATCTCATCTCGTGCGAAACGAGCCATCCCTCCAATAGGCTATG